TCTCGTCTCTACACCTGGGTAGCACGTGCTACTCTCTCCTCTCTACACATGGGTAGCACGTGCTACTCTCTCGTCTCTACACATGGGTAGCACGTGCTACTCTCTCGTCTCTACACATGGGTAGCACGTGCTTATCTCTTGTCTCTACACCTGGGTACCACGTGCTTATCTCTTGTCTCTACACCTGGGTACCACGTGCTACTCTCTCGTCTCTGCACATGGGTAGCACGGGTTACTTTCCCGGCTGGTGTTACCCGGCTCAGCCACACGGGTCGCAGTGGGCAGCAGGGGTCTGCACCTGTTTCGTGTTCTCTAAATGTCTCCCTCTTCTCAATTTCAAATTGAAGCTAAGAGTGCGGTGTTTGTTGAGTGATGACATTATTATTGAACCACAACTGCCGTGGAGTGTAGTGTTCAGTGGCACACTGGACCTGCAATCCCGAAGTCGCCAGTTAAACGTGTTGTACAGACAGTGTTGTAGACACTTGTAGACGTTGTACAGGCGTTGTTGTAGACACTGTTGTAGACGTTGTACAGGCGTTGTTGTAGACACTATTGTAGACGTACAGGCATTGTTGTAGACGTTGTTGTACACGTTGTTGTACAGGCGTTGTTGTACACGTTGTACAGGCGTTGTTGTACACGTTGTTGTACAGGCGTTGTTGTAGACGTTGTTGTACAGGCGTTGTTGTAGACACTGTTGTAGACGTTGTAAAGCAGTATTCATGAGTTCACCACGGTAGATCGGTCGGCAGGTCGCACGTGGCGGAGAAAAGTGTGGGTACTCCGACTTCGTCCGAGTTGTTTGGCCAGCGTGGAAGAGAAGGCCAAGATATCTCCTGGGTGGGATTTGGACGGCCTTCTGTGGGCAGTGACGAGACCAAGCACTTGCAGGGAGGCACCTCTGGCGTGTTGTCACCTTTTGTTATCGCACACCTCCCAAGTTAGAAATCGCCCGTGGCTCACTGCACGAGTGCGCATCGGGTGGTGCTCAACACGTTTGGTGAACCTGAGCCAGCGGTGGAAATTCCACATTCCTATCAAGGGGAATAGTCTATTCTTAGTACAACCACTGTTTACTGGTGCGCAAAACTCTTTTTGGGCGTTCGAAGAATGTGAGGTTATTTTTGTATTGATTTTAGTCCACAGCGAAGATTATAAAACAGCAATGCAGTATAACATTAACTAGGCCTGTAACAAGTAACTGATTAAGAAGTTGAAATCAATTCTTCTGCTCTTGATGCACATCGATTGGTGTGTGTGCATTTTCATCATCTAGTTCCATAGGTCCAACACGTTTTAATCTTCTAGTTCCATTAGTCCAACACGTTTAATAATCATCTAGTTCCATTAGTCCATCACGTTTAATCATCTAGTTCCATTAGTCCAACATGTTTAATAATCATCTAGTTCCATTAGTCCAACACGTTTAATCATCTAGTTCCATTAGTCCATCATGTTTAATACTCATCTAGTTCCATTAGTCCATCACGTTTAATCATCTAGTTCCATTAGTCCGTCATGTTTAATAATCATCTAGTTCCATTAGTCCATCACGTTTAATAATCATCTAGTTCCATTAGTCCAACACGTTTAATAATCATCTAGTTCCATTAGTCCATCACGTTTAATCATCTAGTTCCATTAGTCCGACACGTTTAATAATCATCTAGTTCCATTAGTCCATCACGTTTAATAATCATCTAGTTCCATTAATCCAACATGTTTAATAATCATCTAGTTCCATTAGTCCATCACGTTTAATAATCATCTAGTTCCATTAGTCCAACACGTTTAATAATCATCTAGTTCCATTAGTCCATCACGTTTATTCATCTAGTTCCATTAGTCCAACACGTTTAATAATCATCTAGTTCCATTAGTCCATCACGTTTAATAATCATCTAGTTCCATTAGTCCAACATGTTTAAAAATTATCTAGTTCCATTAGTCCAACACGTTTAATCATCTAGTTCCATTAGTCCATCACGTTTAATAATCATCTAGATCCATTAGTCCATCACGTTTAATAATCATCTAGTTCCATTAGTCCAACACGTTTAATAATCATCTAGATCCATTAGTCCATCACGTTTAATCATCTAGTTCCATTAGTCCATCACGTTTAATAATCATCTAGTTCCATTAGTCCAACATGTTTAATAATCATCTAGTTCCATTAGTCCATCACGTTTAATAATCATCTAGTTCCATTAGTCCATCACGTTTAATAATCATCTAGTTCCATTAGTCCATCACGTTTAATAATCATCTAGTTCCATTAGTCCATCACGTTTAATAATCATCTAGTTCCATTCGTCCAACATGTTTAATAATCATCTAGTTCCATTAGTCCATCAGGTTTAATAATCATCTAGTTCCATTAGTCCATCACGTTTAATCATCTAGTTCCATTAGTCCAACATGTTTAATAATCATCTAGTTCCATTAGTCCAACACGTTTAATCATCTAGTTTCATTAGTCCAACATGTTTAATAATCATGTAGTTCCATTAGTCCATCACGTTTAATCATCTAGTTCCATTAGTCCCTCACGTTTAATAATCATCTAGTTCCATTAGTCCATCACGTTTAATCATGTAGTTCCATTAGTCCATCACGTTTAATAATCATCTAGTTCCATTCGTCCAACATGTTTAATAATCATCTAGTTCCATTAGTCCATCACGTTTAATAATCATCTAGTTCCATTAGTCCATCACGTTTAATCATCTAGTTCCATTAGTCCAACATGTTTAATAATCATCTAGTTCCATTAGTCCAACACGTTTAATAATCATCTAGTTCCATTAGTCCAACATGTTTAATAATCATCTAGTTCCATTAGTCCAACATGTTTAATAATCATCTAGTTCCATTAGTCCATCACGTTTAATCATCTAGTTCCATTAGTCCAACACGTTTAATAATCATCTAGTTCCATTAGTCCAACATGTTTAATAATCATCTAGTTCCGTTAGTCCAACACGTTTAATAATCATCTAGTTCCATTAGTCCAACATGTTTAATAATCATCTAGTTCCATTAGTCCAACACGTTTAATAATCATCTAGTTCCATTAGTCCATCACGTTTAATCATCTTCTAGTTCCATACAGTGAGGGAAAAAAAGTCATATTTTTCTATTTAAAGCTTTCGTGACTGCAAGGATTCATCTTCTTTGGTTCTTTCGGTAAAGTCACGTAGAATGAGAATAAAATAATAAATTGATAAAATAAAATAACACAATAATATTCTCACGACGTTTCGGCCACAACACAAGCGGCCTTCATCAGGTGAAGGGACGAGACTGTCTGGTAGGACAGCGCTCACTCCAGCGCTGTCCTACCAGACAGCGCTGTCCTACCAGACAGTCTCATCCCTTCACCTTATGAAGGCCGCTTGTGTTGTGGCCGAAACGTCGTGAGAATATTATTGTGTTATTTTATTTTATCAATTTATTATTTTATTCTCATTCTACGTGACTTTACCGAAAGAACCAAAGAAGAAAAAAAGTCATGTTTTGCAGAGGGGTCAAATACTTATTTCCCTCATTAAAATGCAAATCAATTTATAACATTTTTGACATGCGTTTTTCTGGATTTTGTTGTTGTTATTCTGTCTCTCACTGTTAAAATAAACCTACCATTAAAATTATAGACTGATCAATTCTTTGTAAGTGGGCAAACGTTCAAAATCATCAGGGGATCAAATACTTTTTTCCCTCACTGTAGGTCCAACACGTTTAATCATCATCTAGTTCCATAGGTCGAACACGGCAGGGTAACCGAGTGAGAACTTACGAGGCTATACAAAAAAAGATGGTGAGGGTGCACGGAATGGACGTGGGATCATACACGCTCAGTACAGCGATGTGTTTAGCAGCACTGCCCTCTGCTACTCTCGGTGTAGCCCACAGTGGCCTACCACAGCCGGATTTAGCAATAAGCAGGGTCGATTAAAGCACATTGCAAATAAGTTAATTATTTACTGAAATAACTATTTTGTTAATTATTATATGAAAACATGAAAATCTCCCGCATATTTCTCCGTAGCAATCTCCGTCTGTGCCCATTCGCTCATCGCCGTGGCGGCGCTGTGACCCGGCTGGCCCGGGGTCGCGACCTCCGCCGCGCTGTTTGTTTGTGGGGTGCCGCCACAACCATGGGGCGGCATAACTCGGTGTGGCGTTACCTTGCGTTGTGGGACAGTGGCGGCAACGTCGCATGGCACTGCGCAGCGTTCATCACAATGCGTCCTCGTGACGTGCTTTGAATAGGCGCTGTGCGGTCACCGATGTCACAATCGGCAGATACAAACACATTGGCCTCTTGCGCTTGTATTGCACTCTCTCCGCGTGCATTGCACGTGTGTGGCAAAGGGGAAGATCGGCGAGATTGTTTAACAACCGCGATGAGTGATTGTCGGTCACCATCCCCAATATACAGGGTGTTGCAAAAAAATGTTAACACTTACATGGGACTATCGTTTTTAATGGAAATGGAATGGATATTATACTGTAACATGATAACAAATGTCATGTTAATAGCTTCAAAAAGTCATCAAAGAGTCTCCACTTGTTCACCATCGTTGTCAACACGTGGCCTGGAATCTTCTCCAGGTTGTCTCCAGAGCCCAAAGGCAGCACATTTATTTTGGTATTGTTGCAAATTCTCTGAAGTGTTCACATTTTTTTGAAGCACCCTGTATGTCCTGATTGGTAGATTCTTTTTTTTACGTTCAACTTGTTCAGATTCATGGTCAGGTGCATGCAACTGCACCGCCCCAGTCATCAACACAATGGCCATTGTCGTCACCACTATCGATATTTCACACCTCCGACGAGCACGGCTGGCGACGTGCGGTCGTGCAGACGTACATGGCCACCGTCGACTCAGTGACGGCGCTCAATCGCTATAATTGATCGCACTTACGGAAATGGGTTTTATCTGACGATCGTCGTGGATGCCCCGCCCCCCCCCCCCCCGCCCCGCCGTGTAGAAGACGCTGCGGGCCATGCTGGTGTACACGCCGTGCCACAGCGAGGTGGAGCGCGCACTGCTGCAGCAGCTGCTGCGGCCCGTGGTGGAGACCATCCTCGTCAAGTGTGCCGACGCGCACAGGTGACGCGCGCGGAAATACGTACACACGCACGCTGACACGTGCACGCTGACACGTGCACGCTGACACGCACGCTGGCACGTGCACGCTGACACGTGCACGCTGACACGCACACGCTGACACGCGCACGCTGACACGCGCACGCTGACACGTGCACGCTGACACGCGCACGCTGACACGCGCACGCTGACACGTGCACGCTGACACGCGCACGCTGACACGTGCACGCTGACACGTGCACGCTGACACGCGCACGCTGACACGTGCACGCTGACACGCGCACGCTGACACGCGCACGCTGACACGTGCACGCTGACACGTGCACGCTGACACGCGCACGCTGACACGCGCACGCTGACACGTGCACGCTGACACGCGCACGCTGACACGCGCACGCTGACACGTGCACGCTGACACGTGCACGCTGACACGCGCACGCTGACACGTGCACGCTGACACGCGCACGACGGGGTGGGCGGTCAGCGCCTTGTTTCTCACACTAGGAGGTACTTCTTATTTGTGGCCGAGTTGACCTAGGGAAGGGCAAGGACCGTTTGAAGTATTTGCCAAATATAATTGGTGAGCGGGAATCAAACTCCGCAGCACAGTGCGCTAACCCGTTACACTGTCGAGTGTGCGCATGGTTCCATGCGTGTACGCATAGGCACGTGTACATTTACGTGCGTCACATGGGGTGCTTGCCACTTGGGGGGTGGGGGGGGGTCCCTTGGTCATAAAGAATCGGCGCATTGGAATAATTGTGACGAGACGAGAGGCGGTATAATTCAATTTGATTTGCCGTGGCATGTCAGTGTGCTGTCAATGCGAATCCCTGTCCTTGATTTCTTGTCGCCGACAGCCGCATGAGCCAGCTGTCCGTGTCGACGCTGCTGGAGCTGTGCAAGGGGCAGAGCGGCGAGCTGGCCGTGGGGAGAGAGATCCTCAACTCCGGTACGCGTGGCCCTCGCGCCCTCTGATGATCGGCGTCGAACCTATTCTAACACTGTCCGTAAATGTTGATCAAACTCTTTGGCACTGAGGCCTTGGCCGCCACTCGGGGACCTTCAGCTGAAGATTCTCGCAGTCGCACGTGGCGGCAGCTTGAGAGAAGCGAAACCACGTCGCACACAAGAGAGTGTGTGGTGGCTGGTGGGAGGACTGAGCAATACAAATCACCTTCTCCGTTCATATTTTATTACCCAATGGATTATGTCTGCAGCAAGTTCTACACTTTCTCTGGTGGTGCAGTGCATTGTGGGCGTCCGTGCCTGGGCCGCTTGTTGTGGCGTCGCATACACGTGCATTTTCATCACCGCCCTACCATCGTCACCGATTTACCAGCTGGCAGGGCGAGACGTCGAACCTGCCCACGGCTGGTTCTCCAGGAAGTCGTGGGTTCTGCCCTTATCTCAGAAACGTCTACCGGTGGTTGCCAAAGCCCTCTGTGCTCTGCAGAGTAGATGTTTATTCGCCTCTGATGTTGTTATCCTCTGCACTAGCTCAAAGTACAATTAAAAATCATATTTCTTGCAAACATTTTGTTTTAATGATTATTAATATAACTAAATATAAGAAAAATTCTGTTCATAAAATAGTTGAGTAAAATAGAAATCTGACAAGTTAATCACCGTCATAAGAGCTTTTGTTTTTCTGGGTTTGTGGTTATACTTTTTTTTTGTATTTCTGCTTTGCATTGGGCTTGTGGTTAGAATTCCACCTCCGCAGAGCCGGGTGATGCTGTGTGGCATTGGCAGTGCTCTGTCTGCTGCAAATTGGGTATTAAACACTTGTTGCAACATTATTGCCCGCATTTTGAAAGTTTGATAATCACCGACTATAAAATATAAATGCACAATTGCACACTCTGGATTCCGTTGGTCGCTCAATGAGCCTCTCAATGAACTGCAGCCGCTCCTCGATTGGACCGACGTTTACAAGGCATTGATATATTTTTAGCGAATAATGAATAGTGTATATTCTTGGTTCTTTCGGTAAAGTCACGTAGAAGGAAAACAATAAAATAATATAAATATATATTATATATATTTTTTATTTTATTGTTTTTCCCTTCTACGTGACTTTACTGAAAGAACTAAGAATATGAATCCCTGCAGTCACGAAAGCTTTATATCAAAATTTAATGAATAGTGTGTTAATTTTGCACGTAGGGTTTGTTTAAACAGGTTGACAGTTTTATAGTTTAATGGGGGGGCGGTTTTAGATTTATGTCGTGAGAAAGTGCGTGTAGGGGTTGCCCCGACACTCGGAAAAAAATCTGTAAATGATGAGAGAAGCTCATCATGGCAGGAATTTCAGCACAGGCTGGAAAACCTCGAACAACGTGCAATGATGATGGCCGTGGCAGGTGACACACTAAGGTGTGAGGCCTTGAGGCACCGCCACACTCCAGGGTGTGAGGCCTGAGGCACCGCCACACTCCAGGGTATGAGGCCTAGAGGCAGCGCCACACTCCAGGGTGTGAGGCCTTGAGGCAGCGCCACACTCCAGGGTGTGAGGCCTTGAGGCACCGCCGCACTCCAGGGTGTGAGGCCTTGAGGCAGCGCCACACTCCAGGGTGTGAGGCCTTGAGGCAGCGCCACACTCCAGGGTGTGAGGCCTTGAGGCAGCGCCACACTCCAGGGTGTGAGGCCTTGAGGCAGCGCCACACTCCAGGGTGTGAGGCCTTGAGGCACCGTCACGCTCCAGGGTGTGAGGCCTTGAGGCAGTGCCACACTCCAGGGTGTGAGGCCTTGAGGCAGCGCCACACTCCAGGGTGTGAGGCCTTGAGGCAGCGCCACACTCCAGGGTGTGAGGCCTTGAAGCAGCGCCACGCTCCAGGGTGTGAGGCCTTGAGGCAGTGCCACACTCCAGGGTGTGAGGCCTTGAAGCAGCGCCACACTCCAGGGTGTGAGGCCTTGAGGCACCGCCACACTCCAGGGTGTGAGGCCTTGAGGCAGCGCCACACTGCAGGGTGTGAGGCCTTGAGGCAGCGCCACACTCCAGGGTGTGAGGCCTTGAGGCACCGCCACACTCCAGGGTGTGAGGCCTTGAGGCAGCGCCACACTGCAGGGTGTGAGGCCTTGAGGCAGCGCCACACTCCAGGGTGTGAGGCCTTGAGGCAGCGCCACACTCCAGAGTGTGAGGCCTTGAGGCACCGCCACACTCCAGGGTGTGAGGCCTTGAGGCACCGTCACGCTCCAGGGTGTGAGGCCTTGAGGCAGTGCCACACTCCAGGGTGTGAGGCCTTGAGGCAGCGCCACACTCCAGGGTGTGAGGCCTTGAGGCACCGCCACACTTCAGGGTGTGAGGCCTTGAGGCAGCGCCACACTGCAGGGTGTGTGAGGCCTTGAGGCAGCGCCACACTCCAGGGTGTGAGGCCTTAAGGCACCGCCACACTCCAGGGTGTGAGGCCTTGAGGCAGCGCCACACTGCAGGGTGTGAGGCCTTGAGGCACCGCCACACTTCAGGGTGTGAGGCCTTGAGGCAGCGCCACACTGCAGGGTGTGAGGCCTTGAGGCAGCGCCACACTCCAGGGTGTGAGGCCTTGAGGCAGCGCCACACTGCGGGAGGCGCTCATCTCCCAGGGGCCCCCAACCTCCCGCCCCCACACGGTGCCCTTCCGAAGTTGCCGACCGACCACCACACACTCATTCTCATTTAAAATGCGGAAATGTGTGGCATTTCCAACGTTGTGTGTCCATGGCAACAGAGAGAATAACGTGTCGTGGCTTATGGAGGATTATGAATTGGGGGTGGGCGGTGGTGGCTCAGGAGGCCAGACAATTACTCGGCCTCGCTGCTCCCAGGAGGCACCTGGGGAGGGCATGGCAGAAACAGGGGCAGCAGTGTTCCTTGCGAACACCCCCAGGCGCAGCAGTAGGCATTGTTGTAGACGTTGCACAGACGTTGTTGTAGACACTTGTAGACGTTGTTTTACAGGCGTTGTTGTAGACGTTGTTGTACAGGCGTTGTTGTAAACGTACAGGCGTTGTTGTAAACGTACAGGCGTTGTTGTAGACGTTGTTGTACACGTTGTACAGCGTTGTTGTAGATGTTGTTGTACAGACGGTGTTGTAGACACTTGTAGACGTACAAGCGTTGTTGTAGATGTTGTTGTACAGACGTTGTTGTAGACACTGTTGTAGACGTTGTACAGGCGTTGTTGTAGACGTTGTTGTAGATGTTGTTGTACAGGCGTTTTTGTAAACGTACAGGCGTTGTTGTAGACGTTGTTGTACACGTTGTTGTACACGTTGTTGCATAGGCGTTGTTGTACACGTTGTTGTACAGGCGTTGTTGTAGATGTTGTTGTACAGGCGTTGTTGTAGATGTTGTTGTACAGGCATTGTTGCTGCCCTCGTGAGTTGGATCCCTGCAGATTCTCAACTATTTTGTGTCCATTTTTATTTTACACATTTGCTGAGCACCAGCCTCAAAGGCCCAACGCTTCAAACAGCCAGCAATAGACGGAGCTATCCGAGTTGTTGTAGATAAGAATGAATACGGTTTGTTTTGTTTAATAGAACAATTATAATAATCATTTGGGGAAACGAGGCCATAATGGGTGAAGCGAATTACAAAGTGGAGCAGTGCGAGGGAGGAAGCGGAGAGAGAGGTGAGGTGACCTGCGGTGCAATGGTGGTGGTGGATGAGATGAAGCAGTGTGCATCTGTTGAATGTGTTTGGGATTGGATATTACTGGAATGACAAAGCACAAAATGCCTTTGCCAATGCTTCAGCTTGTTTATGCCCGTGTGTAATATACACTGATTGCAGTGCTGACTTGGCATACCCCAGTTAAACACATTAATTAGTATATATTAAGTCCTCTTATTTTATTAGTTACTTTTTTTTACAATCTCAGGGGAATACGTTTTGTCGCAATTTGTTTCTGAAATGCCGTACAGTTTGGATGTTAAGCGGTGTCGACAACGACACCCAGGAATTGCTCCCCAAGAGGCCCTCGCCCGGTCACGGCCCAGATCTTCAAAACGTTCCAAAAGTCACGCTGCATCTGAAGGGCACTGCCGCCCGGCTCCACACAAAGACCAGTGCTTACGACTCTCCCAGGTCATCCTCTCAACAGCCTTTTACCTCCTCAATAAAGGAAACAGTTGCCCAGTCTCCCTGGTTGCTCGTGCGAAGAATGAATGGAATCTGCATTAATGAAGCGGGAACTGCCACTGGGTATTTCCATTCCTGGGGCCTGTCGTGCGATTACAGCCGTACCGCCCCAGAGTGCCGCAATGCTTTGCCGGGGTTTATTGGCTGAGTGGGTGGACTTCACTTTGTCCCGGTGACTCACGGCACCCACGGAGCCTCCAGGCTGCCTGACTCCCATGCGAGGCCACTCCGTGTTTGTTCACCTCCCCCGTACATACATCTCCTCCCTGCTGATGAGGCTCAGAAGGCCAAAATTGGTCCAGAGTTTGCTTATTTAAACAAATTTTGCAGGGTAATATTGCTGTTTAGAGGCAGTAGGGTGTTGAAATATTTTTTTTATAGAGATATGGAGACAAAACAGAGTTCTATTTATATGTGCTGTTCCCATAATGCTCCACATTAACACAATGACTTTGTGGTTATGGGTTCAGGCTGACCGCAGACACACAAACATAACGAGGCAGACGCTGTGCTTCCTCCACATATCTGACCCGAACGTGTGGACAAAACCAAAGTGTTTTGTACACGCTCCTTCAGCCACACGGACACACGCAACCATCTCTCTGGCAGAGCAGAGTGATTATTCGTAAGTGATGATTGGCCGGCGTGTGCCAGCGTGCAAGCTGACCCACGTTCACATCGTGACATTGACGAGGTTGCACGGCCCAATTTATTTTGAACTTTTGTTGTTTGTTGCCTGCGCAGGCAGAGGGAGAGATTGATGGTGACAGGTGTCCCCGCGTGCTAGGCGTATTTTTTACATTCCCGCCCATTCTTTGTGTGACGAAGCACGGGAAAGAATACCGTGCTCTCAACGTAGGCAAGTAACAATTCACTAATTCAAATCCTTCCTCGCGCACACGGTACATGTATCGAAGTGTGTGTGAGAATCAATTATATTCATATGAGTTGTATGCAATTAGTTCGTGGAACACCTGCATCCTTGCTAGGCTTTACATTCACCACAATGCCAGAATAATATTTGGTTCTAGACTCGAACCGCAACCCTTAAATTACGCCAAGCATCAATCCGCGAAGAGTCGGCGGTCACAGAGGCCCATGCACGCAGAAGTGCAGTGCTGTCATCCCAGCCTGACAAGTGGAGGTCTTGACAAGTCTGAGCCCTTTGATAAAGATCGACCCGTGTGACCAGTCGCTGTGGATGTTGATTTTTTCATTATGTGTGCAGGCAGGCGCTCTCGCCGCCGCCAGCGTGCGCAGTGGAGGAAATAGTTGGAGGGATTGTCATTGTGGCTGCAGCGCTGGCTCCTGTGTGCTGATCACTCGGCCGTACGCCACATTGTGCTGCCAGTCGATTTCAGTCTTGTGGAGTTTGTGGTGGCTTAAGTCCAATGCTGGCTTGGCGGGCAAATACCCCAGTGGTCCGATGGCCTGGTTCAACCCCCGGTGCGGCATCCAATATTATACCCAGGCCTGTGGCAACTGATGACTGATTTAAGGAGCACAGATGGAGACATTTTCACATCTTTTACATTTTATTCTTGGTATGGTTGATGCAGAGCAACAGCTGTTAACTTTATATTGAGGTGGTTCAGCCGGATAATCACGTCAACAGTAGCAGGGTGTATCGCTGTGGTGTGATGCCTGCTTCGTGTTTGTGAATTGGGAATGTAACTGCATAATCAATAAATAGAAATAAGCTGTCTTAGGGCCTTGATGACATTCGTCCACAGATAATGCACATTGTCGCTGGTTTTGTACATTGTTGATTTAAAGATTATAGCTGCCTAAAACACTTGAGATGTCGTTAATCTCAGTGCATACGATCAATGATACCGAGAGCGCTATTTGTGCAAGTCAAGTGGCATTCATGCCCCTGCTTGAATGCATCAAATTTTTGGCTTTTTCAATGCAAAATCAGGGTTGAATATGTAAAATCACGAACAACCACTTTCCAACAGACATAATTTATGACCAAAACACATCGGCAGAGAGCTATTTTAAACGTACATTTGCACGGTAACTCTTTGCTCTCTCTACTGGGAAAATGTAGTTGTTGCAGATTATTTTTACGTCTAAACCAAATGGATTCTTGTTGCCCGCAAATTATGACCCACTTTTGTGGGGAATAGCTTCACGGTCAAGTTTAGAGCGCGAACGTGGCAGACCCAAGTTCAGAGGTCGTCACTCCGTCATCGCCGTCTTTGTCATCTCCACTCTCGCCTCGCACATTGGCCCTGTCTGAAGCCATGTAAACATCAAGTCCACAGGCACAAACATCCCCTTGCTCTCATTAAATGCATTTTGTTTTTCATTTGCAGGCACTTTAGAAACTTGCTCGTGATTGCCCGCGTAAGGTGGTCTAATGGGGCATTACTCGTAAGGCTAAGTGATCTACAATGTTTGCCGTATTTAATCATTGCCAGATGTGGCACCTTCGAAATGGCCTGCTAAAATCGACAGGGGGCCTGGACTTTTTAAATCACCAAACGCTCGGTGACCTCTGGGCATTTCGGCCATCCATTGCACGTGACATGGCCTTGAGCTCACGTAGCGCAGCACGCTGCATTAAGAAACCCAGATGAGCTGTGATGAGCAACCTCTGACTTTGTTGGCAAGTACAGGAGGGCTGGGTTGCACCGCGCCCTACACAGTGTGTTTTAAAGCGAGCGTTTGAGTTCTTTACAATCAGTGTCCAAATTGGACACATCATAAATGACTATATTCTGACTCCTTTATTTATTACACTTGTTATATATTCCCCCCCCCACTGACATTTTGCAGCAGAATAAAAGCTTCAGTGTGTTTTTGTGGTTTGGGAAATATTTGAGCGATCTCTCTCTCTTTTTCTTCTCCTGCCATTTTGGCAGATGTTCAGTTGGGCTTTATCTCCCCACCAAAGTTTATTAAATTTAGAAATGGCTGCCTCCCGGCGCCCCCCCCCCCCGCTCGCAAGTGTTGTTCTGCGTCGCTATGGCACCGCCGTTCGATTCGAGGCTGCTTTCATGTGCTGGAGCACATTGCACGGTCTTGTTTTGGCCTCTGGCAAGTTTCTAATTAAATTCTCTGCAGCGCGGTCTGTGACCTTAGCTGCATAATGTTAATCTTTTGGAAGCTGTCAGCAGAAACAAGAATGCATTTGAAAAGTCTCATTTTTAATGCGTCTGAATTATCGCAAAGCAAAGTTCAGTTCAAGGTCGAAAGGCCATCGCCACCACGTTATCGCTGTCTCCACCTTCTGCATTGATTCTTACACATGCCATTTGATGCCTGTATTGTGAGCCTATGAATTGATATGGATGCATTGTTTTATTCCACGTGTTTACAGCATTGCAACAGATATCATTTGCCACAGCTTAATCGGATCTTTCACTGCTGACCGCTAACAGCTTACCTTAACTCTTCCAACTTGAGTTGATATCAAATTTACTACAAGGAACGTTTGAGAATTCCACCGTTATTAACAAGCAACTGCTTTTGTTTCGGTTGTGCAAAGAGAGCGCTCATAGCGCATCGCGTGGTGCGCAGTGCGGAGACCGCCGCTCAAACCCCGTCGTGTGTCTCTTGGTCCCCCGCCCTGCAGGCTCCCTGGGCATCGGCGGCGTGGACTACGCACTCAGCTGCATCCTGGACTCCCCGCCCGACGCCTCCAACTGGCAGGGCACGCTAGGCCGCCTGTGCCTCATCGAGCGCATGCTGCTCGAGTTCCCCGCCGAGTTCTTCCCGCACATCCTGCTGGAGCGTGCCGCGCCCAGCGGCCCCGCCGCTGCCACTGCCGGGGGCTCGTCTGGGACGAGCGGCAACGCCGACGGCATCCAGGGGGACAGGTGAGCCCTGGCGCACGGGCGCCCGACGGTGCCACGCAGCTGGTTAGTTTGGCCGAAGTTGGAAGGCTATTTGTGATATCTGGGGCGAGGCACCCAGCGTACGTTCTGAGGTTACACGGAAAGCGGTCGGGTCGAGCGATGATCCGGCGCTCACCGAGTCACTCCCTCGCCGGCGGTCAATCGCCCCCCTTGCCACTCTTACCATTAAGATAATTATGATGATGGCAGGGGCTGCAGGCGAAGGAGGCTTCTCTTAGCAACCTCTTGACGCCGGTTCAATTACGGACCGGTGTGACGCTTGCTCCCCTCGTCCCGTGTGCCCCCTGCCCCAGGTACGAGAAGCTGTTCTCCCTGCTGGCGTTCGCGCTGCGCTCGGCGCCGCACTCGCACGCCGTCGTGGGGAAGCTGTCGCGCCGCGTCTTCCTGAGCGCCGCGCGCATGGTGGCTCCCGCGGGCCACGTCTTCCTGCGCATGGCGGCCATGTTGGAGGGCCCCGGCGCGGCCCACCACGCACGCCTGCGCCGCCGGCTGCTGGCAGTCGCCGTCGAGATGGAAGTGCTCGAGGCGCTGGAGGCGCTGGGGGGCCCCGACTTCCCGGGGCCTGGGGGGGTGGCCTCGGCTCCCGCCGCGGCGTCAGGCGGTGGAGACGTCTCGCACCCAAGGATGAGCGGCGAAGAGTTCGGCAGACTCGCCTTGGCACAGCCAAGCACCATCTTGAGGCAAACGTCGCTCCCAGAACAGACGCTGCAGCAGCAGCAGCAGCAGCAAAAGGAGTCTCCCAAGGCCCGCTCGCGCCCACTCGCGCAGTATTTCCCGGTATCGCCGCTCGCAAAGGCACAGCTGGTTTCCCCTTCACACACGGCCAACGCTTTTGTCCCGTCCAGCACCGCGGGGACCTCGACCGCCGCTCAGCCCGCGCCGGGGCCTCCCGCAGTGCCGATCCCAGGGCCCGGCCTGCCTCCCGTCACGAGGCCCTCGTCGCTGGCGCTGCCGTTGGCCGACTTCGCCTCGCCGTCTGCGTCGTCGCCGACCGCGCAGACCCCGGGCTCGGGGGTCGGCGAGCGACCCGGGACCAAGGCCCCGGCGCGAGCGGCGACCCCGCAGGCCGCTCCCGGGCCGCAGGCGTGCCGCGACACGCGGGACCTCGGCTTCGTCCCCGAGGACAGCAAGGAGCGAGAGCCGGAACTGGAACGGGAGCCGCCCCTGTTCACGCAGACGCGCCTGGCCTCCAACAACCAGGTGCACCGGCCCAAAGCGTCGCGGCCCGGGCAGCCCGTGAGCTCGCCGCTTGGCAGCCCGGCCCGCGGGCCCGGGGATGTCGCCGAGGCGGCGCACGTGCGGCCGGGTCAGCCGGAGAGGAAGTCGGCCGACTTCGAGCGCGTGCACGTGAAGCTAGACCTGCCGCAGCGCAAATCCACCGACCTGGACCTGAGGCAGGGCAGGCTGGAGCCGCTGTCGCACAGAGACACGGAGGCCCCCTTCGCCTCCCTCGCCGCCGCGGCCGCCGCGCCCCCCGCCCCCGAGGGGGCCGCGGGGGCCTCGAGCCAGGGCTTCGCCGAGCTGCTGGGGAAGTTGGAGAGACGGCCTCGGGAGTCGGGCGCCGCCACCGGCGGGGTCCCCAAGCCGAGCTCCTCCGACTTCTTGGAGAGGAAGCGCGGCTTGAAGTCGCTGAACAATGGAGCCCCCGCGGAGTCGGGGAAGACGGCGGTGGGAGGACAGAGCCGGCCCCCGTTGCCGGGCCCAGAGGCGGAGGGTGAGCGTGGTGACGAGGCCGCGGGGCGGCGCCGTGGGGAGGGGGCCCCCGACCCCCCCGAGGGAGGAGACGGCGCTTGAGTCGCGCGGCAGGGCGGACGACGCGAGGACGGGCGGCGCCGGCGCGGCGCCGGCACCGGGGGATTCCGCTCGGCCCGGCACCGACGCTGGAGGCCGGGAGCCCGCGGTGGGCCCAGTCCGCCCTCCCATGAGCCTGGACCTTAAGCCGTGCGTGCATCCGGCATGCGGTGAGTGCCGGGCTGTGGGTGAGGCCTCGCGCTGCCAACTCTTCTGGATTGTCCCCTCTTAAGTTCAGTGTCCAGGAAAATTATGTAAGGCTTGCATTAAAAGTCCTGGTTGGTGCCATTTGTACCATAATGGCGTCGCTCAAGACAACTCATTAACATCTAGAGCTTTCCTTTTTCAAAATTGTGAGATATTCTTGTTCCCATAATGTTTCCTGAATTTGAATTTTGACCTCAGAGATGGCAACCCTGGTGAGGGACAGGCGCTTTGAGCACAGATGGCAAATAGTACAGCAGTGGAAAATATCCCCCCGAGTGGAGGCCCAGCAGTGCATCGTGATCAGTGGTGTCAGTGGGGGTTTCAAGGGTGGGGGAGCTCTCGACCCCCAACCTTGAGACCCCGAGTATTTGTCTTCTATTGATATTTACCAGAGAAAATACACTGAATGTTATTCTATGCATGTAGGGCCCTATTTAAAGAGCTTGACATTTTGCGATCATCCCCCCCACCCCCGCCCTCTATATGGAAGAAGTTTCTACTTGCTCTCTGCTGTTTGGTGTTACGTGCATCCCGTCCGGTGACGGTTGTCGGTGACCGCGAGTGGCCGCCGTTTCTCTTTGCCGTGCCGTGCGCAGACGGCGCCGCGGCCGTGGCGGCGCAGGACAAGGGGGCGGCCACGCCCATGGAGGACCGCTACCGGCGCCTCGAGGCCTCGGCCGACCTCAACTCGAGCACCGAGGACCTGCTGGAGACGCCGAGCGCGGCGGGGCCCGCGGGAGGCCGCCCCGGGGATCCCGCCGTCACCTTCGTCTCCGAGGTGGCCGTGAAGACGCCCGAGAGGCCCGGCGGAGGCGGCGGCGGCGGCGGCGGCGGCGGCGGAGGGGGGGGAGGCGGGGGAGGAGGGGGCGGCGGCGGTGGGCTGGACCCGTCGTACCGCGAGGACGTGCAGCGCAACCTGCACTGCAAGGAGAAGATGGAGGCGGAAGAGGAGGAGGCGCTGCTGCTCGCCATGGCCGTGTCGGCCTCGCAGGATGCGCTGCCCACCATCCCGCAGCTCGCCCTGCAGCCGGAAGACGACGTCATCCTGCTGCAGTCCAACGTGTGTGCACGTGTGTGTGTGCACGTGTGTGTGTGCACGTGTGTGTGTGCACGTGTGTGTGTGCACGTGTGTGTGTGCACGTGTGTGTGTGCACGTGTGTGTGTGCACGTGTGTGTGTGTGCACGTGTGTGTGCGCACGTTTTGCTGTGTGTGCACGTGTGTGTGTGCACGTGTGTGTGCGCACGTGTGTGTGCGCACGTGTGTGTGCGCACGTGTGTGTGCGCACGTGTGTGTGCACACGTGTGTGTGCACGTGTGTGTGCACACGTGTGTGTGCGCACGTGTGTGTGCGCACGTGTGTGTGCGCACGTGTGTGTGCACACGTGTGTGTGTGCACACGTGTGTGTGTGTGCACGTGTGTGTGTGCACGTGTGTGTGTGCACGTTTTGCTGTGTGCGCGCGTGTGCCTGTGTGCGGCCTTCATAGGTGCTCACGAACCCGTATAGCCTGTTAAGGCTATACGGGTTCGATTCCCGCTCACGGCCAACATCACTGACGATTATCTGAACCGGCCCTGGGCCTCCCCTAGGTCGACTCAGCCTCAAATGAGTACCTGGTGCGATGTGTAAAATCGCCACTAGGGAGACAAAGGCGGCCGGGCGTGGTGTTGGCCACCCACCCCCTCGTGTGCTGTGCCGGCCTTTATAGGTGCTCGCGAACAGCACTTGCCCCTACAGTCTGTTAAGGCTATACGGGGGATCTTTATCTTTGTGCGCGTCTGCGCGTGTGCCTGTGTGGGCGCTTTTGTACGTATGCACGTGCGCGACTCGTGAATACGTTGTGAACTTAAGAATAGATATCAATGGATGCGTCGTTGCCTCCAAAGTAGCCACACGCATGCACCTGCACACACACCTGCACACACACCTGCACACACACCTGCACACACACCTGCACACACACCTTTACACCTGCACACACACCTGCACACACACCTGCACACACCTGCACACCTACACACACACCTGCACACACACCTGCACACACACCTGCACATACACCTGCACACACACCTGCACACACACCTTTACACATGCACACACACCTGCACACACCTGCACAAATGCACACACACCTGCACACACACCTGCACACACACCTGCACACACACCTGCACACCTGCACACGCGCACAGAGTGCCAGGGCACCATCGCCCTTTGCATCTCGAGTGTCACCGCTGCGCCGGGCTAACTGACCGAAGCCGCCCTCGTCGTTGCAGACGTCTGACGTGGGCCTGGAGCACACGCGTGCGCGCCAGCCGTACCAGGAGGGGGCGGAGTGGCTGAGGGGCCAGCAAATTGGGCTCGGCGCTTTCTCCTCCTGCTTCCAGGCGCAGGACATCGGCACCGGCACGCTCATGGCCGTCAAGCAGGTGGGAGCGCCGAGCGCGTGATCGGAAAGACTTCATCGGCGTCGTCGCCGTCGTTACAATTGCACTTGTCATCGCACGGCACTGAGCTATTAGTCATGCGGCGTTTGGCTGCTAACCACACATCCGCCCTTTGTGACCCACCGCTTGTTGGTAAAAATTCCTTAGGAAAGAGCCACGTTTTGAGCCCCGATTTTAAACCGTACAAAGTTGGCCATGACTGAAGTTCTCACTGAAGATGGTTTTGTGTTTTTGGAGCTCATTCTACGAGCAAAGAGCCTTCCACACTTCACGTGATGGCCTCAAAGTGCACCCAGGCTGGCGTAAGCGCCGTGGCGACGGCTGCTCTCTCCCTCCTCCTCCTCCTCCTCCTCGTCGTGCGTGCGTGCTTGTGTGCGTGCGTACGTGTGCGCGAGTCAACGTGTGCCCGTGGCCCTCGTGTCAATCCCAGGTGACGTACGTGAGGAACACGGCATCGGAGCAGGACGAGGTAGTGCAGACGCTGCGCGAGGAAATCCGCATGATGAGTCGCCTCGACCACCCCAACATCATCCGCATGCTGGGCGCCACCTGCGAGAAGAGCAACTACAACCTCTTCATCGAGTGGATGGCCGGTACGGCCCCAGCGTTCCGGCCTCGTTCTGTGTGCGAACTGTCCAGCCTGCGATATTAATTGTATATTTTCCATTTATTTGTGGCTTTATGTTTAAATCAACATTTGGGCGACGTCTGCTGAGGAAGCTCTGTGGGAGGTCGTTTACAGGAAGGGGGAGGAGTGAAATTTTGATGTTAACGAGTTTCCTGTGAAGTCCCTGGGACACCTGCCTATCCCAAAATAAAGTTCCATTCTGTTTTAAATATTTTTCACCATTATGGCTCTAGGTCAAAAGTTAAAGGGTCTCCCTGCTCACATGCAACTGTGCTCATCTCCTGAGCCAGTTGTGGAAATTCCACATTCCTATGGCAGGGGATAGTCTCCCCATAAGATGCCACAATTGGCTTCCCACAAAGCAGTACTTATTTTATTGACCCCAAAACGATAGTGGATATGAACTCCAAAGCAAAGTGTGCCAATGCCCGCCGAGGCCATCTGAATAATCGTCAGTATTTGGGGTCGTGTTTTATTTAGAAAATCCAATCTTTTTGGTTAATCTCATTTGTACTTTCTCGAGTTTGTATTTTTTTCTGGATTGTTCATTCGATGGCATTTCATTTATGTTAAAAAGCATTCGGCCTGCATTTAATTAGTAGAATTCGCAATTTTACGGGCAAGTTGCGAGCGTAAGAATCAATAATATAGGTTTTCTGGGTTAGATCGCGTAAATATATAAATGTGTCGTTAAACCCGCCACCGCCCGACTCGATTTTAACCACCGGATCGTGACGCACCTCCCGCTCGTCGCTCCTCCCGTCCTGGAGTCCGCCGAACGTCGGGAATCCTGCGGCAGCCCCGGGCCGGCCGCGGCCCCGCGCCTCCTGACAACGCTCGTGCCACGTGCGTCCTTTCCGCAGGAGGCTCCGTCGCAAACCTCCTCAACAAGTACGGGCCCTTCCACGAGCGCGTGGTCATCAGCTACGTGGAGCAGCTCCTGCGCGGCCTCGCCTACCTGCACTCCAACCAGCTGATCCACCGCGACATCAAGGGTCGGTCGCTCACGCCTCACTCGCCGCCCACGCCTCACTCGCCGCCCACACCGCCCACGCCGCCCACACCGCCCACGCCTCACTCGCCGCCCACACCGCCCATGCCGCCCACACCGCTCACGCCTCACTCGCCGCCCACACCGCCCACACCGCCCACACCGCCCACGCCTCACTCGCCGCCCACGCCTCACTCGCCGCCCACGCCTCACTCGTCGCCGGAGGTGGCCGAGCCAACGGGCGGTCGCTGCCAACCGCCGGCGACTCCAGACGAGGCGATGGCGTTCGTTTTTATCGCAAGCTGAGCTTGAACGCGTTAACAGGCAGAACCAAGGCGTTAATGCGTTGGTTCTGTCCGTTTGTATGTCCCTAACCGGGGGCGCGACGATTGTGGAGCCGGTGGGCATGGTGACTCTCGTCAACACGATCCAACGTGAACCAACCTGTGACAGAGAGTGGTGTTGCTATCTGAAACTTGACCGATTAAAAGTCGGCCACATTGATCAAGAGGTTTGCCAAAGTTTTGAAACTCAAACCAAAGCAAAAAAATAACTTATTGCACATGTGTAAATGTCCAAATGGCCCTGAGAGCTACCCACGGGCTCCCACACTGCCGATGGAACACCTCCGAAGACAAACAAATGTGGGAAATCGTTACACAATCCACGCTTAAACCTAATGTTCCTCACTTGTTTCACCACATTTTTCTTATTTCTAGTTCTAATGGCTCAAGGCTATAGTTTTAATTTCAGGTGACATTCAGTGTCTCGACCCCCCAGCGTAGACTCCAGGCCTGTTCCAGCGATTCCAGAAGTGCTCCTCTCATCATCTGAGGGTAGTTGTAGACAGGAAGATGTCTGTTTAATCCCATAACATGACAGAGCAGATGCCACAATTTGAATTCCAAATACTTTGGCATTGACAGGGAAAAGCGTTTCTGTGTTCTCCAGATTATAAGACCCTTACAAAAACTTTGAGTTCTATTCACTTAATGATCAGTTTCGATGATGTCATTTACTGTTGATTCCAATTTCTGTCTCCCCATGGTAATTCCAGAGGAATTCCACTGATCTGGTTATTAATGCAAGGAATTTCAATTTCCCCCCAAAAAAGTTTATCATCTCCTATGTGGCGGTGCCAGAAGGAGGTCGCGTTTTGCCCTCTGACCCCTGGCAGCTCACACAACGGAGGCCTGTGCGGGCCCAGCGATGCGTGACTGCCTCAGGTGTAGCGCATTACCGATTAACCTGAGGAACAACCGCACGCCTCTCCATAACGGGTTCGCGTTGGCGCTCCGGCCAAATTACTGGCAGCTTCTAAACGTTTAAAAAAATTGCACTCGTTGCTCAGATGTGTTCCCACAAACCCCGGCGCTCCCCGCGAGCGCGGCACTCACAGTGAGTGTGACGATCACTGGGAGCGCCACACTCCCAGTGAGTGTGGCGCTCACAGTGAGCGTGGCGCTCCCAGTGATCGTCACACTCACTGTGAGTGTGGCGCTCCCAGTGAGCGTGGCGCTCACAGCGAGCGTGACGCTCCCAGTGAGCGTGGCGCTCACAGTGAGCGTGGCGCTCACAGTGAGCGTGGCGCTCACAGTGAGCGTGGCGCTCACAGTGAGCGTGGCGCTCCCAGTGAGCGTGGCGCTCACAGTGAGCGTGACGCTCACAGCGAGTGTGGCGCTCACTGTGAGTGTGGCGCTCACAGCGAGCGTGGCGCTCACAGTGAGCGTGGCGCTCCCAGTGAGTGCTCCCAGTGAGTGCTCCCAGTGAGCGCCACACTCGCGAGCGGAATGTGCGGAGGCATCGCATTCCTCGTCCCAGGATGCGCACCGCCACGCAATTTACATTCACGTCCTTGACGACCCACGCTGTTGTGGTGGCGCAGGGGACCCTCGCCGCTGCGCCCGCTCACGTGCGACGAGGGCTGTGACGATTAGCGCCCCGCGCCTCCGATGAGCACGGTTACGTACGGCGCGAAAGAAGTTCGACACGCACGCAAACTTGTATTAACGAGGGCTGTGACGAGTAAAAGGCAAAGGCGTATCACTGAAACTTCTGGCTTGCGCCACTGCTGGGGGAAGGGCCTCCACGAGAGTGAGCCCCTGAGAGAGCCTCTCCAGAGGGTGTTTCTGGCCTCCTCTTCCGCTCTGGCCAGACGTCTTGGCAGAGGTTGGAGAACCCACACTTTACTCCACCGCACACAGCTGATTAACTGTGGTGAACTCATTGACGCCGCTGGGTGGACACAGTCAGCCGTGGGGGGATTTAAGGAACTTTGCCGTGCCAGGAGGTGGGACCGGTGACCTCTCGATGGCACGTCCGGTGTTCTAACCGCTACACCGCAGTGGCAGCGTTATAGAGAAGAGTAGCGCGATTTTGCCAAAATACCAGATCAAAAAATAATAAAAATGAAGCCATGGAAACATGTTTAAGGGCAGTTTTAATGGGAATGTCGTCGTGTGCGGTGAGACTGTGGCCCAAGGATGTTGCAGATCCAGTGGCGATGTTTCGGGAAAAAGAGCGCTCCTGCTGTTGGAAAAGGAGATGGAAAACCTCGGCATTTCATTTCACAAACGCAGTCAGCCGCTGCCTGCGTTTGTTAAATGAAATGCCGAGGTTTGTTGTTGTTCTAGTTTATATATACAGTATATTGTTTCTGGGGGCGACAGTACGGAATGTAATTTATACAGCATACCATTTCTGGGTGTATTTGTCGATAATTAAGCAGAGTGCTCTGCACTTCCCCCACTGAAACGATTTTATCGTGGAAATCGGGGCCTTAATTTCTCTATCATTTCTTCACATCACCATGAAAAGTGCAGACCTTGGTCCATCCACTGCTGGATGAAGGTCCTCCCACACAGTATCGAGGCTGGCCAGGCCAGCTTTGTTATGACGAGGGAGGAGGGGGTGGCCGGGAGTCCAATCCGAGGTCACCGGCTTCACAGAGCGTGACGCCAACTCCTGCGCCACCGCTCCCCCCACCCCGCTATCGCTGTTTACTCCGTGATAATCGTACGCCTCGAGTGGGGCTGTTTGCGGTCACAGGGTATTATTAAAGAGGGAAGGTTGTTGATGGCCACTGTCCTTGATCTGAGTTAAAATCAGGGACAGGAAGAGTGCAGCTGCAGACAGATATGCAGTCATTCCCAACTGAGAAGAATGGGTGGGAGAGAGCGATAATGCACAGGATACCACACGCGACACATTGGGGCGCCTGATACCATTGTGAGTGTGTGGCCTTTTGGATATCTGTGGCAGACAATTGAAGAAAATGTTAAAGCAGCCATTTAACAATGGCTTGTTTCTAAATGTGTATTGGACGTATTCATTCCGTCGAGTTGAGTATTGACCGAGGTTTGGGCGTTCAGCCAATTACAATCCGGTGTTCTCGATCGCACGGGCAGACAAATTAAACCGGCACGGGCAGACAAATTAAACCGGCACGGGCAGACAAATTAGACCGGCACGGGCAGACAAATTAAACCGGCACGGGCAGACAAATTAAACCGGCACGGGCAGACAAATTAAACCGGCACGGGCAGACAAATTAAACCGGCACGGGCAGACAAATTAAACCGGCACGGGCAGACAAATTAAACCGGCACGGGCAGACAAATTAAACCGGCACGGGCAGACAAATTAAACCGGCACGGGCAGACAAATTAAACCGGCACGGGCAGACAAATTAAACCGGCACGGGCAGACAAATTAAACCGGCACGGGCAGACAAATTAAACCGGCACGGGCAGACAAATTAAACCGGCACGGGCAGACAAATTAAACCGGCACGGGCAGACAAATTAAACCGGCACGGGCAGACAAATTAAACCGGCACGGGCAGACAAATTAAACCGGCACGGGCAGACAAATTGAACCGGCACGGGCAGACAAATTAAACCGGCACGGGCAGACAAATTAAACCGGCACGGGCAGACAAATTAAACCGACACGGGCAGACAAATTAAACCGGCACGGGCAGACAAATTAAACCGGCACGGGCAGACAAATTAAACCGGCACGGGCAGACAAATTAAACCGGCACGGGCAGACAAATTAAACCGGCACGGGCAGACAAATTAAACCGGCACGGGCAGACAAATTTAACCGGCACGGGCAGACAAATTAAACCGGCACGGGCAGACAAATTAAACCGGCACGGGCAGACAAATTAAACCGGCACGGGCAGACAAATTAAACCGGCACGGGCAGACAAATTAAACCGGCACGGGCAGACAAATTAAACCGGCACGGGCAGACAAATTAAACCGGCACGGGCAGACAAATTAAACCGGCACGGGCAGACAAATTAAACCGGCAGGTGTTGACGGTGCCCGCCGCCGGTTCACGCTTGCGGCGCGTCCACCTTACATCGTGCACCGCGGCGCGGTCACCCCCCTCGCGGAATCAAAGCCCCTTGTTGTTAGAGAGGGCAAGCCTTTGTGTGTTTATATTTTGACTTGTTATCGGAGGGCTTGTTTATTTTTGCGTGACTTTAAAACGTCACCCAGGGACAGAGAGCGCCCGAGAATAGTCTCCCCGGTCGGCCCCTCGTGACACGTCCTGTCATCGGCAGCCCCGAGACGTCTTCACCGCCCCCGCCAGGGCTCGTCTCTCTCTGTAGCTCTCCGGGAAAATAAAACATGCTGCCTGGTTTCTGCCACCGCTCGGGTGGTCGTTTCAGTGATGAAATTCAAAGGCGGCCGCCGTCGTGTTTGGCTGCGCTGCCACCCGAAACGGACCGTGTGCTCATCGCGTTATGTAGTTACCGATCCAATCGGCTGCACGCAGAAGAGTGGAATGTGTTGAAGACACATGGTGATGGCTGTGACCGTACAGGCCATGGTGATTGCGATGTTAACGATGTAACAGATGTTGACGGGAGAGAAGATGATGATTTAGCAGTAAGGAGTAATAATAGTTTTGCTGAAACGTTGATGGTAGTCGAGTCCAATAACCTTTACCATTTTATAAAACCAATCATATCAACGGCCTTAATCACGTATTGGCAGAAAGGTAATTTTCACCAGTATTTGGTGGCAGAAACCAGGAAGCATGTTTGTTATTCCACCCAGGATTAAGTGAATATGTTAATCAGCATAAAGCAAAATATGCCTGAATGACTGAGCACATGAAGGATCGTTTCTGTTCATATTTTTGTGATTTACTTTGGTGCACTTTGATATTTTGGGTTTGAAGCTCTGCTTGACGGTGCTGGGGATGTTCGTCGTGATGAATGGAAATTGTGACAGGGGCAGACGTGGCACAAAGCGTCGATTGACCACTCTTGGAAGTGAGATACGGAATTGGTGCATGTGACAAGTGTGGCCTCTAGAGGGGCTGCATTCACCACAACTTGAAACAAGTATCCATTCTCGAGTCACCACCACTGAGAATTGTCACAATTTAAATCACCACGGGACAAATGTTGCCCACGAGACAATGCGGGCCAAGGGTGTGAATTGTGAACACGGTGACGCCGCGGGTCGCCGTTGTGATGGTTTTGGCACCGCAGCTCCTGCGTTGGCACCAAGTCTGAAGGAATCCGCGCCACCCAAGCGTCACCAACAAGAGAAACGAAGTCGTCTAGCGCCACCTAGCCGTGCTGACGCCACTTTGTTGACGGGATCTCGCTGGCGGCCCCAGATCGAGTGTGTTCTCTGTGTGCAGGAGCTTATCCTCTGTGTGTGTTCGCTGTGTGCAGGTTCTAACCCGTGTGTGTGTGTGTGTGTTCTCTGCGTGCGTTCACTCTGTGCAGGAGCCAACTTGCTCGTGGACAGCATGGGCCAGAGGCTGCGAATCGCCGACTTTGGCGCGGCCGCTCGCCTCGCATCCAAGGGCACAGGCGCCGGCGAATTCCAGGGGCAGCTGCTGGGCACCATCGCCTTCATGGCCCCCGAGGTGAGCAGGGGGCACAGCACCTCCCGCGTCGCGCTCCAGCCGTGAAATTGGCGCGACGGTCGGGAATTCCGCGGCGTGAGGGCGGCCGCTCGCCTGGTCCCTCGTGAGGCGACGGCAACCCGGCCCTGGCAGAGCCACGCGCGACGAGAAAGTGGAACGGAAACGGCGAGGCACGCGAGGGAAGTCGGCAGTGCCGCTCGGATTCCGCCGTGCACACGGGGAGACAGCCGACATCTTTATCTGGTCCTCCCAAGTGATTTCTGAGCCGGGAAAAAATCATCGTCTGATGTGGTTTGCGAGGACAGTTGCTTAGATGTGGTCCTGGTCCCACCTCCCATTTGTATCGTGTCAGTCTTAAAAAATATTAACAAGAGGGGAGTGGTCGTGTCGCGGTTCGCGCTACGAACCCGGCGACCCGAGTTTGATTCCTGCTCACAGTCAACACCAGTGACGATTATCTGAACCGGTCATGGGCTTCCCCTAGGTCGACTCAGCCTTAAATTAGTACCTGGTGCAATGTGTGAATGTCACCACTGGGGAGGCAAAGGCGGCCGGGCGTGGTGCTGACCACTCACTCCCACGGGTGCCGCGCCGCTCTTCATAGGTGCTCGTGACCAGCATTTGCCCCAACTGTCTGTTAAGGCTACACGGGGGGTATATATCTAAAGGACAAGTTTTGTTTTCGTGATTAAATTGTTTTTTGGCGTAGCCGGCAGTCGTGGAGTAACGATGCACCGATGCGTTGATGTATATCTATTCTTACGCCCACGATACACGCATCAAATAGTGCACGTACGAATCGATTCGCTTATACTTGTAGAAGCCGCATGTAATCAGTTCACGTGACACCTGCAGACTCTGAAAGTGCTCAGCGGTAGAGCGAGCGGCCCACAATCGGAAGGTTGCAAGTTTTAATCCTGGCTAGGGGTTGACTCAATTTATCATCGCTCTGGGGACAATAAAATTCGAATCACTTTGTGGAGAAATCAATAATGGTTCTCCCATGGAAGGCCTCTCCCCTGCCATAGGAATATGTAACTTCCACCACTGGCTCAAGGCTATAAACAGGTAGAGAACACCACCTCAGTGATCATTGAACAGTGAATCGCTTTGACCTTTAAACCCTCCCCCCTCACCCACCCCTGTGGTGCAACCATTCATCAAGATGAGTTGGTATTTGTCCATTAGGCAGCGAGAGCGTTGCGTGGTGCTTGTGTGTGGGTGGGCGTGTTTGCTCTGGGAGCTGCAGAATAACATTTAGTTCTGCCACAGTTATGCTGGACTTCAGTGGGTGTGGTACACTTGATATGTGGTCTGTACTCGGCTTGTTTAACTCTGACTCTGGGCCTGAATCGGCAGGGGTAGGTGGTGATATTTGTCGAGATATGTGTTCGTGTGTGTGCCCATTAACACTTCAGCTATGGAGTGCCCCATGCAGTGGTGCGCACCGTGACACATTAGAGACTGATACCTGCATTCGCCAACTGAGCGTGGATACAAACGAGTCATCGTGATAATGATCGTTACAGTGCTGTATATTCACACAATTTAAACGACAGCCATTATTCTTTCGTACCCTGCGGCGCACAGATAAAGCAACTTATTTTTTGGAGCTGCGACGAATGTTCTGGCCGACGTCTGGGTTCCTTAGCCACTTGATGGCACTGGCGATGATCTCATCAGTTCCTCCGGTTCCGCCGCCGCCACTGCCGTTGGGTGGTCGCGACGGGCGAGCAGCGGTCGGCCGTGCGCTCCGTGGCCCACCGGGCAGGGTGGGACCATCTCCTTAGCTTCCGCTCGGCCGGGCGATGTCCGAACGCGGCGATTCACCGCGGTGCGGTGTTTGTCGGCCACCAAACCCCCGAGAGCAACGGGCACAAATCTATTGGGCTTGCCACCACTCAGTTAGCCATGACCGTGCATTGCTCGCGTTTGCAATCGTGCTCCGATGGAGAGACTGCGCACGTGTCGGGCTCCCGCCCCGTGCCAGACGAGACACCGTCCACGAGGTTGGCTTTGTAGGGGCGCTACGGTGGCGAGATGTGAACTACCTCGCCTGGTATGCAGGAGGTCGTGGGTTCGATTCTCTCCCTGATGCCTGCTGTATATTTCGAGTTTGCATCTTCTCCCCGGTTTTTTCCTCCACATTTAGAAACGTGCATTTAGAGTATTTGGCTGCTATAAATTTCCACGTGATAAGTCTCTTTGTTGAGCTATCATTTGTGGCCAGGTCGCTTCTGAAAAAGCGCTATATAGCTCAGTAGTAGTTTAGAATCGGCAAAGTGTGGCCCCGTAATTTTCATCGAGTGCGCCGTGCTTTTCTCGGCCCGTTGTGCAGGTGCTCCGAGGCCTGCAGTACGGACGGAGCTGCGACATCTGGAGCGTCGGGTGCGTCATAATCGAGATGTCGTGCGCCAAGCCGCCGTGGAATGCAGAAAAACACTCCAACCACCTCGCCCTCATCTTTAAGGTGAGGGGTGGAGGCGCACCTCTGCAAACGGAGTACGCCCAGTCCTTCCACAGAAGCGAGGTCGCGGCCTCTATGGGCCGTGTAAACACTTGCACTGTTTGCGTTCTCCTTCCTTTAGAAGCCTAGATTGACCGAGGGGAGGGGAGGGGTGCCCGGGGACTATATTTTGGCGGTTTAGTGGTGAGCGACACACGCAACGAACCCGGCAGCCCGAGTTTAATTTCCGGCCACAGCCACGGCTACCATTTTCGCTGATTATTATTCAAACCGATCTTGGGCCTTCCCTTGGTCGATTTAGCCTTTAAAGAGTAGCTGGCAAAGTATGGGAACATCAGCACTGCGGAGACAAAGGCACCCGGGCGTGGTTCAGGTCACACCACCACCACCACCACCACTCACATTGAGTGCCGTCCCGCCTTAATAGGTGCTCACGAAAAACACTTGCCCAACCAGCCTTTGTAGGCTACATGGCTTTTTATCTTGAGTGTGTGTGTGGTGACGTGAACAATACACTGTGGTTACTACTCATCACTTCCTGTGCCAGACGGCTCAGCGATAGAGAAAACCGCTATCAAAGGCTTGCGAGTTCAAATCTTGATTGGGGGTTGACTCCGCCTATCATCCCTCTGGGATCGATAAAACGAGTACCACTTTCTGGGGAAGTCAACAATAATCTTCCTATGGATGAACTCGCCCCTGCCATAGGAATGTTGAATTTCCACCACTGACTCGGGGCTGTAAATGGGAGGAGATGAGCACTGTCTCAACGCAGGAAACCGCTCTGAATTCTCGTGCAGTTCTGCCCGTCGTGTTTTCGTGGGGATTTTCCGGCGCGCTATTTGATGCCAGCATGCCGCGAGCTCAAGGATCGTTTTCGCTGCCGCAGATTGCGAGCACCACGACGGCCCCGACCGTGCCGCCCACGCTGTGCCCGGGCCTGCGGGACGTGGCGCTGCGCTGCCTGGAGCTGCAGCCCTCCGACCGGCCGGTGGCGCGCGACCTCCTCAAGCACCCCGTGTTCCGCGCCTGGTAGCGGGGCGGGAAGAGGGGCTGGGGGGGCGGCCAACAGCCGGCCGCAACAGCAGGTGGCATGCGGATTCAGTGGCACGGCCACACAGAGCTACGATCACTCCATGGTACAGCCACTCGGTGGGACAGCTACCCGCTTGTGCAGACACCCACTGGTACAGCCACCCACTGGTACAGCTCACCAGTTGATGAGGCGCCCTGTGGTTCAGTTATCTGGCGGTTTAGCTACGCAGTTGTGAAGTTTCTCAGTGGTACAATGAGCCGGCTTGGCATGCAGCGCACGCAATAACTAGGCGGGTGACTATCAAATAACCCCGTGGACTGACTCGTCAAGCAGTCGGTAGAGCAAGGGAGACAACCAGAGAACCAAAGAGCACGCCAAGCAAGCAGCTGTCGTATCATCTCACCAGCCTGTCAGCCACCAAGCAGCAAAGCCACTTGGCAAGCTGGAGAGATCGCCAACGAGCCGCCAGCTCGACGGCCAAACAGCACTGCGGTCAACCGGCGAGCGGTCGGTCGCATCCTACGCGGTGCACGCTCGCCCACGGCGCGGGTTCCTCGGGCCTCTTGATCTTGGCTGGAGCGTGATTGTGCAGAGCTGGCGGCGGTGGCCTCTCGGCACCGCGAGCGGGGTGCACTGCTCGCCTTCGCTGCTGCACGGTCGCCTGCATGCGGTGGGCCACCGTCTGTAGATCACGGTGCCGTCCAATGAAAAGATCTTCCACGACGAGGTGGCGTGGGGTGGTATTTAAGCAATGCTCACGTTGGTTACTTTATTTCGGCAGTGTCAGTCTCTCTCCATAGGCAGCGACGTCTCGTCTTGTCTCTATGCACGTGCTGTCGCCAGCGCCCGTACGGTCGGGTTGGGGGCGGTGTTGGGAAGCTGCGGCGAGCGGGCCGGTTGGGTTGGTGCTCTGTCCGGATTGTTTGTTCCCCTCCAGGCGATTGGGCTCGCCTGGTCCCAGACGTCTGCTGCCACAGCCCTGCGTGCGCTGGCAACGTGGCCGCCCCGGCGGAGCGAGAACAGTACTGACGGTCCACAACTGGCAGTTGCCACGTTCAGTTTTTTTTTATTTGAGACTCCTTTTAAGTCTTTCCTGTGACTGTAAATAGAAAATAAAGACCCCTTGGCAGCTGTTAACATTTTAATTTAAACTGATGGGGTTTTTTTACGAAAGTATTTTAGTTATTATTTGCTCGGTTCAGGATATGCACGTCCGTAGCTATTTGGAGTCTAGAACTTGCGAAGAGGTAATAACTACTGTTTGACAAATCGGGGGATCTTGCGGTGTTTGTGGCTCATTCTGCAGTCAGGGACGGTCCCTTGGTCGATCTTCTGCAACTCTTCTGACACTTTGCTCCTTGGCTCCTTCCTGTCACAAATCCGTTTTCTTTCTCTTAGACTAACCAGGTTGTTTTAAAACAAAAAAAGGGATGTAAATGTAATTTATTCTTTGGGTTTTCATTACTTGAATAGTGGGTACACTTTAATTGGGGTTTTTGTTGTTTAGGGTACAGCATATTCTGTACTGAGCGTCGTAGATACTCCGTGCCTGCGCTGTGCGCTGCCTCCTCCGCACGCACCCTTTATTATATGTTGATGTTTTTTGTGTTGTTGGGGATTCATTGGAAGTTATTGTGCGGAGGAGTTTCCGGGCAGCTGCCCAGCCGCCCGCCCGCCCGCCCGCCCACACGGCGATGCTAAACAAGCAGAGCGGCGCAGCGCCCTTCCGGAAGCTCTCGCCGTGGATGAGAAACAGCAAACCGGCAAAAAGGGCCCCACAAACACAGAACGGCTGCTCCGTGGCAAGCCGCCCAAATATTTTAGCATTTCACCAACAACAACAACAACCTTATATTTAGTTTGAGCACACTTTTGAAAAGGCTCTCCGGTGACTAGATCAGTTGACTGGACATGTAAATGTGGAACGTTGCTATGCGGCCCACTTTTAAAATGAAACTCAATCCGTTGATTCCATCGCCATCGTCGTGATGTCTGCCGTTGTTACAACTGCCTCAAGTACTTATCTGCAAAACGTCTCGCCCAGCAGAGGATACCACCAAGCTGAATACAGAGGCATTTGGTTTCTGAATGCAATCAGGGATAGAGGTGGTAAACTGGTAGCTGAAGGACATTGAATTAGATGCAGTGGTTTTTAATAATGCGCCAAACTTTGCCTTCAGCAGTGGCACAAGCATTCATGATAATTATTCCTTGTTACCCTTGTAACAGAGGAGCACCTGGAGTAGTTGAGCTGATATCGGCTTCCCCCGGCGATATCTCTCGCCCTTGAGATTCGTTTCAAAAGGAATCCATGCCAATGATCACGATGCTAACTTAATTATATTTCAAATTTGTTGTTATATTTTTGAAATCGGTTTCTATTTGTTTTATTTTAGTTAATATCTTTGATGTAAACAAAATCAGTTCATAGCGCCAAACTAAGCATGCACAAAGCTCAGTTTCATTGTAAGATTCATAATTTTTTTCTTGCCGAGTTCTTGTAACTTTTCATTTTGAATTATTGAAATTGTTCATCGAGTCAATTCGCGTCATTTTCAATCAACACTGCCACGTTGCGCCCAGCTGACCTTGAACGCTGCAGCGACGCTCCCCTGGGTTGAACGCGCACGATTCCCTCCTCCATTGCCAGCCCTGCATTGCTGCTGCGCTCGCTCGCTCGAGCCGCGGTGATGGCGCTTGGCGTGCGCTCCTGCTGTGGGGCGCGTCGCCTCTCGCCAGCGCTCGCGGGCGCTGGCGCGGTGACCGCCCTGCCGCACGCTCCGAACCTGCCGCTGCCGATGCCGTCCTGCGTCTGTGCTCGTTGCAGGGTGGCCCTGACCCGATGTGCCCGCGCTTTAGAAGTGCGTGATGCATCGATAAAGATCCGACGCCCAGCGAGGTTGCAGGATGGTGTGTCACGCTAAAAGTTTGAGAAGGCCCCTCTGCTCTTTGTGATATTTTCTAGGAATGGAATACAAGCCTAAGCCTTTCAGCCTAATGTTGTAGCAGATGCGTCAGTTTCCTTATGGAGTTCGATCGAGGACATAAGTCTGCATTACTTTTTGATGAACGATGTTGTTGCGTGGCTGTGGGTGCCGGTGTATGCCGAGGGCCCCTCTCCATCATGGTCTCGGTCCGTGACTCCATTACCTTCTCAGGGTCTGGTTCGCTAATTAATCTCCGTGCCCCATACTACCCCAGGTTAAGGTCTTACCATTTCCTCCTGACAGCAAAGCAGAGGTTTTGCACCGGTTTACAACAAACATCTGTGGGTGTTAAGTGCAGCTGCCAGATTTACAAAGTAAAAAAAGCGTTAACTCTCTACTCTGCAAAAGCACCACTACTCGCGTCTGATATGTTCACTGTCCTGAGTCTCTCTGACGTGTGTTCTCGCTGTGCCGCGTGTTGTTGGGCGTGATGAGTTTCGCGTCTGAGAGCTACACAGCACAACCGCGAAAACCAATGTCCTCAACTTAACAAGAGGAAATCCCAGCGAGGTTATCTGTAGCCAGGGGGAACCTGATTAGCAATAGATGAGAAGTGACACTGTGATTAATGTTGGGATTTCGATGAAGACACCAGCCTACGATGACCCACGTTGTTTAACGATGCCACGGACTCGTCGATGTCCATCGTGCGCTCGAGTAATCTCCCGCAGGCGTCGCCGGGCACCGCACGGAGTCGGTCCGTAGGCCCCGTAGGCCCCGTAGGCCCCGTACACTTCGACTGTCTGGCGAGGGTGATAACCAGCGGGCCTCGGTTGCCAACGCGGGCTCCTGTTGGTCAGCAGTGTGACAAGGGAGGAGAGCAGTGAGAGAGAGACGAGCACTTAAACCTCGCAGTTTGCTACCGTGTCTTGCACAATCTATTTGGCCCCCACTATCCCAACATGGGTATAGCATTAAGATGTATTTTTTTTAAGGATTTCAACGTTTTTTTATTTCATGTTATTGTTGTTGGTTAACTTTTCTGCACTTAAAAATCGTTATAATTTAACGCACATGTATTTTGAGGTGTAAACCCACCAATGTTGTACCCCTAGTTTCTGAAAGGACATGTTTGGATGCTGGTTGACGTAACTTCACTATTAACAAACAGCTATAACAAACATTCTCATTTCAATGAATAATTTGTATAATGGTGGATTTGTTTAATGTTAGGCATGACCATTTCAGACGTTTTACGTAAATTCTGTTTAACCTTTACAAGAAATGGTCATTTCAGATATTGGAAATTCACACCTGTGTACCAAAGATGAATGTACATATTCAGCTTCTCATTTACATGGCAGAGTTTTGTCCGTGCGCTAATTGAAGCGAGCTCATAGTCAATGAACATATCTTTCCACAATAGAGGTTTTTTGGGTTAGATCGCATAAATATATAAAAGTGTCGTTAAGCCCGCCACCACCCGACACGGCCAATTAGTAAGGTTTGTCACGTAAACAGAACGTGCCAATTCGTTATTAGTACAGCACTAACCGGTGTTTACGTGATAAACCTCACTGATTGTCGTGTGGTGGTGGGTTTAACGACACATTTATATATTTACACGAGCTAACCCCAAAACAACAACTCTATTTTGGACATTGGTTGTGAAAACCTACGTGTTAAACGAACATATCTTTGTCAGAAATATTTCAGTAAGATCTGACAAGTATATTTACCAACATGTATTAGGTTTCATCTTACACCCATTGCATTTTATTAGAAAATGTATTCAACTTAAAAATAAATTTCAGGGACTTTAACAATGATTTCGCAACATTGGTGTTAATACCGTTTAAATATTTGCTAACTTGCTTTTATCATTTTCAACTGGTTATTTTCATTTTATTTCATCGTAAGGGAAAATACTACTGTTTTGCCTATTAAGACAATTGTTACCTTTTTAACGAAGCTTAATGTTTTAAGCTTAAGCTTTCGACTTGTTTATGTTGGACGTTGAATAATTTATAAAGCGTGTGCTACTATGCAGTTGGAGACACTGGAATCACACGTCGTCGTCGTTGTTGTTGTTCGGCTAACCACTATTGGAACTTCTCCGTGTTCCTCCAGACCACGGTGGGCACACAACCCACATCACTCCTCGCAGCACACTGAGCCATTCGAAAAAGCGACAAACAGCCACGCACCGCGCCGTGCCCGTGCGCTGCCGTGATCACGATGGGGTTTTGTTTGTTTTTCACCCCGTACCCCCCCACCCCGCATCGGTCTTTTGAATCCTCGTCTGTAAACGGAACTCGACTTACCCTGTGGGGCCGTGCTTGTGGGCAACGGAGAGCTCGGCACGAGGTACAGCTCCCGGTGGCCTGCCCTGAGACACCGCGGGGTCCCCTGGCCTGAGATACCGCGGGGTCCCCTGGCCTGAGACACCGCGGGGTCCCCTGGCCTGAGACACCGCGGGGTCCCCTGCCCTGAGACACCGCGGGGTCCCCTGCCCTGAGACGCCGTCTTTAAAGGGAGCCGCGATTCACTCGAGAGCCGGAACCCCGTGCTCTTCTCTTGCTCGATCTTTGCCTGAACAATCAAGATTATAGCGTGAAACTAAACAAGAAGAGAAAACGATCTAAAGACAAAATGCTGAACGAATACATTCAGCATAGCTGTTATTTCTTTATTTGTTTAAAAAATAAAGTCGCGAGCAATAAACGTGAGACGCGAATTACCGTTTGCGTTCAACGATGTCGGAGGCGCGATTGATGGATTTGACTTTTGGTGTTTTTTTGTTCATGGAGTTTAGACGCAGTGCAGGTGAAAACTGAACAACGGTGTCCGTTCAACGTTGCATGTCGTAAATAAGAAGGCTTTAATTCACATTCGCTTTAACACACGTTTTTATTTAACTCGAGGGAACCTTTCAAAAACAATTGAAGAGCAAATTTCCAATCTTTTCAACTCCACCATCAGATGTACGAGCGCCCATTACGAGGACGCGCAGCGTTGCACTTTATAAACTTACGGCTGTAATTTGACGTCACTGTACATACACAGCTATTACTCTAGGGCTATATTGTGACAAATATTCGGGTTGTCCACTTTGGAGATAGAGGTTATTGTCAGTTTTGTTAGACTTTTCTTATTTTTTTGTACAAATTACGTTGGTAAATAATTGTATATATTTCGTACGTGATAAAAAAACAGCAGTGTTCTCAATGCACCATCGCATTTGCCAAACCAAATTAAGTTCACAACCGATAATTGATGATTATTTCTCTGATAGCTTATTACGAATGCTTTAAACGGAATGGATCTTTTTGGGAAACAATTTTCCGTGAACGTATATATATTTTTGAGATTTGTTAATCTAAACAGTGGAGTTGTGAGTTTTGGAGATTTGCTCATCATTGGTGGGAATGGTTTTTCTACGTTTTTGAGGAACGCCATTTCGACTTTTGTATAAGAAAGTTGTTCCCTGTGGGAAAGAAGAGGGCATGGTCTCCTCAGTCGCTGAAACATTTCATTGGGAAAACAAAGATTGATGGGAATACGTGCGAGCACTTTGTTCAGCAATTTGTTTTGTATTAATATATAATCCATACGTGGATTATGGGGAGAATAATGACCCAGCTTTTTGTAATTGCGTTCACACTTAATTCATCCTTTTCAGTCTGCATCAATGCAAAACATCGCCACTCCGTTGTGCAACACAAGTGGCGATGTTGATTTGAATAAATCCCATTATATTTAAATTACAGTGAATGCATATTCTTGAGTCTTTCGGTAAAGTCACGTAGATGGTTCAAAGAAAATAGCAAAAAACTACGACGTTTCGATCACAACACAAGCGATCATCATCGCGATCGTCATCGCTTGTGTTGTATTCGAAAGACCCAAGACTATGAATGCCTGCAGTCACGAAAGCTTTAAGTCAACATTAAGAGTGAATGTGTAGAATTTGCCTCGTGCCATCGAGGCGTTCTACCGCCCTGTGTCACGAGTCCCAACTGGGGCACCTGGAATGGTAAAAACCACAACCCCGGCTTGCTTCTCCACTGACTTAATCACCAATGGGGCGAGCAATTGGGGTGTGCTTTATGAAAGTATTCAGAGTGCAGATTTTTTTTTCAAGTGTAAACATAGTTCAATACTGTAAATGCTGTTACATTGTAAGGTTGTTATGATGTCGCCCTCGGCTCGTCTGTTCGCGTCGTCAATGTACAGTAGACGTGAGGAGTTTGTCGGCTGTGACGACTCCCCCCGTCGTCCTCCTCGCCTCCGCTTCTGCCCCCAGTTGGAATCCGACTACCTCAGTGCCTTCTCTGCTCCCATCTCTGCCAAAGTTGCCCCTTTTGATGTTGACGCTTGCAACGATTATTTCCTTGACTTCCCCGTCACGTTTCCGAGAGAGACTTTAATTTTATTGCTTTTGGGGTTTCTAAGGGCTAACTTCTCTTAGCACCTTGTATTGAATACACCGCGGACACACAAATAAGTAAAATCAAACCATTCGTTTTGAACATGTTGATTGTATACTCTTAAAGTGAGTGTTTCTGAACTGTTTTAAAATAAAGTTTGTTGCAAATGAACACAAAGGATGATTTGTTTTACTTGCCGAGTGACTGAAATGCACGACGCGTGACGAGGTCCATCTGTGTGTGGCCAAGATGTGACGAAAAGTTATTTGCCCTCACTGCCACGGACATGATGATCGTGGCTTTGAATCCAGAATTACCGCTGTTGTTTTAAGACCGCATTTGATTTCGCCTTAAGTAAATGTGCGAGTTAAAATTCCAGTCGGGGTTCATCGCTATCATTGTTTTCTGAATCATTTAGATAAACACTGCTTTGTGGAAAGTCAACGGTTGACACGTCTCTTGGATAGACTGGCAACTGCCAGATGAATGTCGAATTTCCATCACAGCTCCGGGATAGCGAACGATGCCCATTGAGTAGGGAGATGGCCCTGTTCGTGAAGGGAGCAACATTCCTGTTCTGCAGGAAATGTCGCTGGCGGTCTCGTGCCACAGAAAGCAGAGCCACCACATTCATCAGCGCGGTTTGGTGCCAATCTATTAAATTACTGACAAAGGTCTCGCTGGGCCTCAAGATTTTCGTGAGGGTTGTGTTGGTGGTAAGGGATGCCCACAGACTCTCGTGCGCGTGCAGGAGAAGGGGGTTTTGGGAAAGTGTTTGGCGCAACGCCGAGAGCGGCTTCCTATACTCCAGTCGGCGCGATCCACCACCACCGTGCTCAGTCTTTCCGCGTTCAATTTACTCCTTCACAATCAAATTAACTCGTTCCACGTGCCCCATGACTGTTCAGCAGGTGACGCGCTCAGCAATTAACGCTGTCTGCGCCACGCGGAACGCACCAACACGTGAACACACACACTGAGAGCTCTTCTTTGGTTCTTTCGGTAAAGTCACGTAGAATGAGAATAAAATAATACATTGATAAAATAAAATAACACAATAATATTCTCACGACGTTTCGGCCACAACACAAGCGGCCTTCATCAGGTGAAGGGACGAGACTGTCTGGTAGGACAGCGCTGGAGTGAAAGAGCCACGTTCAGATCACGACCTTTAAGCTGTGTGAGAGGAAACAAAGCGCCTTGACAAAGGAATTAGCATATAATTTAGCATTGAAATGGCTGAGTGATTAGCTTGTGACTGGTCACAGAAATAGCTATGTTAAAAGTTAAAGCATACACATCCGCAGAGGCACCCCTTGATAAAGGAATTAGCATAGAATCTAGCATTGAAATAGCTAAGTTAAAGCATACACATCCGCAGAGGCACCCCTTGACAAAGGAATTAGCATAGAATTTAGCATCGAAATAGTTGAGTGATTAGCTTGTAACTGGTCACAGAAATAGCTACGTTAAAGTCAGAGCATACACATTCACCGAGGCACTTAGTACAAATCAAACAGGAGAATTTAGCATTGAAATAACTAGGCGAATTTAGCATTCAATGCTAACGACCGTCACGTGGGACTTGTTTAACAAATATGGGGCGCGTGCAGCGTTGAACGAGTTCATTTGAATGGGGATGAGAACATTGGTGGACGCGGAAAGACGTGGTGTGGTGGTGGGTTGCGAGGACTGGAGTTTTGGGAGTCTGCAAGGCACTTCAGTAACTCTGGGAAATGTTGTCGAGGGTGATGTAACACGCAAGTTCTGCCCAATGAAGGTAGCGTCTCGAACAGTGTGGGGGTCTGGCGTGGGACACGTGAGACCAACTTGGCTCCCTCCTTCCAAGTGAGTGAACCGCTTTGTGTGTGTTCGTTTGTTGTCCTTCCCCCGCACCTCCGGCTCGCACGATTGGCTACGTACGGTGCGAAAGAAGTTCGACATACGATGGAATGGTCAATATTTCTCCCTGTCTGACCTTTTTAGTTCTAACTGGCATATATAATTACAGTTAAGCGCAACAATGTCGCTGTACTATCTACTGCCTTCCACGCAGCCTACGCAGACGTCCGTTGTGCTTGGTCATCACTCATCCAAGCACTATCCAGGCTCATCCCTACTGAGCTTCCCAGATCTGGCGCCTCCGCTGTAGTTGTTGGCCAGGGTGGCCGTCTGCCGGTCGGCTTCCAAACGGCGCCACCACCGCTCCACGCACGGAGTCGACTGCCCAGGGCGCCGCGTTCAGTGTTTGGCTGCTGTCATTTGTGGCTGGGTCGCTTCTGAAAAAGAGAAAAAAAGCGATTTTTCTCGGTGAGCCTTACCTGGTCAAATAAAAATAGATATAGTTTAGTTTTACATGCTATGCACATGCATGGCCTGGCTTGTCAGTCCACTGCTGGACGAGGGCCTCCCCACACCTTGCTGGCCGTGAGGGGCATCCGACCATACTTCACCACGCTGGTCGGTGCGGGTTGGCGATGGTGCAAGACAATGGGTTTGCTGTACTGCCCTCTGCTGCCCACAACGCCGACTCCGCCTCTCTCCGTCACGCCCCCAAGCAACTCCCCCACATCGAGCACCGCCCGACCACGACTCGCCGTGGCCCTCACCCATTCGTGCCGCCGGGTGGACGAAGGGGATTTAAACAACCACGTGCCCCACTGTTGCACATGCCGCGCCGAGAGATCGAACCCGTCGCCCCCCCCCTTCCCCGCATTGCTAAGCGCAGTGCGCTCGCCGCGAGGCCATGGCAGCTTCCGAAGACCGGTGCAGAGACCATCGATGTAGCTTGGAGTGGCTCCGTGGTGGGCTTGGAGGTCGACGGCTGTGGCATTGCCGCCGCCGGCGCCGCACGAGATGCCTCGGCGGGCCCTGGGGACGACCGCGAGCATCGCCCGGGGCGCTGTTCCGGTGGACAAGCGACGGTCAACGTCGCTTGTCCACCTGCAGGCGTCATCCACGCTGTTGTGTCATCCACGCTGTTGTGTCATTCACCTGCAGGCGTCATCCACGCTGTTGTGTCATCCACGCTGTTGTGTCATTCACCTGCAGGCGTCATCCACGCTGTTGTGTCATTCACGCTGTTGTGTCATTCACGCTGTTGTGTCATTCACCTGCAGGCGTCATCCACGCTGTTGTGTCATTCACGCTGTTGCGTCGTCATCCACGCTGTTGCGTCGTCATTCACGCTGTTGTGTCGAGCGTTCTTTGCGGCGCTTAAGACTGTAAACTATATTTTATTTCGGACGGATCCTTGCGATGTTGTCGCTGTTGTCCTCCCAATTTGAGCAACTGGCAAAAAACAAAATTGGCGTTGGGATGCTTGGATCGGCATTGCTCCTTGGGGAGAAAAGGGAAGACCCTCATGCCTGGGCAATGGGAGAACGCACACCCCGCTATACACACACCCCGCTTTACACACACACACACACCGCTATACACTCACACACCCCGCTATACACACTATATACACACATACACCCATACACCCCGCTACACACAAAGATAAGACACGAGGGGGTGGGTGGCCAGCACCACGCCCGATCGCCTTTGTCTCCCCAGTGGCGATGTTTACACACCGCACCAGGTACTCATTTGAGGCTGAGTCGACCTAGGGGAGGCCCGGGAGCGGTTCAGATAACCGTCACTGGTGTTGGCCGTGAGCGGGAAACGAACCCGGGTCGCCAGGTTCATAGCGCAGCGCGCTAACCGCTACACCACCGCTCCCCACGACACAAACAACAACAACAACCGCCATTCGCCACTAAGTGGCGGTGACGTCACCACGACGCTTGTGCCAGGCTATGTGCACCCTGAGGCCACGTGAAGTGTCGAACGCCCGCTGGCAGGAGGTCACGGGGCAGACCCTGGTGCCACGGGTCGACTGACTGAGATGACTGGCTGATGCACCACCTGTGCCCCCTACTGTGCCAACCTGCTGTGCTTTAGCCACCCGGCGCTCCGCTCGTTGTTGTGAGCGTCGCTCCTCCGCCCTCCGTTGTTGTTGGAGGGCGACTACCTCCAACTGCCCAGTAGCATCCTTCACGAGCCTCCTCCACAGAGGCCGATCTTGACACCGCTGGTACCAGTCATCGGCAAGTCCACTCAGCTCCACGTCCTCCTGTACCACATCACTCCATCTCTTCTCTAGCCCGTGCCGTGCCCGTTTAGCCCCCTCAATCCGGCCGAACAAAATCTGTTTCGGCATGCGGTGGCTGGGCATGCGGGCTACATGACCCAGCCATCGCAGCCTTCCCCGCCGGAGGAGCTCACCGATGGGACCTTGCCAAGATCTTTCAAGAATTTGTGAGCTCCTCACACAATCCAGTCTGGTTAAACCCAGGATGGATCGTAGGCAGGCCAGCCTAAATGTTTCTAACCGGCGAAGATGTTCCATTAGGGGGGTCCACGTTTCGCAAGCGTAGTGAAGGGAGGGAATGACCGTGGCCGAGAAGACCTGAAGCTTAGTGCGGAGCGACAGACCAGGTAGCTTCCACACAGCGTTACGCAACACACACCGTCTCACACACTCCGCTACACACACACCCCGCTACACACACAGCACACCCCGCTACACACACACACAGCACACCCGGCTACCTACACACACAGCACACCCCGCTACACACACACACACCCGCTACACACACACACAGCACACCCCGCTATCTCCCTTCAAATATACGGTCCGTGGCCACGCCCCCATCCCCGAACCTTCTGGCTGGTTCTAGGCGCTCGCTCGACCAGCTGACTCCTCTTCCGTCACCTGGCCACCCTCCGATTCTCGATCATCCCCGTAGCCACCAGTCCACTCGTACTGCAGGCGGACTCCCCTGGCAGTACCTCCCGTGGCCACCAGTCCACTCGCACTGCAGGCCGACTCCCCTGGCAGTACCTCCTGTGGCCACCAGTCCACTCGCACTGCAGGCCGACTCCCCTTGCAGTACCTCCTGTGACAACCAGTCCACTCGCACTGCAGGCCGACTCCCCTTGCAGTACCTCCTGTGGCCACCAGTCCACTCGCACTGCAGGCCGACTCCCCTGGCAGTACCTCCTGCGGGCACCAGTCCACTCGTACTGCAGGCCGATTCCCCTGGCAGTACCTCCTGTGGCCACCAGTCCACTCGTACTGCAGGCTGACTCCCCTGGCAGTACCTCCCGTAGCCACCAGTCCACTCGCACTGCAGGCCGACTCCCCTTGCAGTACCTCCCGTAGCCACCAGTCCACTCGCACTGCAGGCTGACTCCCCTGGCAGTACCTCCCGTAGCCACCAGTCCACTCGCACTGCAGGCTGACTCCCCTTGCAGTACCCCCTGTGGCCACTAGTCCACGCACACCGTCGGTTGACTTTTCCTGTCATTACACAAGCACCGAGCCACCCTGCCCGCCCTCGTAGCGAAACGCAGACCTGCGATGTTTTACACACTTGGAGGCGTTGCGGTACATTCGTTGCTTTAAGCTCCGACTTGTCCATCAAACACAACCGAGGTCTTTGCCGGGGCCCATTGCGTCTCATCTTTGTCGCCCCAGAGGACCCGCAGCGTTGGGCAGCGTCGTCCGTTTCGCTTTGGGGAGCCCCAGTGTGGTGTTTCCGGCTTGTCTTAGTTATTAGCCAGCCGATGGATTCCGTGTGAAAAGTTGGCGTAGCTGGAGACTCCTCCAACTTAAATTGTCCCCAGCCATGACCCAGCTCATGAATGCGACCTCCACACGGCAGTGCCTTCGTCTCTACCTCACGAGTGTGGCGAACTCGCCACACAAATTGTAGATGCGCTCCATTTGGCTGTTTCGATTATCCTTGAGAAATACCGTGCGTGGATAAAATAGGACAACATTTATATAAAATAGGACAACATTTATATAAAATAGGTCAACATTTATATAAAATAGGACAACATGTATGTGCATGCTCTTTCATTTGCAAGGACACGTTCCAATTAAGGTTATGTCTAAACATTGATTTTTGCATTAGGTAACTACATTTCCAGTGGTGAACATTCCACATTTTTCATTGGGTGGGGTGGGGACGCAAGTCTCTCCATAAGACAACCGCTGTTGACTTCCCCTACAAAGTGGTACTCCTTATCGACCTCCGGAAAGAGGGATGATGAGCCGAGTAACCCCCCCCCCCAACCAGGCCTTGGCCACTCGCGCTACCGCCGAGTCGCCGTGGAGGTGACGCGCTCCGCCACCGAACTGGGCCCTGGACACCATTGCCGGCATTTAGCAAGCGCTGTACTGCAACATTTTTTCATGAATATATTTGTGCGCGCGCGTGTATAACTTCTAGAATCTATTGCATTGGCCGCACGTATTTAGATACTTTATAGGATAAACGCCTCCAATGCCCATATCGCAAGGGAGATAATGATTAATGCTACACGTGTTTTTCATTTATTTTAAGTTTAAAGTGACGAGAGCGTTTTGGATGGTGTAACCGAGTTGCAGGGAATGAACCACTGGACGCAGCTGAGTAAGCAGACTTGCACCCCTCTGCCCGTGCCACCAGAAATTAAGATAAAATGAATTTAATAATTGATGACTTTGAGAGAGGATTTGGAGATGTTGGCAGGAGTTTTGCGGCGTATCTTCCAGGGTCGTTCCCTTGAAAGGCCGAGGCGTTTTGTAACGTGAGCCTCTGTTTCCTGCAGTGATCATGTTCCTACTTTGTGATTAATCCCCCAAACGTGTAAACGATTGTGGGCTGCTGGCGAGTCCCATGGGCCTCGTTGGAAGTGAAATGTGCTGCTGTTACCAACCCCGCTCCACACACCACCTACCCGTACCAGATTGATCCACACACAAACACACAGCTCAAGCATTGTAACACAATTTAATGAAAAGAAAAAAATATTTTTTCCAAAACAGGCGACCGGTATGCAATTATATATAACTCCTGAAGAAAAAACCGTGATGGAATATTTGACTATTCACAACATTTGACAAACTTTCTGCGAATGGGCTCGGTCTGCCGTCTTGTGGAGCAGTGATGATGAATCGCAACCCCGACCACATTTCTGACCCTAACTCCGAATGGCGTAAGAATGCCATCCTATAGTTGTCTTACTCCAAGCAGTATCGTTGTCAATTGTTAGTGCCCATGAACACCGCAATAAGTAATTAAATGGATCGGCTAAGGGACGAGTGATAGACAGCGTGTAAAGTGTAAGTGCTTAATGAGAATACGTGTAATATTAATATAACGCATTACAAACACATTGTTACAGCATAAAACATTCGCAGTCTGAATGTAGCATCGCCTCCAGACAGTCCTCCGGGCGGGCGAGTATTCGTGTCAACACGGCCCGGCATCGGACTATTGGGCTCCACGCAACTCGCGCATCAAGGCCCTCGCGTGCATCCGCGCACCTCATTTTGTTCACTCCGATTGTAGCCACAGTCATCACTGCACCGCTCAAGTGGCACAGGTGTGTAGGCAATTCGAGTTTCCATCGTCCCCTGTTCGAGCCACTGCTGGATGAAGGCTTCGCCAAGCCACGGTCCTGCGGTGGAACAACCCCTGGAATAATCCATCGCAGGCTCGTGGGAAAGTCATGGCAGGTGATACACAATGATTGACAACTTTAATCGGAAGACCATTTTGAGCTTTTACATTACACACATTAACGCTCGTAGTGCATCGCCAAACACCAGGGGAAGGTGCTGTGACCCTGTGCGTCCAGCTCGCTTTGCCCAGTGCCCGCGTGCGAGCTGTATTGCATGGGACTTAATCGTCCGGACCTTGGTAGCCACGCAGGGTAGAGCCTGGAGCAGTGTTCCTCATTGCAAGGCCCGAGGCCCAACGGTGGCCTTCAGTGCGGTCCCTCACGTGTGCGGGCCCCGACAATAAACAAAGTGAAAACGTCTGGAGCGTGAAAACGCTCCATCGTGCCGTCAAACCCCAATGGTTTCAAATGTGCGGTGGCCATCGCACACCGATGTCTTATCGGCGAATAGGCCCCCTCCCCCCCCCCCCTCTGTGAATGAATGAAGAACAGTGGCCGGGAGGGCCCTTCCACGGATGCCTACCACCACCATACCCGCGCAAGCGCAGTAATAGTCGTGGGCAGCAGGGGGCAGTGCAGCAAAACCCAATACAATGTTACCCGCACCAACTCAAACTGACCACAGTGGTGAAGTGTGGTCAAATAGCTCTCTCTGCACAGTGTGAGAAGGCCCTCGTCCAGCGGTGGACTGAACAAATGGCCTGTACCGGTACATGTAGTGAATCTCCAACACGGGAACGTGGACTGCGTTGGGCCCCTGGGCCTGAAATTGAAGTTGCTCGTGTGCTGGGTTGAGTTGCTGCCTGCCTTAGTTTTCCCAGAAGGCTCTACTTATTTGAAGTAACGGTCCTGAAAACATCCGTCTACGACGTCTTGCAAGGACATACAATTCCCAGTTTGTCAGTTGTGCAATATTTCACCACTCCTCAAGGCAATGCATTTGCATGTGGTTCTCTCTTCTGGACTGGCGAGATGACGCTTCTCAGCACGACGCGTCCTGGATTTGTTTGTTTCTCGGCGGTGGCAACCCGAGTGCAGCGGCGTTAAGAGGGTTCCTCTGCACCTCTCGCCATATCCTGCGCGCGCACACATGGGGCCACTCTCCTTGCATTATTGTCAACACTTTGTGCCGATTTGCAAGCCCGAAACGATCCCCGGGACTCGTTATTTCAGCGTTTCATTTCCCTGGTCGCCAAAATCCATTCTTCTCCAAACACTGTGGTGGTTTTAGTGCCTCTGGTGGCTTCAGGGTTTTGTCAACTCATTACAGAATCCATCGATTCTCCCACGCACACCTCGATGCGCAGTATAACCAGTCTAAGATGTAGCTTTCCACCATACTGGGGGACTAATTTTCGTGACCCTAAGGGGATGATGGGTTGAGCCACAACCCCCAGCCAGGAGTTGAACTCGGAACCCCCCTCCCCATTGTGAGCCGCTCGCTCTACCACTGAGCTACTTGCGGGCTCGCTCTGCCCGTGTTTGATCATCTCGTCAGTTCTGCAAGTATTTTAATACTGCATACACGTTTCACATTAGGAGTCTGCTATACCCACTACATAGAGCAGGAATGATCGAATTTCATTTTCTGCATACAGACGAGGGTCTTATTACGTTACCAAATAATGCATTTCATACACTTGTCAAGTAAACAATTGTAGTAATTCTCAAAGCTATGTCAGTGCGATACTATAACCATTGTGTAGTGACTGGGGAATGACCCTGTTATTTACGTGCAATAACTTTGTCCCAGTCTTTGCTGCAAGATTGCATTCTCATCACGGGCTGGGCGACCGAGGCCCCCTTGCACAACTGCACATGAGGAGCGAATAACTTGTTTTATTTTGCCATCTGACTTGCTCGGTCAATTCCCTACAGCAGCGTCTCGTGTGGAAATAATCTGGAGCGACTGGAGAGATTGCACATACTAAAGAGACTCGCACTCAAAAGGTCCACACCGATGGGTTCACAACCCACTTGCGGTACTGTTATCTCCTAGAAAACCTTGCAGCGCACAGTTTGGGAGTCTCACAATTCGACGTGACTTATCGGTTATTTTGTGACGCATAAATCGGTGGCATCACACCCGGCAAGACTTTTCCATGTCTCCTGGACGCGAGTGAAGATTTGCCGACGTGAAATTGCTCGATCGTTGTGGAGCCACAAGTAACCTGAGTTGGCGACTACAGAACTCGACCCGACGCTTGGGTCCAGCTGTGGGGACGTGCAGCCGGTGTCGTGAGCAGAGCTGGCGCTTGGACGCGGGAACAAAGACCGCGGCAAACACCCGTGCCGGCTGGGGGTGCCGTGTGGGGGTGCCGGCTGGGGGTGCCGTGTGGGGGTGCCGGCTGGGGGTGCCGGCTGGGGGTGCCGGCTGGGGGTGCCGGCTGGGGGTGCCGGCTGGGGGTGCCGGCTGGGGGTGCCGGCTGGGGGTGCCGGCTGGGGGTGCCGGCTGGGGGGTGGGGGGGTGAGACGCCCTTGCGGCCCCGTCTCCGCCAAAGGTCACTTCTCCGACGAGGTTTGGCGGGGCAAGGAGAGCGACCAAGCGAGGAAAGAAGCGGCTCGTAAATCACAACCGCCCCTGAGGTGGCAGCTGCATCTGCTCACCCACCGGTGGTCTCCACACGGCGTGACGAGGCTGCGCCGGCAGCACTTTCATCCACGGCTGGAGCGAGGGAGCCGCGAGAGGCGGTGCCTGGTTCCTGATCCCCTCGTAACGAGCGACAACTCCCGCCCGGTGCCTCGGAGCCTCAACGTTGGAACGAATAGGGTTGCCACCCGTCCTGGTTTTTCCCAGAACGGCTACCTCGATCCCAGGATTGTCTTCGTTTTGAGGTAGCCATCCTGGGAAATACGCAAGTCTTCGCTTGGACGAAGAAAGTGCCGTTTTTCGCCAGTTGTGGAATAACGCACCAGTCGTCAAGACGACGCATTCGCACGGAGTTCCCCCCCCCCCCCTCCTCCGGTACTGTGACATCTCCTTCCCATTGATATGTCCTGCTTGTTTTGTGTACCTCGCAAGTGTCAACCCGAGTGACAGGCCTAACGTTAACGCGGGGAAAGGGCGCACAGGAAATGAGCGCCAGAGACGAGTCGGGGGAAGGTTGACGGAACGCGCCTCCTCGCCCACGCGCTGAGCTGCCCGGTGTCGGGCCGCCGCTCCTGGTGGACGAACCCCCGAGAGGTCACGGCTGATCCGTGGCCCCCAGGCGCTTGGCGAGGGGGTTCGCGTACTCCCAGTGCTCCCCGTGCTTCTGGAAGAGCTGCCAGGGAGACGGGACGGATAAAGTCCACACGTGACCTCGACCAAGCGTATCTGTAACTATACTATTGAGTGTGTGCATCATCAAATCACCACGTTAAACAATTAAATGAACCAGCATATACAATGTAAAGGTGCAGTCCTGCAATTGCTTGCTCGGGTCACTGCTAGCAGAAGCACCTCCACGTTTGCAGACAAACATTTTCCCTGTGGCACAACAGCCGAGCAATTGCAGTGGCATGCAACGGATACTTGTAGCAAGCAATACAGAAGCCTTCGGGCCCCTCTGCACGCCACCATGAGAAGAGAGCTGGCAAGAGATGCGCTGTTCTGAGATATGATCACCGTTTGTATTGACAGCACACTTAAGCAGGGATTGTAAATGCAGCAAAACGTTGCGAGTCGCAGCAGCTGACCCTGACAAAAAATGAATATTGCTTTCCAACAATGGATGAATGGATTTATCGGTTAATGAATCACTCATTTTATATTTATAACGCAGATGTGTGCCTGTGTTTTCTACTCCCATCATAGACCAGGGGTCCAATTCGTGCAGCTATTACGGATGTTTTGTTTAGTTCTATTATTCCAATTTGGAATCGCTATTTTTGTATAAGAATCCTAAAAGTTTCCCATTTTTGTCAATTGTAATTCATGCGTGGCTGATTTATCATTGTTTAGGGAGTCAAATTGGTCAATTTACCTATCAGTTTAATTGTTTCATCACCAACCCGACTGAAAATCAAACTAGGTATCTTGTGATTTTTCTGAAATATAAAAAAGTAACGTAACGTTTTCATCCCATGATTTTCAGAATTGCTGTGGCATCTCGTGGCTCTGTCTGTAAAACGTGGCAAGGAAGCTACCCAGCCTCGTCCACTCCAGCAGCTCATGGGTCACGGTGGTGCTTGGCCTGGTTCCAGTAGAACTGGAATGTGGGGAGCAGACTACCAGTGGCGGTGACACTCACCGCTACGGGGAGAACTCGGGTGGGCCAAAGATCCACTCGATGGTTGCAGGGCCCACCGCCGGACCCTCCTAGCGCTCGCCCTGGGCGAGTTCGTCATCGGTGCGATGGGAATGTGGACCCTCTGGTTAAGAACGTCTGTGCTGACCTCGCATTCAGGTTGGCCTGAATACAATTCATCCTGGGGTTATCTGGATTGGTTTTGCATGAGGCCCCAAGAAAATAGAACCGGAAGAATCTCATCAGTGGAGTTATTTTTTCGGCAGGCAAAGTTGCATTGGTCATGTCACGTGTGTGTGTGCGCATGCTTCATTGTGTGCGCGTTAATTTGCGTGTAAATGTACATGCGTGCTTGCTGTTCTCTATGCGGGTGTGTTCATATGTACGTGTAAGCACGCGTTTCTTTATTTTTGCGTACGTGAATTTATATACACTCTTTGGTTATATTCGGTAAAGTCACGTAAAAATCAACAACAAAAAATTCACGACGTTTCGGCCACAACACAAGTGGCCTTTATCAGGTGAAGGGACTGTGCTGTCATGAGGACAGCGTTGGAGTGAAAACAGCCAAGCCCAGATCGCTGTCCTCATGACAGCATGGTCCCTTCGCCTGATGAAGGCCACTTGTGTTGTGGCCGAAACGTTGTTAATTTTTATTTATTTTTATTTCTTGTTGTTTTTTACGTGACTTTACCGAATAGAACCAAATAGTATGGATCCTTGCAGTCTTGAAAGCTTTAAATCTAGAATTGAATTTATATACATGTGTGTACGCGTATGTTACCATGTCTATGTACGTGCGTTGACCTGTGGCCACTTTTGCGTGTGTATCTAGGCGAGTCTGTGCAAGTGATGCACTGCTTTATACATTGTGCTACAAACCCAATGACCAGAGTTCAATTTTCAGCCACTGCTAACATCAGTGGCCAATATCTGAACGGATAATGCCATAGGTCAACTCGCTCTTAAATGAATACCTGATGGGAAGACAAAGGCAGCCAGGCGTGGCACTGACCATGCGATATTGCTGACTTTAGGTGCTCGATAATAGTACATGTCCCAACATTCTATGCGGACTCAACAGGTGATCTTTGTTTTTGTTTGACGAGCATGGGGAGCAGTAGCCCAGCGGTTGATGCATTGGGCTGCGGACCAAGTCATCGGAGTTTGGTTTCTAACAGCACTTGCGCCAACAGTCTATGTATGCTACATGGGCGATCTTTGTCTTTGTTCCATCAGCATTTAGCGCAGAAAGTTGGTGCACAGGGCTACGAACCAGGCTATGGTTAACATTGGGTGCTCGCTAAAAGCAACTTGCCCCAACAGCATGTGCAGACTACGTGGGAGAGAGGGGATCTTTGTCCTCGTGCCATGCGCGCGTAATGGGGCGAGGGGGGTCGGTGGGTTGGGGGCCGTACCCGCGTCTCCCAGGGGGCGCCGCTCGCCGCTCGCTCGCGCGCCTCTGCTCGCTGCCGCTCCTCCACGCGGTGCTTGGCCTGCGTGGCCGCTTCCAGGTCGTGTGCCCGCAGGCTCCGCGTCACCTCCCTCCACAGCCTGGCCACGAACCCGCGACGAGGTTTTTACCCGGGCCGCGCAAGGGGAGACGCCGGCACGCGCAAGGGGGACCCGTGGGGAGGTGGGTGTGCAAGGCGGAAAAAGAGGAACAGCTGGTTGATGATAATGATGCTGACGATTTGTTATTTATGGAACGCCCTTCACACCGGGACGACCGAGCGCTTTACGCACGATTTAAGTGAAGCGCATCTCACCGCAAATGTTTTTAAGGTCAACCCTAGCGGCAACTGTCCCTGTGCGGCACAAGGTGACTCGGCACATGGCCTGCGAGTGGGCATGAGACTACCAGCAGGAGGCAACGGTTACTACTGCTGTTTGTAAGCTGGGTAATTTTTTGAAATTGGAAAATTTGGCCCATTTGGCTTGGTGGCCTGCTCTGGCCAGGCGACGTCTGGGGATCTTCAAGCACTGCGCTAACGTCTTGTACTAGTAATACACTGCGCAGTATTAACCGGGGTGGCCCGTCGGATTTCAACCACAATCGTCTGAAGCAATCTGCGAATGCGCTACCGCCGCACTACGTTTGCACCCCTTTGTTTGACGTGAAACGAGCTGTTAAGTTTTTATTCCGCATCTCTAAATTTGATTCCAGGGTACATTCAATTTTTTTTGCAAATGTGAAATAATTTTACAAGCTTCGGTTATTTTTTGTCTCCAGTATCACTGTTTAGTCATTTTCTTTGTAAAACACATGCACTGTACAACCATAATATTATCTCAGAGTTTTTAGCTCGTTAAATATGTCAGTCTCCTTCCATTATATGCAGTATTCATCAATGATGATTCACATAATATATTTTTCCTGGAAATCTTATAGGAAAAAAATGTTAATTCCCGCAAATGTCAGCCTTTAGCTATTGACTTTGCAGAGGCTCGCAACTTGCTGCAGGCAGCTTGTTTACACACTTAATAAATATTATAAATAATAACGTGCATCCCTCTGACTAATGTTTATTTATGAAGCCGTGTTTGAGAAACGAGGCATTGCCAAAAAGTCTCGGCGTGCGTTGGTAGGCGGCACCACAAACGCCACGAGGACGCCGTCGCATGTCAGCTGGGCCCCACACGCAGTGGTGTCACGCGCACGCAGTGGCGCCCTCCGACTGCTCCACTCCCAGTGGCGGCCCGCCGCGCCAGCACGCGCACTCGCTGTGCAGCTCGGTCGAGACGCGAGACGGTTGTGGGGCGGCACCACCCGGGGTGGCAAATGGTCCCAGTGGCCACCGCGGGCAGCGTCCACCATGGGTAGAAAGCTTAGTGCCCTATTTACCATCCGTTTTATAGACACACTCCTTTATTTTCATATTCCGTGGATGTGTTTAATCACATTTGGTTATGGGGTTTTTTTCTCGCCCAAAATGGTTTTCTGTAATACTGTATTCTGGTTATCCTTCTTTAAAAACATGTCTCATTAAAATCTACCAGAGTGACCTTGCTTTCACACATTTGTGACCTAGAGATAAAATGGTTCGATCGTTGTTATTTTTAGCTTTTGCTACCCTGGGTGGTCAGAGTATGGTTTCCACCTCCTAATGTAGAATAATTGGAACGTATCATTGGAAGAATCTCAATCCCGGCAAAGGGTTAGAACTACTACATGTAAACGCATCACCTGCGTGGTGCGTTCTTATACAGCTGATACAAACCAGGACTTTTAATGTCCTCGGAAACTTGATTTCTCAGGATGAGCCATCTCAACAAGAGGACAATCCTGGGAAAACCAGAACAGTTGGCAACCGCAAGTCTGAGTGGCATCAACGGACATCGGCCACAGGGCCCCTTTAATCCAACTGTGTGAGCCTCTCCCACGAGTCTCTACGGCGAGCCTCTACAGCAGCAAATTCTGAGACAAGCGTAGGACTCTTGTAGCGCCGGATACACGAGGACCGCGGCCACGATACAGCTGATGCAAGAGTAGGAAGGGCTCTCGATACTCGTAATGGCCGTGGCTTCCAATCTCCGATAGGCATCACACCAGCGCCGCAAAAAACCTTAAACAGATTGCTAAAAAAAGATTAACAATAATAATTTAATTACTCCTTTAATAGCGGCGTTAATCCTCAGCGGATGATGCAGTTCTGGCTACCTTCATCTGGCTGTGAAAAATCGGGGGGGGGGGGGGGGGGTGGCGAGGGAAGCTGGGGACGAGGCTGAAAGTGTGGGAGTGGGCGACTGTGGGAGGGGCTCACGACGCAAGGCAGACTTCGGGGTTTGACCTGCATAGAGATCCATCCGTAACCGCCGTGCCAGATTCTACATGGTGGCAAAATGGAGCCTCCTAATGCCAACAGGGATACCACAGAATAACGTGAATTGTTATTTCATTTTTTTATTTTAAAAAAATCTTCCATTAAAGTCAATTAAAAATGAATGATTTAACAACGTCCTCAGATTGTAATGATCCCCCCCCCCCCCCCCCCCAACGATTACATGCATTTTACACGATCCAGGGCTGAGATTCAATTAAATGATTAATTATCGTTTCCGTTTTAACTTTCCAGTTTGTGTTATTTCACATTGCTGGAAAGTTGCGTTTTGCTCCATCCGCTATGCTTGAGTTCTCGCTTGTAGAATACTTCCCCAAGAGCCAACCCATGCACGTGTACAGCCGCCGTGTATTCTGCCGAATCCCAGTGGCAGAACCATCGAGTACGGAGGCGGTGCAACTGCCCTGGGGGGGGGGGGATATTGGACAGCGATGGGCCCATTTCACTCCTTGCACCGGGGCCTATGCCACGCGCGCTTTACCGCTGGTGTACCGAGTTCAGCGCGATAGTGTTGTTCACAGCCCGTATCGCTGTAATGCCGCCACCTACTCGTGCACGCCGAGACTTCTGGCAATGCTGTGTCTCGACCCAGGTTCATTTCAACGAGAGAGAAAATAAAATAAATATAGTTACGGTGAAATGTGAGAGATATCCGAGTTATATTTTTTTTGTTGTGAGCCTCCGCAAAATCGGTGACTCAACACCCTCGTTTCCCGGGAGGCTAATCAAGGCCAATAGTAATTATTCAGACGAAACGGCTAAAAAGCCTTAACGTCATTGCCACAGCGTCCGCCCCTTGCACGGCTCTGCGCGAGCGATCCGGTCGGTGGCGAGTGGCGTTACCGTCGCGATTCGTTCCCCTGCTGCTCCTCCACCCTGCGCACTTTCTTCTTGGTCGTCGGGACGCTGCGCGTGTCCATGAAGAGCGAGCCGCCGTGAGGCTGGGTGGGCCCAGGGGACAATTAACGAGAGCACTTTTTTTTAGATTTACATCGCCCTGTAGCCTTAAACAACCCCGGCAACCACTCCGCGTCGCTGGGCGCTCTGTCGCGGGGCGCGCTGCCTGACGAGGATCCTGCTTGCTCGCCCAGTTTGTGACGGACGTGATCTCAAACGATCCACGCACATTTGCAACCACATTTACATTACAGGATTGTAAATGCTGTATGTGGGAGGAGCAGATGCGCAGTGGTTAGCATACACTGCACTATGAACCCGATCACCCGAGTTTAATGTCTGGCCATGACTCACACCAGTACCGTGTGATACGTGAACCTGCTGGATCTTCCCAATTCACCAACTCTCACTGACCAGCGTGGTGAAGTATGATGAAACAACCCCTATAACCGGAAGGCATGGAGGGCCGCCTTCCAGCAGTCGATGAATCAAGGGCTGTATTTTTCCTTCGTCGTCTCAAAACTATGACGATGCTCGAAATCGGTGCATGAAAATACGAGGCACCGCATGCCTCCGGATGTATCTGTGGTCAACATCAACTTGTGACACGCACTTTCTCCTCCAAATAATTAAACATCACGGATGGGCCTCGAATTCCATATCGGGAGACAGCTGTTGGGGAAAGGTTATGGCTGACGGAGTTACGTCCATCACAATGTCACATTCGCATGACCGACGCTACATATATAAAACTTGACATCATTATCACCTTCGTGAACAAGACTGCACCTAGCATCAGCATCTGGACAGCGCCTGGGGGAGGAGGCTTGTTACGCCGTAGCGGGGGAGGGGAGTCACTGCCTGTGTGCGTGCCGTCTCGTCAACGCAAACCACAGTGGCATCAGGATTCATGTAACAAGAGGGAAGGAACGTCATTTTTAAATAATTTGTTTTCAATTTAAGTCGGTCTCTCTTCTCGAGTGAGCAAATACTGTGCGCGTTACACGGAGTTATTTTAAAATAAGCGTGCATAATTGAAACCGTTGTGGTAAAAATAAAATTATTGGTGCTTACACAAATTAATAATATTGCATAAATAGTTTCACAGGCCCCGTGTCAAATGTGAATAACTTACCATTATTTAGAGCCCTGGTCAATACACTACCGGATGACAGCCTCTCCACGCTGTGCAGGTTGTATGGGTTTGTTTGACCATTCTTCACCATGCTGGTCCGTGCAGGCTTACCGATGGAGGAGCCAATTAACGCTTCAGATGTCACTCGCTACTGATGTTAGTCACAGGCAGGAGTTGAACTCATTTCCAGGTTCACAGTGCAGTGTGCCAACTGCTGCGCCACCGACCCGCCACACTAATATATGAAATGCAGCCATAACAAAAATGACCAATAACGAAAACTATAGCGATAACAGTAAGAAAACATTTACCTTGCTGCGATGATTTTGTACGGCATTGATGTTAAAGCAGCTGCCATTTATTTATGATTTTAGAGTTTCTATGGTGAACGTGGGACGTAGGAAGGGGAAAACGCTCATTTTAAACTGGATGTGAATTTTTGATTTAAAACTTTTGTGACTGCAGGGATTTATTTCCTTGGTTCTTTCGGTAAAGTCACGTAGAAGGGAAACAATAAAATAATAAAAATATAAAACAATACAATTATCACGACGTTTCGACTGCAACACAAGCAATCATCATCAGGTGTGAAAACCACAGCAAGAAAATTTGAAAAAAATGGCGGTTATTTTTAACGTTAGCATCACAGAGAGCGATTTGACAGTTTGTTCATATGGACGAGGATCCACACTGTCTACAGGAAAGATACCCATACGGATGCATACCTGAAACCGGATTCCCACCACCATCCATCCCAGAAGAATTCCCTCATCAAGACTCTGCACCATAGAGCCCAATGCATATCCGACCAGGAACACATAGCCAGTGAACTCAAGCACGTACACCAAACTCTTAAGGCTAATGGTTATTCCGACTACACAATCCGTAAAGCTATCACTCCAACCATGAAGAAGGACCCTCTTGAGGAGCCTTTCAAAACCATCACTTTACCCTACATTGCGGGGATCACAAAAAAGATCTCCAAAATCTTGAATAAACACAAGATCCAGGTCCGATTCAACACATTACATAAAATCCGTGATCTGGTTCCGTCTGTAAAAGATGTGATTCCGGACATACAGTACCCTGGCGTCTATAAAGTAAGTTGCCTCTGTGGTAGTTACATTGGAGAAATCAAACGACATGTCTCAGACCGCATTCGTGAACACAAAGCAGACCTGAAACACGGTAGGACCAACACCTCGGCCGTGGCAGGATCACTCTTATAATTCAGTAGGCTTACATGAAATTAACTTCTCCAAGACAGAGGTTATTTGCAAGCCATCTGGCTACCATGAGAGATTCGTTCATGAGGCTGTCCACATATACAAACCCAGAGGCAATTTCAACCGAGAAGATTGATTCTGGCTTAGCAATCATTGGAACGATTTGATCAACCATTTCGGGTCTTAATTGATTGATCACGCTTAAGGTGGCTTTCAGACCGCATCCATCATTTTCGTCTCCCCCCTCCTCTTTTCCGAACATAGATGGACTCGTCCATCTGAATAACTGCCAAATCGCTCTCCGTGGTGCTAACGTTAAAAAACCGCCACTTTTTTCAAATTTTCTTGCTGTGGTTTTCACACCTGATGACGATTGCTTGTGTTGCAGTCGAAACGTCGTGAGAATTTTATTGTTTTATATTTTTATTATTTTGTTTCCCTTCTACGTGACTTTACCGAAAGAACCAAGAATATGGATGTGAATTTGCCAGCTCATGGCATCGGAGCCCCTCAAAATGTCCATGGATCAATGCGGTTTTCTTAAACACATTCATCACGCTCCTCCCAATGTATTGGCACGCAGCCATCTAGCCACAAGCAGGAGCCTCCTCGGTCAGCATGAAGGCTTCTCTAAGTGCAAACCCTTGTCACAACCGAGCCAATTGTAGTGAAAACGAGTCTTGAGAGACTTGGTAAGACTCTCTTCGATAAGCAATGGACGTATTTACACGTGGTAGTTTCATGCAATATTGAGCGTGACATAGCTCTCCCTGCTGACAGTTGCAAATAAACATCACATTATACGTGTAGGCCACGTATAATAATAAAAGCTTAGATGTAAAAGACTTCCATATGCTTATCGTTAAAAAAACAAAGCCCGAGTGCTAAAGCGTGCATTAATTATGTATTATGGTGCCCGATGGCGCGAGTTACGTGCTTGGTCACGTGACAGTGGAATGTATACAGATGAACCCAGTGTACGTACCACGTTGGTCTCTTTCGTGAACAGCACCCCGTTCCACTCCCCTTCTATGGAGCAGAAGGGCTTCTTCTCCTTGGGTTCACTGCACACAACAGCAGCAGCAGCGGCGTCTCAAACCAAGTACGTGACACGACACAGGACTTTAATGTTTCTAAAACTAAACTATGTTTTATTTTACCAGGTAAGGTCCACTGAGCTGTATACCTCTGTTTCAGAAGTGATCTGGCCACAAATGATAGCTCAACGAAGTGGCTTATCGTGGGGAAATTTATTGCAGCCGAATTTTCTAAATGCGTGATGTTGATTCTAAATGTGGAGGGGAAACTCCGGAGGACCCGGAGAAAAATCCATAACCGCCTGTATACCAGGTGAGGTTGTTAACATCTCACCACCATGGCACCCTAACTTGGTATCATGACCTGGGTAGAGTCTCAGAGCAGAGGCTGTTTTTGTAAGTTTTCGTCACGACCACCTCAGCCAGAGCAGCCCGTGGGTCACTCGTGTAAGCCCGCCCAGTCGGCATGGAACTATTCATTCATTTATGAATATTGATTCTTGAGCAGACACTCCTGCACCTCCACTCCCTGCACAATAATCACATGCATACAAACACAGATGGCAAGCAAACCCCAAATGGACATGGAAATACAATCACACCGATATGCTCACTGGCGATTTTGATTTCGGGGGGTCTTTGCAATATGTTAAACGATTTAAAAAAGTGACTGCCGGTCTGGATTGCCATCTCACCCGTGTCTTTGTGAGGTTACACCAAGAAAAGACAATTAATAATCGAAACACTTTTTTGCATTCTCATGCGCTCACGTTGGAGGGCCGCTTGTGCTGGGCGTGGAACAGAGGCGCCGTGAGAATTGCGGGCGAGCTTGAGGCGTGAATTCTCATTCGATATTTTCTAGAACTCTGCCAGGCTGGCTTGGAGTGGGGATTATCGGTTAAGAGGCACTGCGACTGGAGTAACAAGGTACTGTCTCTCCGTAATAATCCAAGTGATCCTAGGGACAGGTACAGCACATGAAGGCGAGAAGGACGTGACCTGCACAAACAATAATTGCTGGAACAGCATTTCGGAATGTGCTAGCTGGTATAAAGCCGCGGTGTAAGAGCGACTGCGAAGGGAGAGGGAACGGAACGAGGAGGGGGGTGTGCTGCTCTGCGACACAGAACGTGCCCTGTGAAAGTCGTCCCAAGACGCGTTGTCAAAATCGACGCGGCACTTGTACCTGCACTGCTGCGTCTACACACGGCGATCCGTGCACACAGCACGAGGTCATGACACAGGTACAGAAGGCATTCGTCTTCACTGAACTGCACACGGCATGGCATGGGGGGGGGGGGGTACCCTCCGCCCGTACGACAGCCCCATAGCAACGCTCTGTGTAACCCGAGCACTTCGATTATGAACAAATCTAGATAACGGAGTGTAAACATAATTGTATCAGTTTTTTTCAAGCTACCAATAAGTTCCAACATGGCCTGGACAAAGGCTAAAGAGTATGAAATGTGAAACATAACACTAAGTGTTCTGACCATTAACATCATAACACTAAGTGTTCTGACCATTAACATCATAACACTAAGTGTTCTGACCATTAACAACATAACACGAAGTGTTCTGACCATTAACATCATAACACTAAGTGTTCTGACCATTAACATCATAACACTAAGTGTTCTGACCATTAACATCATAACACGAAGTGTTCTGACCATTAACAACATAACACGAAGTGTTCTGACCATTAACATCATAACACGAAGTGTTCTGACCATTAACAACATAACACTAAGTGTTCTGACCATTAACATCATAACACTAAGTGTTCTGACCATTAACATCATAACACGAAGTGTTCTGACCATTAACAACATAACACTAAGTGTTCTGACCATTAACATCATAACACTAAGTGTTCTGACCATTAACATCATAACACGAAGTGTTCTGACCATTAACATCATTAAAATAACTAGAATGTAATGTACGAGGGTATTAAAGCGTAGAAATGCATGTAACCCAAATAGGGCGAGACATTATCGAGAAGTAATTATACAGAAGGATAAGACAATACCTTAATTCATCATGTCATTACGAAGCTACATAGAGAGGCTTCTTTTGATAACTGTGATCCGCGCCAAAGGGGGTTCGCCCCGCACTACATCCATAGGGATTGATCCCCGAGTGGGAGAATTAAAATTTGAACCAATTTTTGCTGAACATGTTTTGACGTCTCCATCATCAACGAGGGGGGGGGGGGTGGTCGGGGGCAGGGGGAGTGGGGGGGAGTGGAGGGAGGTCACCCCGGCGTTGCGTTTTGGGTATTTAATGAGACAAGCGCTGCCGTCACCGCTCCGTGTGGACCACGCGTGGCTGCCTGCACTAAGTGACGGTTCATTTAGATTTCCAGTTTACGCTCAAGCGCACCTATTACAATGTAATCTGCTCTTCGTTCAAGATGTATACATTCAGCCTTAATTATATATACAGTGCCATGCAATGCATCACGTCGTGAGATGAGAGGCCTGATCTCTGTAGCTATTTTGTGGAACATTCTGCCACTTTATTGAAGATTAAAGGGGCCTTTTCGCATAAAACCAGACCTGTTCCACAATTTTATATTCATGTGCGGCTGATTCCAGTCTGCACTCTACTCACGCCACAATTTTCGGAATGGCCCAAATATAGTGGGGGGGGGGGGGGGGGGGGGGGGGGAGTTGCGGTGACCTAAATTCGATTCCCAGCCGTGGCTACCATAATATCTGAAACTGTCCAAGACCCCTCTCTCCCCATCACCGATCCGAATTCCAAGTGTGGTGAAGTATGATGAAACAACCCCAATGACTAATAGCTGGCATGGTGCATCACTAAGATAAACTATACATTGTTCAAGTAGGCGTTACCAAAAATATTTCCAAAATTCTAAACAAACAGAAGATCCAGGTCCGATTCAGTACAGTACACAAAATCCGTGATCTGATCTCATCCGTAAAGGATGTCATCCCTGACTTACAGTACCCTGGTGTCTATAAACTGAGTTGCATTTGTGGTGATTGTTACATTGGGGAAACGACATGTATCTGACCGCATTCGCGAGCACAAGTCAGATTTGAAACACGGTAGGACGAATTATTGTGCCGTGGCTGATCATTGTTACAACGCTGTGGGTTCTCATGATATTGTTTTCTCCGATACCAAGGTACTCTGCAAGCCCTCTGGATACCACCAACGATTTGTCCATGAAGCCATACAGATATACAGACATAACTTCAACCGAGAAGATGAATTTAAATTGAGCAATCATTGGAAAGATGTTATTAACCATGTTAAACTTTAGACGCCACTCTCCCCCTTTCCGTGTCCCCCCCCTCCCCATCCGTGGTACAGGAGCAATAGTAGGAGCAGCTTTACCATCCTGGCTCCCGCCATCGTCACCACCCCCCCTGCGTCCGTCCTTCTTGGCTCCTCTCCCCTCCTCTTACCATATATAATTAATCTCTCATCACAAATAGCTCTCTCTACAGTAATTTTGCTGTGCTTTTTATACCTGATGAAGGAAGCTTGTGTTGCCTCTGAAACGTCGTGATTTAATTTAGTTGTTTCATTTTTGTTTTATTTTATTAAAAAAAAAATTGTATTACTTACATGACTTTACTGAAAGAACCAAAGAGTATTGTTCAAGTTCCCCTTTTACCATTTAAAAAAAAAACTAGCACGGTGCCTTTGCTAGCATAAACATTTGTAATCTGTGTAATTCTTTAATTTCTAATGTCTTTGGTAGATTTTGCCATCCTGGGTGGTACTAAAAAGCAATTTTTGGGCCAACGGCTTAGGGGATACACGACCACTTTTCATGCCGTGCGAACCCTTCCCCACGCGAGGCCGCCCGCGGCACGCCGTGCCACTCACTAGATGTCGGCGGAGACGCGGTGGCGCCGGCCCCCGTAGAAGGGCTTCGTGTGGAAGGTGACGCTGGCGTGGAATCCCGAGCGCGCACAGCGCACGGAGCACTCGCCCCCAAGCTCCACCCACGGCACCGTCAGGATGGATCTGGGGACGCGCCCCCACGCACACAACACGGTTGAGCCTCCCAGAAATCGGTCGCCACTTAAGTAACGCAACCAAGAATCCTGCTTTGGCCGGAGCAGCCTCGCCTTGACAAAGTCCTGTTCTCACGAGGAGTCCCAAAGCATCGGCTAGGATTTGGGATTTGGGTCTTTTCGGTCCGATGCGCGACACGCGATACGGGCAGGGGCAGGGCTACCCGGAGCAGCAGGCAGGGCTACTAAGGAGTCGGTGGGGCCATTGTGCGAGACCGCGGCTCACTGCGTGGGCGGGGCTAGTGATTGAGTGGGCGGGGCTAGTGCTTGAGTGGGCGGGGCTAGTGATTGAGTGGGCGGGGCTAGTGATTGAGTGGGCGTGCATGACGGATGGAATGGGCTGCAAGCTCGCAATGCGTACCAGTTTAGCCTCCCAGAAATGTGGTCGCTTTACTAGCACGTGATAGAGATACCCGAGTGGTCCAGAGGTTGTGAATGGCCCACCGACATAGCTTTGTGTGCCTGCATGAACAAGGACATGGTTTGTGGCGCTACGCAAGAACACGTGCTGTATACAAGACTAAATCTCAGATTTGCTGATGACTAATTACAACAATCAATGCTCTAGGAAATTACAGCAGGTCGGAAAGCTGGGCTCAAGATAAATACAAGCAAAGTGAAACACAAGCCATGTAACACAGGTTTGATAACGATTATGACCGATGGGCTTTCACACGGACATTACAACTTGTGCCACGTGGGGACTCGACATCCACGTCACGCCCTAGGGTGGCCACGCGGTACCCGAGAGCCTCGACGTCACAACGTACCGACCGTATCCGCTGGGGAAGGTGAGGATGTAGTCCTCCTCCTGGCGGAGCAGAGACACACAGCCTGCGACACGACAGCAGCTCTCAGTGCGTGGCCACATCCTTATTAGCCTGCTCTTCCTGACCGTAGCCTTCGGATTATAAGACGCACTTTTTGTTGTACACTGTAACTTAAAGCACACGTTGGGGGATTGTGTGACGACGAGATTTGTATCGCTTCATTGACACTGGGCACAGGTTTGAGGTGTGTCTTCCTATCGGAAGCATCTTATAATCCAGAGAACGATGAATGTTTAATTCCAGAAGATAAAATGAATGTTCCAAAAGCAGTAATTTTAAGCCGACTTTTTTTTGCAGTTTGACACAAAGAGGGTGCGGAGATGAAGAACGCCATCACTAAAAATTCTCATTGAGCACAAATGGATGCCCAGGAATGTGCTATGAAAACAAAACCAAACTTTAAGAATCCTAATTGCATTTGCCATATACACGACCTCAATCGATAGATGCGTGAGCTGACGTTTTGGGCAATCGCCCTTCAAATCAGGCAGCAGAAAAAAATATTTAAAACAATGAAGAATACCGATTTGTCTTACAAATATATCTGGGTCATTGCCAGTTATATTTAAAACCCCAATACAATAAACAGTCACCACAATTAAATGACCTAAAAGTTGGCGTGGCGACAGCAAAATAAATGCCACATTCTCTGTAAGCACCTTTAGCAATCATGGAAGCGGACGCGCATCGAGAGAGGTCAGCTGCGTGGTTACTGGGCTAGATGGGCGAGGTGCAGGCACGCTGCGGGAAGTGCCCTTGGGGAAATGAATATTACCGTCCCAGCCGGTGCTCCCACATGATACAATTGAACAAATGCATGACCGAGTTTGTATAAAGAGTTGACCTACTTTCACTTGTTTGCAACTTTCAATAAAGCATCGTTGCCTTGCTTTGTACACGAACCACACATGAATAGTGCTGTTGCATGAGCGACCATGCACAGATCACAGCAAGTTAAAATTATTTTGCAAAATAGGCTATATATAATCACACGGATTTAAACAACCACATTGTACACCTTTACAAAAAATCACATTTCATTATTTAACATTCACTTAAACTAAAATGCAATGTTATGAACTGGTATTCCAAATCCCAAGGTAGTAGGTATTTTAAAAACGTAAGCTGCACATATATGCAGTTCTTACAAATATTGTGCAGCTATAAAATTTACATGAATTTCAATTAATGGTGACATTTTACCACAGATTTCCAGCAGAAACTGCCCGTAAATCAACACACAAATCGTGCCGCCGATCTTCATCAAACGCGCCGTAGGATCTTTGAGAAGAGCACGCGGCCTGCAACGATGCAGCCATTGGCAGAGTAAAATAAATTATCACGCTCATGATACGCGCGTAACATTCTGGGCGGGAGAATCTTTTATTTATTTTTAGATCGTGTGTGTAACATAATGGGATCGTGTGACCTCAATAGAGCCACTAGAGGATGCTGCGTGCTCCACATCTCTTCGACTGAATCGGGACAGGTGATTGAATCACCAAGGGAGGAGGGAAAAATCGCGATGTGCGCCGACATTTGAATCTCGTGGACGAGAAGGCGTCATTGACGCATCTTCAAAAAGGAAGGCGGTTTATGAGACTGCACCCCCCTTCTGGGTCTGTGCCTGAAATCAGGTCAACATCCATAGCCACATGCGGTCACTTTACCCAGCCATGCCGAGACGCCACCACCAACGCCCGTGTCCCTCTCTCTCGCTCTTCCAAATGAACAAACAAGTTCCGAAACCCAAGCATGGCCAAGAGACTGAAGATGGCAAAGACTATAATTTAAACGGCGAGATGCCGGGCCACGTGATAACGTATATCTGTTGTCATCCTGTCGGGGCTATCCCATGCTGCAAATATTTTGTTTCGGATTCTTTGGCTTCATTAACATTGCAGCGTCAGATCCTGTGCTCAGTGCCCGTCTCGGCCTGCGACGCTCCTGCGTGCATTATTGATTTTGCGGAGGAGGGGGGGGGGGAAACCTTTCCATGGCCGTCTGTCCGCACCACCTGGCGTACATTATTGATTTTGTGGAAAAAAACAAGGGCCCAGACGGCCCAACTTCTGAAAGTCAATCTCCCCTCCGCTGCAGCGTGCCGTTGAGCTGCACGTGGCCAACTGAGCAGGAGAGAACCCTCCCTCTTATTCACTCCGGCTGTCACACTGCCCACGAGTAATATCTGAACCAGTCATTGGCACCCTCATTACCAATCGTTGTTGGCTATGCATGCCTCTAATCCCAGCACTGTGGAGGCGACGGTTGATGGATCACACAAAGGTTGCTAAAATCCCTTTCTGTGGACGAAGGCGGCACAGCAAACGGCGGACTGATATAATCTGTCACTTATTTTTGGGATTGAGTGTTGCTCCCTCGCATGCGTGGGTTTTTTCTCCGGGTGCTCCGGTTTCCTCCCACATGTCCACTCATTCGTAGAATGGAAACATCTTAATATATAGAGGGCACTAGAGCTTGGACAATTTTTGGTAGTACCGTCTCACCACGCGGCCGCTGCCTTCCAGCTTGTCTATGGTTCCTCTACGATTGTGAGCTGCAATTTGTACGGACGACGCCGGGTTAAACAAAAAAACAAAATGACATCTGCACTGGAACGCACGGTGAAGTATGGCTAAACAACCCCCAAGATCAACGCGGCGTGGGGAGGACGACATCCAACGGTGGATTGTGCCCCCTCGTGGCGAATGTCCTGTAGAGTGCCAGGGCAAGTACCGGAGTTGTGATAGAGGCGGATGCTGGATGGGAGAAGGCCAAGTGCTTGGGATGGGTGTGTGTACGTGTGTGTGTTCGTGTGTGTACGTGTGTACGTGGGAGGGGAGCGGTAGTGTAGCGGTTAGCGTGCTGCGCCATGAACACCGCGATTCTCGCTCACGGCCAACACCAGTGACGATTATCTGAACCGGTCCCGGGCCTCCCCTAGGTCGACTCAACCTGAAATGAGTACTTGGTGCGGTGTGTTAACATCGCCACTAGGGAGACAAAGGCGCCCGGGCGTGGTGCTGGCCACCCAACCCGTCGTGTGCCATGCCGGCCTTCAAAGGTGCTCGCTAACAGCACTTGCCCCTACAGTCTGTTAAAAGCTACACGGGGGATCTTTGTTTTTTTTGCGTGGGGGGGGGGGGGGGCAAGCATCTGCGGTGATGGTGCGGGGAGGGGTCCCACCTCGGCCAATGTTCTGCACTCCCACGGACACCCCCAGAAACTTGGACTTGGTCCAGATGTGAGCCATGAACTGAATCCTCCGGCTGTAGCACTCGGCGTAGAAGGCTGAAACTGCAAGGGGGCAGCGGTAGACAGCGGGTTCCTCTCCACGCGCAAACTCTACGACATGGCCCGGGTGTAGCGAGCGAGCGAGCGAGCTGGCGCGGAGAGGGACACCACAAGACCATCACAACGTGCGCTCCGAATCTGGAGACCAGGTTTTGATCTACCTGGCCATGGCTGCTGACATCAGCGGCGAGTGACGCCTGAACCTGAACCGCCCCGAGCTGCAGCCACGGCACGTCCCGTGTGGGATGCGAGAGATGGGAAGCGAGGCGATGGTCAGGTGAAGCGAGGAGAAGGGAGAGGAGGTGTCGCCGTGAGAAGTGAATGCGAGCAGGAGCGGTGCCCAGGAGACGAGGAGCGAGGTGGAAGGGAGCTGGACGGGAGGCGACCTACTTGGCGGGTGGTGAGACACCTGCTCTGCGACGTACGCCACCTGGTCACGTGTCGCCCAGGGGACTGGGCCGTCCGGAACGACGACGGGCTGTGTACCAAACAAAGACAAAGGTTCCCCGTGTAGCCTTAACAGACTGTCGGGGCAAGTGATGTTAGCGAGTAGCACCTTTAAAGGCCGGCACGGCACACGAGGGGTGGGTGGCCAGCAACCACGCCATGGGCCGCCTTTGTCTCCCCAGTGGCGATGTTTACACACCGCACCAGATTCCCATTCGAGGCCGAGTCGACCTAGGGGAGGCCCAGCACCGGTTCATATTTTCACCATTGGTTGTTGGCCGTGAGCGGAAATCAAACCCGGGTAGCCAGGTTCGTAGCGCAGTGTGCTGACCGCTACACGACCACACACAGACACACAGAGACACACACAGACACACAGACACACAGACACAACAACAACAACCGCCATTCGCCACTAAGTGGCGGTGACGTCACCACGACGCTTGTGCCAGGCTATGTGCACCCTGAGGCCACGTGAAGTGTCGAACGCCCGCTGGCAGGAGGTCACGGGGCAGACCCAGGTGCCACGGGTCGACTGACTGAGATGACTGGCTGATGCACCACCTGTGCCCCCTACTGTGCCAACCTGCTGTGCTTTAGCCACCCGGCGCTCCGCTCGCTGTTGTGAGCGTCGCTCCTCCGCCCTCCGTTGTTGTTGGAGGGCGACTGCCTCCAACTGCCCAGTAGCATCCTTCACGAGCCTCCTCCACAGAGGCCGATCTTGACTCCGCTGGTACCAGTCATCGGCAAGTCCACTCAGCTCCACGTCCTCCTGTACCACATCACTCCATCTCTTCTCTAGCCCGTGCCGCGCCCGCTTAGCCCCCTCAATCCGGCCAAACAAAAGCTGTTTCGGCATGCGGTGGCTGGGCATGCGGGCTACATGACCCAGCCATCACAGCCTTGCCTGCCGGAGGAGCTCACCGATGGGACCCTGCCCAGATCTTTCAAGGATTTGTGAGCTCCTCACACAATCCAGTCTGGTTAAACCCAGGATGGATCGTAGGCAGGTCAGCCTAAATGTTTCTAACCGGCGAAGATGTTCCATTAGGGGGGTCCACGTTTCGCAAGCGTAGAGAAGGGAGGGAATGACCGTGGCCGAGAAGACCTGAAGCTTAGTGCGGAGCGACAGACCAGGTAGCTTCCACACAGCGTTACGCAACCGATGAAAAGATATTGCCGCTCGACTGATTCGGAGTGAGACCTCTGCTGTTAAACTGGAGCCAGGTCCGGCAAAACAACCCCCTACCTCCTCGCGGTGCCGGACGGGCAACTCTGTCGTGGACAGTGCTGTGGGGGGAGTTCCAATTTTGATTGGCTCCTCCTCTCATGGCATATGTGTCCACCACAGGGGCTAAACGGGGGCTCTGGACGGGTGCGAGGGGCTGGTAACCCCTCCACCTTCAATTAATTACCACAAAACCACGAATTAAAGTGAAATATGTAACAACTAAGCTTGTGCCGGAGGCCCCGGGGGGCCAGGCGTCTATGACGTCTCCTGGCCAAACCCCAATTGGCGGAGCCAGGAGATTGAATACCTACCCTCGGGGCTACTCCAGAAACAACGAAAAGCCACTACGGGTGGCCACGTGGAATGTTCGAACGCTCACTGCAGAGGAGAGGCTGCCACTCCTCTGTCGGGAGCTGGACCGGTACCGCCTGGATCTATGCGGCATTCAGGAGGTCCGGTGGACCGGCTCTGGCTCCTGCCACCATGAGGGGTGGACAGTCCTCTACTCGGGGCAGCAGACTGCCAAACAACAGGGTGTGGGTCTTCTTTTGAACAAAAGAATGAAGGGGGCGTGGGACACAGACACACAGACACAGACACACAGACACCACACACACATGACGCTAGACGAGTGGAGGGTTTAATTCACTTAACAGGGCCCCCACAACTCTACTGTGCTGTCGTCGACACCTAGCACCGACTTGCCCAGTAAATATTTACAGCCGAGTTCTGCCCGGGCTACCGGTTCTGCCACCTGGAATGATGATTTTTACGTGAATGGAGAAACACTTAAAATTAACTGGAATCGTCATCACTGATTAGCTTAAGTGGTTGGACTTGAGCCCGCGTTGCAGAGTGAGACGCTGAGTGACGAGCGAGAGCCCCTCTCTCTCTCTCTGCCGAGTAACCCAATAACACTGAGCGAGAGAGACGGCTTGGAAAGCAGATCCCCCCCCTTCCAGACGAAGAAACGGTGCAAGTGTGAACACCCCAATCCTAGCCCCAATAATAATAATAATGATGAATGATACGTCATAATACTCGAGTTCATTTGGGATGCACGCCCATTCTTGTGGAGCAAGGTCACCACACCAAGGTGCCACGTTTCACTGACAAATACAGGTCGCCAGTCGGGAGCGACGTTGTTTTCAAACATGTACAAATTTCAACCATGACGCCAGCACACATAGCCTCCTCTTTTTTTAAATTTCTATACATATATAACGTCACGGGGTCGATAAGGCCTGCTGTGAGGCAGACGGCGTGTAATAATTAAGGTTCGCTCCCCCGCGGTATTAACCAAGGTGGCCGCAAGGTTCGAACCGTGAACCTCTGCGCTGCCGCGAGCCCGTCGCTGGTTGCAGGGTCAATGACGCAACGCTCCACTGCAGTCGTTTTCTGGATAAGCAAATTTAATGAAAACAAACATATTTGCTTGGCATCCACACAAAGATCGAGGCCCCTAATTTCCGGTTGCCTCCTGCTGCGCCCTGGGTAATTCCAGTTGTTACATTAATTCGTATAATTATGTATTACAGTGTATATTGTTTAACAAAAATAAGCAGGAAATTGTAACAATTTGCATGCCTATGTTATCAGAAGATTAAGCCTATTGCGGGTTCGTCTCTGCGAGACTCCATTTCTCTTTTATTTAACCTAATGTGGCAAGCTTGTCGAGCTTGCATCTTTTAGATCTCAGGTTCAAGCGCCAGGTCATTACTCAGGCAAAATCATTTTTACGTGAATCGACTGCCAGTTTTAACCAGGTCACTGTGGCATTCGACAATGCACTGTGTGTAATGCATTGTTATGTTACCAGGAGTATACCACTGGGAAGCGGCTCCTAATACCTATGACAATACAGAATATTAAACCAAGGAAAGCGTCAACTCAGTCTCTCGACTCTTTCAGAAGTGTCCTGCGTTGGGATATTTCCCCATTTCCATGAACGAGTGGTTGGCTTGTCGCAGACCTTCACACGAGCGGGTGTCATCGTTCCAAATATCATATGGAGATTTATAAACATATGCAATTAATGAAATACAATTAATTTATAGTTATTTTTCAAAGGTTATATGGGGGCAGCGTGTGCTCTTTGTAAAGACCGTGCATTATTTTACCGATGAAAACGGTTAAATTATATTCAGAATAATCCATCGGGGAGGCCAGGCGAGGCGGTGCGAGGCAGTTATCAGTGCAGCAACTTGGAGGCAACGTTCGCGGATCAGGCAGGAAGAAGCCATGATGTAGGAGAGACATTCACACGTGCCAAGATACAAAATATCATAGTATTCGTCAAGAGGAATCGGCCAAACATGACAATGCAGGATCCTCCTGGAGGGCAGTGTTGAGACTCATTGGAGACATTCTGGATAAATTACATTTACGTTGATATTTGGCACGCTAGTTATTGCAGCAACAAGTCATGCCGGAGCCACCAATTAGCGATGTTTCAGCGCCTGCGAGGGCACAGACACTCACACGGTTGGCTTGGATGAGCTCTGACAGATGCACGGCTATCTGGTGCAGATGTTCTCAGGGTAGCACTCGTACATTTTGGCCATCTCAACCGCAATGCTTATGTCTGTTGCTTTGATCAGCGAGAAAGTTTATAGTGAGCAAAAAAAAAGAATGCATCAGTGTCCCTGCATGCAACCCCCTCACGTCTCCTTATCATGCATGGTCGGTGGCAGTACAGCAAGTAGTTTTAAGAGCAGCTGTGCAGAGTGGCACTTTTAGGAAGGGGGGGGGGGGGGGAGAAGCACGGACGTGGCACCGCGGAAGAGTCAGGAAATTGTGTGGCTTGATAGCAACCTGCCGTGACGCCACATTTGTCGGATCAAAACAAAACGAATTTTCCCGAACCATCAAGCAAACGTCTAATCTGTCGACTCAAATGTTCCACGGAAAATCAGGAAGACACCCCGACCGCCATGCGTGACGGGGTGCGTGCTCAAGCTCACGCTGCTGCCGGGAGAGCGACGGGGCGAGCGAGGCAGCTCCCAGTAGCAGCGGAACGTCTCGCCCAGCACCGGGTTGTACGGCTTCTTGGCGATGGAGCCGCAGCGGCCCGCGTGGAACGCCGATAGGAACCAGCGGACCACGGCCACCATGCGCTCCCGTGCCTCCGGCTCCTCCGCTATCCTGCAATGGCCCAGTCGGGTTGACGAGCGCGGTTTTGACGAAAACTGGCAAGCACCCAGCAATTTAACAACACACGGTTGAAGGTGCGAGCGATAAGCGCGGTAATACTTCTCGATTATGGAGAAAATGGTCAGTGGCGTAGTAATAGTAACGACATTATCAGCTCAGAGGGTTGAAAACAAATCTCGTGGTGGTTGTCAAGGGACCCCCGACTCGTAGCTTTGGCTGCCGGGGGGGGGGGGGGTCATGGCACCTCCTGGCCCCACGCTCGTTACACCGCTGCAGGAAATGGGGACAGAGCCGATGGGGAGAGAATCGCAGAGTGGAGCGGTGCGAGGGATGGGGCGGAAAGAGAAGCGAGGTGTGACCTGCAGCGGTGTGGTTGTCCGCAGTGGGGATGGGCTGAAAGTCGGTCTGGCTCACTGTCAGTTTCAATGTTCATATTTCAGTTTTAGAAATAAGAATTTAACTATTGTACGACGTCAGGCGTCATTGTGTCTCCTCAATATAGCCTTTTTGCATTCTCTTGCACAAACCTTGCAAACGATCCCAGCAGTCGCATCGGTCTCGGGGCTCACGACCTCATGGATTACAACCACAGCCTCAAGCATTTACACCGAGCACTGCTGTAGCTCGTCTTGTACTCCCCCCCAACACAGATCAGATTGCGCGCGCTGTTCACCAAGACACCTTGAAACCATCCGGTCCCTTGGTGCACCCCCAAGTGTGCACAGGAGGAGAGAGCGCAGCGATGCATTTTGCATCTTCTTGAAGCCGAATCGGTGGTGGTGCTAGGCGCAAGCCAGCCAAGCAATGGCACAGGGCTCCACAAACAGCTCAATGGACCCCGGATTAAAGAAAACTAATCGGGATGCGTCATAAATGAACTTGAAAAATAAGAAAATGGTTTACCCTTTCTGGAAATAAAACAGGAGGTGTTAAGATGGTCAAACACCAAATAGATAACCTTTTTTAAGGAATTAAGTCCGCATTAACCACACACAGTACTTGTGACAAAACACGCAAACAAACTTGCTCTGATAATATTGCCAGAAAGGGTCAAACCTATTCTTATTCTTCATACTTTGATACTGGCAAAAAGGTTCCATAGAAATAGGAGCTTGAACTCAAATGCAAATTCTGTAAACAAAAGCCAATTGATTTATATTGCCTCTATCTTGTACGTATACCTCTCAATTACCTACACATCTCTCTCGCATGCTGCTCTCTTCACGCACCTAATGAGATATCTCACTATCTCTCGCAACAAAACTATGTCACTAAAAGCTTTTCAAATCTGCCTTTCGAGGGATGCACTGGTCCACTTAAACACGTAATTCAGAGTCGCAGAGGCATGAGAGGAAGGACCAATAGAACGCACAAAAGGCACAACAGATGGGGACAGAAGAGATGAAGGCGAATACTTCCATGTGGGACAAAGAGAGATGGGATAAAAAAAAATAATGTAAATGCGCTACGTAAATATTTTTAGCTTTGTAATCCTCTTTCATGCAGATCCACACTCGTGCGTTCACAGGTTTTGAAAACAACGCGAGTTGCCTCCCCCCCCCCCCCCGCTCCAGAGTCGCCCACCCCCAGAGTCACCCCCACCCCCCAACTCAACACTGACCTCACGAAGAGGTCGGGGTGAGCGAAGAAGTCTGCGTACATCTCGAGCAGCGAGCGCCTCTCCAGGATGAAGGTGGGCAGCACCACCTGCAGCGCCACAGCAGACCCACCGCAGCGCACTGTGGGTCTCGCTCGGAGCCACGGCTTGACTCCGCCTCGAGCAAGCCGGCTCAAAGCCACGCTTTGTTCAAGTCCAACTCTGGCCGATATCCTCCCCCCCCCCAATGTGTGCAGATACTACCGACTCTATTGTATGTAGGGTGTGTAGGAATATACGCCTTCAAAATACACTTCTGTTGGATCAACTCTTTTTTTTTTACCCCCACATTGGGGAGGTCCACTCTCTATATTTTGATTCAGGCCTTCTGAAAGGTTCTTATAATTTAGTTGGCGAGCAAAAACGGCCAAGCGGAACGCCGAAACCCACAACCGCCCCATTACACAGAAGCACAATTACAAGCACCACGGTGAAGACCAACAACGAAACTCACAGCGGAGCTGCGTCGCACAAAGCAAATTGCCTTGTGCGAAGATTCACGGGCATTGAAGGAACACGTCCCAGAGCAGTGCCTTTGTGGACCCACGGAGTGAATGTGAGGTTCATTAATTTAACGTGAAGAGCCTCCGGGCCAAGCTAAGCACTCGATTATGCAAAGTCGGAGGCTGGGGCACTGAACGGAGCTCCAAGTTACAGGGCTGCGGCGTGCGTGGGCGGCGTGCCACGTCGCCCCCCCGGCACGCGACTGCCTTGCCGCGATTGTCGTCGCTTGCGCATCTTACTTTGTAAATATGTTTACTTCCCATATTTATGCAATATCAATATTTAAACGTTCTAGATATTCAGTTTAACACGTAGGCTTTCGCGACCAATATTATTCATAATAAAGTGTTTCTGAGTTAGATCGCGTTATTTATAAATGTGTCGTAACCCTCCGCCACCCGACACGGCCAATCAGCAAAAAAAGTGTCACGTCGACAAAAGACAAAATAGTTCACTACTTTAGCCCACCGGTGTGTTGAAGAGTGATTCAACATCATTTATAATTGTTGAGTACGACGTTTCGCTGGTAATTGCATCCAGCATCATCGGGAAATCTGCCAGAATGGTGAAACCCTCCACTTGCTCCCAGTCTTAAATAGAACAGCAGCAGGGTGACATAATTTAGCCCAATCTGGAGCAGTGATTTTATATTGCGGGTAGGATAAATAAACATTGTATCCTGAAGGCAGGAATTGATGACAATGATGATGATGACTCTCAGCCCTTTGTCAAGGCTCTGCTAGATGAAGGCTTCTCCATGCGGTCAGTCATGGGGGCTAATTGACCATACCTCACCATGCTGGTCAGTGCAGGTTTGGTTAAGGAAAGGAGACGGTCAAAGGTCCAGTTGTAAGACCACTCGTCGCTGATGTTAGTCGCGGTTCGCTGCTGGGTTCGTAGCCACACGTTTAGTCACGGGAATCTACGATTGGGATCTGCCCTCGTTTACTGCAGATGAGCAACCAATAACCACCTAGCTGCTGCAAGCAGGCAGATGTTATCTCCCTGGTGGACGTCTGCTCAGTCTCATTATATACCTTCGGGTGCCAGGTTTCATTCCTGGCCACGGCAATGACACCTCGGTCCCTGTAATTGCAAGCACTATGACTGTTCTCTACGCGCACAAAGGCACCCCCGTAGACTCATCAGACAGCCAAGCAGCAGCACACCCAGGAATAGTAAATTCAAAACATAACCAGGATGGATAGGCGGCTATGCCACCATTAGCGCCACAAACAACACACCCACATACAGTAGACACATGCCCACAAGGCATGTACACATTTTATTGATAATTTTTTTCCGTGCAATCTTTTTTATCGTGTCAGTACTTTGTTAATTTGTCTCATTTGTACAGTTGTGTTCACCCCATTCGGTCCAATATGCCGCAAACACATTATATGTGTATAAATTGTTTAAATCGTGAAAAAAATATCCATATTCAGGGGATTTTGATGCACGTATCTTTCGCAAAAAATCGATAAACCCGGGATTTGTTTCGTGCCTAATGTCCGAGAACACACACTAAGTCCATAATCAATGTTTTTGGGTTAGATCGCGTTAATCATAAATGTGTCGTAACCCTCCACCACCCGACACAGCCAATCAGTAAACAAGTGTCACGTTGACAAAATAGTTCACTACTTTAGCCCACCGGTGTGTTGAAGAGTGAATCCACAACATTTACAGTTTGAGTACAACGTTTCGCTGGTAATTACATCCAGCATCATCGGGCAATTCGCCAAAATGGTAAAGCCCTCACTTGCTCCCGGTCTTAAATAGAGCAGCAGAATGACGTCATCATTTAACTCATTCAGGTGCAGTGATTTGAGGCGGAGGGGGGGGGGGGTATTGTAATTATATAATCGATTGGTAATCAGTCAATGGTTATGATTAGTAATGAGTTGTAGATTAGTAATTAGTTGTAATGTGTGTTATTGTGATTATATGCTACGTTAGTAATCAGTTAATTAGTATATGTTTCCCCTATAAGGAATTGTAATATGTTTTATTTAATAATACGCTTCCAGGCCCACTAAGCCCGATGATGCTGAATGTAATTACCAGCGAAACGTCGTACTCAAACTGTAAATGTTGTGAATTCACTCTTCATCACACCGGTGGGCTAAAGTAGTGAACTATTTTGTCTTTTGTCAACGTGACACTTTTTTGCTGATTGGCCGTGTCGGGTGGTGGAGGGTTACGACACATTTATAAATAACGCGATCTAACCCAAAAACCTTTATTATGAATAATATTGGTCGCGAAAGCCAACGTGTTAAACACACTAAGTATTGTACGGTAAAATAGCTTTTCCGAATTCTCCTGCGGTGTCAAGGTTCGTGCACGGTTCGATTCCAACTCCCCGCGTGGCTGTCGACAATGAGATCCCTCACCGTAGCTGTCCGGCAGACCACGTAGGTACTCTGGTCAATGTCTCATCCAAGATGTTTGGTCAACGTGGAAGAGTATGCCAAATATCCTCTCGAGGAGCCCTCTAGCAGTGGCACGAGCAAGCAATTGTAGATCTGCACCTTTACCTGTGTATTGCTAAAGCAAATCACGTCCTTATACCTTGGTGAGGTCCATGCCCAGCTTGACTTGAGAGAGCAGGTGCATGATCACACTCTTGTGTTCCTCCATCGACTCCTCTGCATCCACCACCTCGTCATCGTCATCATCGTCGTCATCGTTGTTGTAGAGATCTGCGAACACGATCGCATGCGCGGGTCAATGCCTTTGACCAAAACGATGAGTCGTAGACGCTGCGAGTCCGACACCTCATCCACATTTATCGCGGGCACCCATCCCACCGAGAGGGCCCCGTCACGGGCGAGAGCTACGCACCGCACAGTGACAGCGAGCAACACGGGTCCAACGGTGGGTCATTGCAACATATGCAAACATAAAGAATTTGGTTCAAAAAGTAAAAGGTGGAGGCCTGCAACAACTTGCTCATGCCCCTGCAGATGGAAAGGCCTCCAGGAACGCACACTCTAGAGAAGCTCCGAGGATTTTTGGCAACTTTCTTCGTTGGTCAGACGTCTCTGAAAAAGCGAGAGTACCCACACGTGACCTCACCACACACGTGACCTCACCACACACGTGACCTCACCACACACGTGACCTCACCACACAACACGACCTGCCATCTGATTGACTGCGGTGTGACCCCATTGCTACAAAGGCTCGGGGATTTCAGGAAGGCGCCCCATCGTTTCAACTGCCGCACCGGGAGATCGGACCGCCAACCGCTGGACAACAAGTCCGCTGCAGCTTCCCCGATGGACTTAATCACCACAATTAAAGTTACGGTTAGAAACTGCAGTCGTACTGATTATGTCAATTACATCAGCAATGTGAGGAATGAGCGTAGAGCATTTCATGGACAATTAGTTTCACGTAGTGATCTCTAACAATCGTATACTGTACGGTCTTATGTCAACGCACTGCTGGTTGACGGCCTCCATATGCCCTTGATGGTCACTGGTTGTTATTTTATTTAACCATACTTCACCACGCTAGTCAGCGCGGGTCTGTGAAGGAGGGAAGGGCAAAACCAGTTGTGCTATTGCCTCCCACGGATGCGAGCCGTGGCCTGGAGTCGAACTTGACTCACCAGCGTCACAGTGCAACATCACCAATCACTCCCCCCACCGCTTCACAACGATGTTTATTCATTCAATATTAATTACCCAGCCTTGCTCAAAGCCACATAATTAGTCCGGCGTGTAGAACAAGCGAGGGAATGTCGGGAACCCCATTTGCTGTATTTCCTCTCTCCCCTGGGGCTCTGGTCTCTGGTTGCCATTAACGGATTTCACGGCCTATAAACTTTAATTCGCAGCCTCAGTCCGTGCACGTGCTTTGCTAATGGCAGCTCCACTCAGTGCACTTGACACGGAGAGGATTCACTTCTGCAACAGAAATGTTGCATTGCGACATTCACAGTAAAATGCTCTCTCCGTGGTTAGGCTTGCAGGTAGAATGTAGGTTTGGTCAGGATAAAGGAAGGTTGGTGGCTAGTTAGCCATGTAGATTGAGCATCACTTTGTACAGTGGCTAGATCGCAGAATAAAGGTGGTAGAATAAAACGTGAAACGAGAGGAATTAAGTTGGGCCGGATAACGGGGAGAGTAAAGAGCAGGTTTGGGTGTTTTGGAGAACTGAATTTGATGATGAAAAGAGGCCGAACAATTAGTTTAAAAGAGGAGCGTTCTCAATCATATTAGCCGACACTGTATGGGAATACGGATCAGAGACGCAGACATTGACAAAGAAAATGGACCAGAAGTGCAACACAGAAGCATGGAGAGATGCATGCTGGGAATTGCATCGAGAGGGCTGGACACGTGGCTCAGCGGGAGGACGGTCGATGGGTGACATCGGGGACAAAATGGCGGCCGAGCTCACGGTGTCCACGCCCCAGAGAAGGCGGCCACTGGAGAGGTGGCGCTCGGAGAGGAGCGATGAGACGAGCGATGAGAGGAGCTCAAGTGTGTCAGCGAGACTGACTGTCGTGTCGCGACACCACGGGAGTGTGCAAAGTAGAGAGGCTTTCATCCATCAGTTGATAGAACATGGCTGACGATGTTGATAGATTTAAAGTTATTATTGCTACCAAATAATAATTCTGCCACAAACGCCGGAATGTTAAGAGCCCATTAATGAGAGTTCAGCTTCCCAGCGTCATCAATCAAATATTGACTCAATAAATGGCGGGGGACGAAGTTGGCAAATGGAGATCCCGCAACCCACTATCGCACATCGCATGGGATGCCCAGGCAGGGCATCTGGTGTTGCAACCCAAATGAAATGCAGGGGCAGATCACCAAATAAAGTAATGGCTGGGCAAGCAACGGCGAGAGCGTTAACCACAGGAACGAGACGTCCACAACACCGCCGACAAGGGGGCAGCAGCAGCAGCAGCACAATCCTCTTCTCTGGGGATGGTGGGAGCCAAGAGCCATGGCCACTCTGTTAGCAGCCCGGGGAAATCAGCCCGCGTGCGAGTAAAGGGTCCGAGATGGCACCACTCACAATGAGCAGAGTGGCGGCAAGAAACGGGGTCCTCCACGTCTTCACGAGCGATGAACTCGCGAACCAAGCGGTTTGTCTAAGGGACCTCGCGGTGGCGCAGTGGTTAGCATGCTGTGACCTCTGCTCAATTTCCGATCATATCTAGCATCGGTGGCGAGTGATACCGGAACCAGTCCTGGGCTTTCCCACATGACCAACACACACGGACCAGCATGGTGAAGCATGGCCAACCAACCCGCACGACCAACACGGCGTGGGGGAGACCTTCACCTAGCAGCAAATTGAGAACAGCGCCGTCATTTATGATTGTTTAAAGCTGACAAAAAAAGAAAGAAAGGAATTGGAAGCTGTACTTAGCTTAACAGACTCTGCATTGCTGACGAAGATAATTGATAGCGCGCCCGTTCTCCGACGCTCATCATTGCCTAGCGCCGATCACGCCACTGCCGCTCGTGCCATCTGTGCCCAATGCTGCTGGTCGCTGTCGGCCGCGCTTGGCTACCGCGTGGCGTTGGAAGCCACGGCCTGGTGCGCGTCAGGGTGCTGGCCACCGGGGCCCCCAGACAGCCGGCGATCAAGGGCTCGCATATTCATCACCGGGGCCAGCTCCGTGCGCGCGCCACTTGTGAGCGGACTGCGCAAATCTTGTTAATCTGTGCAGCATCTGGTCTGTCATAGAAGACGTAAGTTTTCGCTCCCATTGCGACATCGCAGCGGTTGTGACGGCAGCATCCTCGATCGTGCGATTTGCCACTCCTCGCGAGGGCTCGACCTGTCGCGGGCTCAGTCTCTCGCCACCTCACCGTGGGTCGCCATTCGTCTCGGAGCCTCCGAGTGTCCCGTGTCACCCTCGGCACGCCGCTTCTTTTGTCACTCCTGCGAGTAATTATAGAACCAAATGGAATCCCGTTTTTTTAATTAATTATTCCTATTTTCGCGTCTCGTTGCTCCAGGGCCTCTATGTGTATTGATTTTTTTTGTGGACAACAGCGAAGCATTTACTTAGCAGAGTTATAATAAACCACAGCAAGTGCACTTACAGGCCACGGCATAATTTAATATATATCAAATACCGGCTGGCATTCATTCACACCTGTCAAGGCGAGTAAATGTTTGGCGGCGGAGACGGGGCGAGTTGGTTCAAACGTATAACCTCTAAAAATGAAATGTGTTGTCGACAAACGAATGTGCAACGTGGCCACGTCCAACCGAGGCCCGTCGCGAGTGCGCTGGTGCAGGCGCATGCGAGGCGTCACCCTTAGAAAACGTCCCCACACCGTTTCCATTATTCGTCAACAAATTGATGCTGCTGCTGCTAAATGGGAGCGACAGCGTGAACACCAGCGGCACCCGAGTGTGCATTAGCACAAAGTAAAACCTGGACCGGACACCTTCTGACACGGAATGGAGTCACCGCTAAAAAGAAATCCGGCAACTGAGCACTGGTGGTGAGCTGAAGGACAGAGAGCCCTCGTGTATCCCCCCGCCACGCTCTGCGGAGCATATTTAGAGGACACTCCAATCCGTGATCTGGGGGGAGCGGTTCAGGTGTTTGTGCAGCTCACAGGGGCCGCAGAGGGACATCGACGCCATGCTGGATGAGACCTCGACATTGGCATTTAGCGGTTGAAGGTGTTGCTGCCATCATAGGGAAGAATCGCATGGATTCGTCAACATTTCAAACTATGGGCTTGAAATCCAGTATTGCGCTGCACTTCTCTGCTCCCCGCCTTTGCCAACCGGCATTGGCCAGCGTGGTGAAGTGCGGATAAATAGTTCCCACGCAGCAGACTGAGCAAGGGGCAGCACACGTGCACGCTACTCCACGTTTCCCGTTCGTTGGCGACAACGAACGGGAAGGGACAACGCGAGGAGGCGACAACGTTTCGTTCACGCCGTGCCTGGCACCGTGCCTGGCACCGTGCCTGGCACCGTGCCTGGCATCGTGCCTGGCATCGTGCCTGGCACCGTGACTTTACCGGATTGCGGAGATCCGAGGCCCAGAGTGACACCGAGCGACTGCGGAGCGCGGCTCCTCTTCGCGATGCCAGCCGAGGTCCGCCCCTGGGTGCCGTTCCCTGGCACGGACTCGCACCTGTCGGCAGGGAACACGCGGCACGGACTCCACCTGTCACCAGGAGACACGTGGCACGGACTCCACCTGTCACCAGGGAACACGCGGCACGGACTCCACCTGTCACCAGGGAACACGCGGCACGGACTCCACCTGTCACCAGGAGACACGTGGCACGGACTCCACCTGTCACCAGGAGACACGTGGCACGGACTCCACCTGTCGCCAGGAGACACGCGGCACGGACTCCACCTGTCACCAGGAGACACGTGGCACGGACTCCACCTGTCGCCAGGAGACACGCGGCACGGACTCCACCTGTCGCCAGGAGACACGCGGCACGGACTCCACCTGTCGCCAGGAGACACGCGGCACGGACTCCACCTGTCACCAGGAGACACGTGGCACAGACTCCACCTGTCGCCAGGAGACACGCGGCACGGACTCCACCTGTCGCCAGGAGACACGCGGCACGGACTCCACCTATCGCCAGGAGACACGTGGCACGGACTCCACCTGTCACCAGGGAACACGTGGCACGGACTCCACCTGTCGCCAGGGAACACGTGGCACGGACTCCACCTGTCGCCAGGGAACACGTGGCACGGACTCCACCTGTCGTCAGGAGACACGTGGCACGGACCCGCAGCGCGCGGGATGGCTAAGAGCTGTTTCATAGCATTATGAATTTAGAAGGTGTTATTTAACAAAATTGAAATGGCCACGTACAGTACGAAATAAGTTTAACGTGCACACACATACATAGAGGATCCATAGTCTAGTGGTTAACACGGAGACAAGACGATGGGTTTATCAGCATCTACGGCCATTTGTGTCAGGAGCGATGGCGCAGTGGTTAGAGCGCTGCGCTCCGAACCTGGCGACTTGAGTTCGTTTTCCGGAAACCGCTAACGTCAGTGGTCATGTCGGAACCGTTCAGACCCTTCACGGACCCGCGTGGTGAAGTATGGCATGGAAATAAAACACCCTTGACGTGTCATGGCAAGGCCCTCAACCGTTGGAGAGAAAATAGCTGGATCGTTATGTTCTATGCAAGACAGCACTGCTGGATGTCGGTCTCCCTACATCGCGCGGATCTTGGGGTTTGCTTGACCATACTTCACGAGGCCGGTCAGTGCGGCTTAGTGAAGACGAGGCCCATAACTGGTTGCGCTGCCCCTCACCACTGATGATAGCCGTGGCTGGGAATCAAACTCAAGTGGCCGGGTTCACAGCGCCGTGCGCTTGCCACTACGGCAGCGCTCTGCCCCAAACACGGATTGTCGCAGCAGGAAAGTCGACAGGGATTGTCACAGCAGGAGAGTCGATGGGGATTGTCACAGCAGGATAATCGACGGGGATTGTCACTGAAGGAAAGTCGACAGGGATTGTCACAGCAGGAAAGTCGACGGGGATTGTCACTGAAGGAAAGTCGACGGGGATTGTCACTGAAGGAAAGTCGACGGGGATTGTCACAGCAGGAAAGTCGACAGGGATTGTCACAGCAGGAAAGTCGACGGGGATTGTCACTGAAGTAAAGTCGACAGGAATTGTCACACCAGGAAAGTCGACAGGGATTGTCACTGAAGGAAAGTCGACAGGGATTGTCACAGCAGGAAAGTCGACAGGGATTGTCACAGCAGGAAAGTCGACGGGGATTGTCACAGCAGGAAAGTCGACAGGGATTGTCACTGAAGGAAAGTCGACAGGGATTGTCACAGCAGGAAAGTCGACGGGGATTGTCACACCAGGAAAGTCGACAGGGATTGTCACTGAAGGAAAGTCGACAGGGATTGTCACAGCAGGAAAGTCGACAGGGATTGTCACTGAAGGAAAGTCGACAGGGATTGTCACAGCAGGAAAGTCGACGGGGATTGTCACACCAGGAAAGTCGACAGGGATTGTCACTGAAGGAAAGTCGACAGGGATTGTCACACCAGGAAAGTCGACGGGGATTGTCACTGAAGGAAAGTCGACAGGGATTGTCACAGCAGGAAAGTCGACGGGGATTGTCACTGAAGGAAAGTCGACGGGGATTGTCGCAGCAGGAAAGTCGACAGGGATTGTCACTGAAGGAAAGTCGACAGGGATTGTCACAGCAGGAAAGTCGACAGGGATTGTCACAGCAGGAAAGTCGACAGGGATTGTCACAGCAGGAAAGTCGACAGGGATTGTCACTGAAGGAAAGTCGACAGGGATTGTCACACCAGGAAAGTCGACGGGGATTGTCACTGAAGGAAAGTCGACAGGGATTGTCACAGCAGGAAAGTCGACAGGGATTGTCACAGCAGGAAAGTCGACAGGGATTGTCACTGAAGGAAAGTCGACAGGGATTGTCACAGCAGGAAAGTCGACAGGGATTGTCACAGCAGGAAAGTCGACGGGGATTGTCACTGAAGGAAAGTCGACAGGGATTGTCACTGAAGGAAAGTCGACAGGGATTGTCACAGCAGGAAAGTCGACAGGGATTGTCACAGCAGGAAAGTCGCCGGGGATTGTCACAGCAAGAAAGTCGACGGGGATTGTCACTGAAGGAAAGTCGACAGGGATTGTCACTGAAGGAAAGTCGACAGGGATTGTCACTGAAGGAAAGTCGACAGGGATTGTCACAGCAGGAAAGTCGACAGGGATTGTCACAGCAGGAAAGTCGACAGGGATTGTCACTGAAGGAAAGTCGACAGGGATTGTCACAGCAGGAAAGTCGACAGGGATTGTCACTGAAGGAAAGTCGACAGGGATTGTCACAGCAGGAAAGTCGACGGGGATTGTCACTGAAGGAAAGTCGACGGGGATTGTCACAGCAGGAAAGTCGACAGGGATTGTCACTGAAGGAAAGTTGACAGGGATTGTCACAGCAGGAAAGTCGACAGGGATTGTCACAGCAGGAAAGTCGACGGGGATTGTCACTGAAGGAAAGTCGACAGGGATTGTCACAGCAGGAAAGTCGACAGGGATTGTCACAGCAGGAAAGTCGGCAGGGATTGTCACAGCAGGAAAGTCGACAGGGATTGTCACTGAAGGAAAGTCGACAGGGATTGTCACACCAGGAAAGTCGACGGGGATTGTCACTGAAGGAAAGTCGACAGGGATTGTCACAGCAGGAAAGTCGACGGGGATTGTCACTGAAGGAAAGTCGACAGGGATTGTCACTGAAGGAAAGTCGACAGGGATTGTCACTGAAGGAAAGTCGACAGGGATTGTCACAGCAGGAAAGTCGACAGGGATTGTCACAGCAGGAAAGTCGACGGGGATTGTCACTGAAGGAAAGTCGACAGGGATTGTCACAGCAGGAAAGTCGACAGGGATTGTCACAGCAGGAAAGTCGACGGGGATTGTCACTGAAGGAAAGTCGACAGGGATTGTCACAGCAGGAAAGTCGACAGGGATTGTCACAGCAGGAAAGTCGACGGGGATTGTCACACCAGGAAAGTCGACGGGGATTGTCACGGAAGGAAAGTCGACAGGGATTGTCACACCAGGAAAGTCGACAGGGATTGTCACTGAAGGAAAGTCGACAGGGATTGTCACAGCAGGAAAGTCGACAGGGATTGTCACAGCAGGAAAGTCGACAGGGATTGTCACAGCAGGAGTCGACAGGGATTGTCACTGAAGGAAAGTCGACGGGGATTGTCACTGAAGGAAAGTCGACGGGGATTGTCACTGAAGGAAAGTCGACAGGGATTGTCACAGCAGGAAAGTCGACAGGGATTGTCACAGCAGGAAAGTCGACAGGGATTGTCACAGCAGGAAAGTCGACGGGGATTGTCACAGCAGGAAAGTCGACAGGGATTGTCACAGCAGGAAAGTCGACGGGGATTGTCACAGCAGGAAAGTCGACAGGGATTGTCACTGAAGGAAAGTCGACAGGGATTGTCACAGCAGGAAAGTCGACAGGGATTGTCACAGCAGGAAAGTCGACGGGGATTGTCACTGAAGGAAAGTTGACAGGGATTGTCACAGCAGGAAAGTCGACAGGGATTGTCACAGCAGGAAAGTCGACAGGGATTGTCACTGAAGGAAAGTCGACGGGGATTGTCACTGAAGGAAAGTCGACAGGGATTGTCACACCAGGAAAGTCGACGGGGATTGTCACTGAAGGAAAGTCGACAGGGATTGTCACTGCAGGAAAGTCGACGGGGATTGTCACAGCAGGAAAGTCGACAGGGAGTGTCACTGAAGGAAAGTCGACAGGGATTGTCACACCTGGAAAGTCGACGGGGATTGTCACTGAAGGAAAGTCGACAGGGATTGTCACTAAAGGAGAGTCAACAGGGATTGTCACACCAGGAAAGTCGACGGGGATTGTCACAGCAGGAAAGTCGACAGGGATTGTCACAGCAGGAAAGTCGACAGGGATTGTCACACCTGGAAAGTCGACGGGGATTGTCACTGAAGGAAAGTCGACAGGGATTGTCACTAAAGGAGAGTCAACAGGGATTGTCACACCAGGAAAGTCGACGGGGATTGTCACTGAAGGAAAGTCGACAGGGATTGTCACTGAAGGAGAGTCGACGGGGATTGTCGCAGCAGGAAAGTCGACAGGGATTATCACTGAAGGAATGTCGACACGGCTACTGATTGGACGGGGGAAGAGCTCGTTCTACACACACGGGCTTTCACGATCGAGAATTTGATTCGTGATGTATGCTTGGTTCAATCGTCGTGCCGGTGTACTGTCAACGTTTAACTCCTGGATAACCCTCCATCACCCGAAAGAGGCAATCAAAATAAAGTTGCCACGTCGTGGAGTAATGTGCCGGTTGATTTGGGTTTTTTATAGCAACCCAATGGAAGGTTGAAGAGCAAAACTGTTGACAATATTGGCGTCGCTGCGCTGAGGATATTCCACCCGGCAGCATCAACAGCAGCAGCATCAACATCATCATCAACGGCATCATCAACATCATCATCAACAGCATCATCAACGGCATCATCAACATCATCATCAACATCATCATCAGCGGCATCATCAGCAGCAGCATCATCAACATCATCAGCAGCATCATCATGAACATCATCAGCAGCATCATCAACGGCATCAGCAGCATCATCAACGGCATCAGCAGCATCAACGGCATCATCATCAACGGCATCATCATCAACGGCATCATCATCAACGGCATCATCATCAACGGCATCATCATCAACGGCATCATCATCAACGGCATCATCATCAACGGCATCATCATCAACGGCATCATCATCAACGGCATCATCATCAACGGCATCATCATCAACGGCATCATCATCAACGGCATCATCATCAACGGCATCATCATCAACGGCATCAACATCATCAGCGGCATCACCACCAACAGCAGCAGTCCTCGCGTGAGCAGCGCCCCGAACCGGGCAGAGGGTTTCCTTCACGAGCTGCCTCCACGTCACCAGCACACTCACGCACGTGTTCTCGTTCGATAATGAGAGTTGATTGCTAATTGGCTGTGATTGGCAGGTTAGATTAGTGTAATCAGGTCATTCTCGTGTTTGGTGGAATTTTTTTTTATCCTTAATGAAGTTAAGATGCGTTGAGTTCGTTATCACGCTGGAGTGGAAGCTGTGATTCTGTGATTCTCGTTAATTGGTCCAATGCAGTTAATTCAATTAGCATCATGCGAAATTGGTGATACGGGCTGATTGAAGAGATTGCTGGCGTTACATTCTTTTAATATATGCTAATTTGAATTAATCTAAAAGGCTAGAGTTGTTTCCTGACGTTATGAATTTAAATGAGATGAATTGAAAATTGGCATTATACCTCCACGATATAACCCAAGAGAAACAAATTATGAATCGGGGGTGAGCTATGAGAATGCTAATGGATTACAAGTGTTGGCATGGGTGTTAAACCCAGGCAAGGCCGTACGTAAAACAATGTCATTTAGTGAACATTTTCAATAGGCACGTGAATCGAGCAGGAAAGTGATGTACTAACAGGTGTCAACCACGGAGGGGAGGGTCTGAGCAGAAACTATTTGTATTTACACTTCAAACATGAGGCGACAGACGGTGAAGTGAGATCCTGCTCCACGTGAGGCTTTTCAATCTGCCACGATTCGCTGCCCGACTCTCCTGGCTACAACCTCAATGCCAATCGATAATGTCTAGAGCCAGGCGAGAGCCTTGATCACTGGGGGAGAGAGTCTTGTAGACACTGAGTGTTCACGTGGGAGAGAGTCTTGTAGACACTGAGTGTTCACGTGGGAGAGAGTCTTGTAGACACTGAGTGTTCACGTGGGAGAGAGTCCTGTAGACACTGAGTGTTCACGTGGGAGAGAGTCTTGTAGACACTGAGTGTTCACGTGGGAGATAGTCTTGTAGACACTGAGTGTTCACGTGGGAGAGAGTCATGTAGACACTAAGTGTTCACGTGTGAGAGAGTCTTGTAGACACTGAGTGTTCACGTGGGAGAGAGTCTTGTAGACACTGAGTGTTCACGTGGGAGAGAGTCCTGTAGACACTGAGTGTTCACGTGGTAGAGAGTCTTGTAGACACTGAGTGTTCACGTGGTAGAGAGTCATGTAGACACTGAGTGTTCACGTGGGAGAAAGTCCTGTAGGCACTGAGTGTTCACGTGTGAGAGAGTCTTGTAGACACTGAGTGTTCACGTGGTAGAGAGTCTTGTAGACACTGAGTGTTCACGTGGTAGAGAGTTTTGTAGACACTGAGTGTTCACGTGGGAGAGAGTCCTGTAGACACTGAGTGTTCACGTGGTAGAGAGTCTTGTAGACACTGAGTGTTCACGTGGGAGAGAGTCTTGTAGACACTGAGTGTTCACGTGGGAGAGAGTCTTGTAGACGCTGAGTGTTCACGTGGGAGAGAGTCTTGTAGGCACTTAGTGTTCACGTGGTAGAGAGTTTTGTAGACACTGAGTGTTCACGTGGGAGAGAGTCCTGTAGACACTGAGTGTTCACGTGTGAGAGAGTCTTGTAGACACTGAGTGTTCACGTGGTAGAGAGTCTTGTAGACACTGAGTGTCCACGTGGGAGAGAGTCTTGTAGACGCTGAGTGTTCACGTGTGAGAGAGTCTTGTAGACACTGAGTGTTCACGTGGTAGAGAGTCTTGTAGACACTGAGTGTTCACGTGGTAGAGAGTCTTGTAGACACTGAGTGTTCACGTGGGAGAGAGTCTTGTAGACACTGAGTGTTCACGTGGGAGAGAGTCTTGTAGACACTGAGTGTCCACGTGGGAGAGAGTCTTGTAGACGCTGAGTGTTCACGTGGTAGAGAGTCTTGTAGACACTGAGTGTTCACGTGGTAGAGAGTCTTGTAGACACTGAGTGTTCACGTGGGAGAGAGTCTTGTAGACACTGAGTGTTCACGTATCCGCCGCAACTACAATTGCGCGCTCGCTCACGCCACTGCTGGCGGAAGAGCCTCAGCTCCAGTGAACTCGCGAACGTATTTGGTCTCCTCTTCCACGTTGGCCAAACACTGTCAAGGGTCTGCGCCCCACACTGTACCCCACCCACTGTGGTTGTGACTCCACTCACCCTGCCGGGTGGACGAGGCAGTTTTGGGGGTGGGGGGGGGGGTGGGGGGGGGGTGAGAAACGCGCCGAATGTCTCAACTCCCGCTCCGAGAGAGGGAATCACGGCGCGGTAGCATGAAACGAGATTCCGAGATGGAATCACGGCAGCATGAAACGCAATTTCCAGAGTAACTCCCTGCGATGTAACCCACCCACCGCGATTTCTGCGAGTTTATATTTTCAGTGCAGCTAAAGTCTCCGCGTGTCGATTCCTCGCTGCAGCCGAGACACGCGTGGTGCCCCGTGTGGGGAAAGTTGCCCTGACTACGCAACCCAAGTTTCTCTGACTACGCGAACCCCCAAGTTGCCCTGATTATGCAACCCAAGTTGCTCCGAGTACTGCCGTGGTTGTTGTTGTTGTTGTTGATCCAAGCGGAATTCCGGAGCGTGCGTCGGTGCGCACGACGAGTCGCTGCCTGCAAGTCGACTCTCATTCGGCAGCGCTCGGAATGTCGGGATTACTTTTTAAACCCCCAGCGCGCTTGCAAGAGCATTAATGAAGCGCCTGCAGTGGTTGTGCAACTGCGGAACTTACCGTTTATCCCTTGTTTAAAAATCACATCACACAGAGGCGGAGGCGTGTTCACAGCCAGACCCATCGCATACCATGGCAGCTGTTTATTCAATGTCTTGTTCTCTCCGAGCCCTGGGATTCTTTGTGGTTCTCTTTCTGCCCTGCGGGTCTACCTCGGGGACCCTGCAGTGTGCTGCTGCTGCTGCCGCTGCTGCTGCTTAGATTGACAATCGTTCGGTTGCTTCCGTAGACAATTGTGCTTGGCGCCCGTATACACCGCTGGGCAAACGCGTGTAAAATGGCGCAATTTTGTGAGCACACATGCAGGGCCTGAGGTGCCACAGCCTTCGTCAAATTCATTTCTAGCCAATTCTCTTTCTTGGAGATGCAAATGCGTGAAATGAACTGCAATGGTTTTCTCTTGTCAAGTGCTGGGGGGCGGTGTGTGTGGAGTATTTGTAAAGCACCGGTGCTGGCTGGTGGTTGAATATCAAGGGTTTGCGATATTTGGGGTGGAGTGTGAGGAGCTCTCTGGGTGGGTGCATTTGACTGCGAGGCCGAAACCTTTCAAACAAAAATGATCACTACGTACGTCGGCTTTCATACTCGTCACTTAATCATTGAACTCCAGGACCTTGTCCCGCTTTACGATGAGCCAGCGGATAAGTCAAATCCAAGCGTTTCGAAGGACCTGCCAATAACGATGGTTTATGATGATGGATGACGGTGAGTGCTGGCGCTCGCCCATCGGGATGCCTACACAGATGTTATTTTTGGGGCCGCCTCTTTCAATTGCATAAGCGGCGAGTGAGATGGAAAAGAGATGTTTCTTCCTGGAGTATACAAAGTGCAGATCTTTGGTCAATCCGTTGCTGGATGAGTGCCTTCCCACACCGCGTGAGTCGATGGGATTGTTTGCCCATTGAAGAATCAGCCAAACGCTGGCAATGCCGAACCCTCCCCGGGAATGACTTTTATCGCAGCCGGATCGGGACACAATCGAGCAAGATGAGCAACAGAACACGCGACGATGACGCGTATCGAATTGCTCTGCAAGGAATCGCGCTCGCAGATTTAGCGGCGCGTGGGTAGAGCGGCCACGGACCTGGGCCTCGGCTCCGGCGCTCCGCGGCTACCCCCGTGGCGCTCCGGAGCCGCCAGCCCCGGCTGCTCGGCATCCACCTCCTCCTCATCCACCTCCTCCTCCTCGCTGGTTCCGCACGAGAACTCGGGCACGGGGTCGGACAGCAGCGGCGGCGTCGCGCTGGGCTGGCCACGCGACGCGGCGCTACCTGCGCCACGGGGCACGCAGAGAGAGGGCACGGGGCGGGCACGGGGCACGCACGCGTCACCTCTTGTCTCGGTGTCGTCAGATTAAGTGCTCTAAAAACATTAATATATTCTGTACTTGTATAATGAATGTACGTTGAGTGAAGCGTGTTAATTGCGATAAAAAGCACAGTTTTGCTTTTTTCAGTGATTAATCCAGAAATAGCCGCGGAGCCAAGTTCAAGACGATGGAGCCATTCGTTGGGTTAAACAGGTTTAGAATTCCATCTTCAGGTCTTACTTTAATAGAAAATAATTACATTTAATGTATGACTGTATTTGTTTTTTTACATTAAACCGATTAACCATTCTTGTCTAATTTCCATAATTAGTGCACAAGTGGCTGTAGGATCGTTGTATAACCAATTGTTTTATTCCACTCTGAGTTCTACGAAACGTGCGCAACTAATTTCACGGCAAGCCGATATTGCCGTCATACGCAGCTGCAACTGCAGTATAATTATCACAGTTTGCGCACGTTTTTAACGACTACACGCGTTCACTCGTCAAATGCAACGCTGATTGCTTTATTGGCCGCACATTCATGACTGTAAGAGCCAACCCCGAGGACTGGCTGAGCGCTTCCCCAGTAGTAAATGTGTGTAACAATACACCAATTCGCCAATTAATATTGATTCTTACGCTCACAACCCACGCTTAAAATAATGTGCGCAAGCATCTACCCTTTCCTATCGAAAACGATGCCAAAGATGATGATATGCGTACGCTATATTTCAGCCTGTATTCATAGGCTCGGCTCAGACTTGGCTCTGGCTCAAGTAAGTTGGCTCAAAGCCATGGCGCTGAACTTAAGCCGGCTCTGACCCACGGTCCCTGCCGTGCTCATACAGAATTCCTGAGCCTGAACCCACACTGTCTCTCACCCACACTGTTTCTCACCCACACTGTCTCTCACTCACCCTCACTACCTCTCACTCACCCACACTGCCTCTCACCCACGCTGCCTCTCACCCACACTGCCTCTCACCCACACTGTCTCTCACCCACACAGTGCCTCTCACCCACAAAGTCTCTCACCCACACTGTCTCTCACCCACACTGCCTCTCACCCTCACTGGCTCTCACCCACACTGTCTCTCACCCTCACTGTCTCTCACCCTCACTGCCTCTCACCCACAAAGCCTCTCACCCTCACTGCCTCTCACCCTCACTGTCTCTCACCCACACTCCCTCTCACCCACACTGCCTCTCACCCACACTGCCTCTCACCCACACTGACTCACCCTCACTGCCTCTCACCCACACTGCCTCTCACCCACAAAGCCTCTCACCCACACTGCCTCTCACCCACACTGCCTCTCACCCACACTGCCTCTCACCCACAATGCCTCTCACCCACACTGCCTCTCACCCACACTGCCTCTCACCCACACTGTCTCTCACCCTCACTGCCTCTCACCCACACTGCCACTCACCCACACTGTCTCTCACCCACACTGCCTCTCACCCACACTGCCTCTCACCCACACTGCCTCTCACCCACACTGACTCTCACCCTCACTGCCTCTCACCCACAAAGCTCCTCACCCTCACTACCTCTCACTCACCCTCACTACCTCTCACTCGCCCACAAATCCTCTCACCCACACTGCCTCTCACCCACAAAGCCTCTCACCCACACTGCCTCTCACCCACACTGCCACTCACCCACACTGTCTCTCACCCACACTGCCTCTCACCCACACTGTCTCTCACCCACACTGCCTCTCACCCACACTGCCTCTCACCCACACTGCCTCTCACCCACACTGCCTCTCACCCACACGACCTCTCACCCACACTGTCTCTCACCCTCACTGCCTCTCACCCTCACTGCCTCTCACCCTCACTGCCTCTCACCCACACTGCCACTCACCCACACTGCCTCTCATCCACACTGCCTCTCACCCACACTGCCTCTCACCCTCACTGCCGGGCGTCGGCGCGCCCTGGCCGGCCAGCGCGCCCCCGGGGCTCTCCGGGTCGGAGGAGCGCGGCAGCGTCTCGGGCCTCTGCTCGGGGTGCGCCGGCCGCGGCAGCTCCGCTGCGGGCAGCGTGGGAGAGGGGCGGGGAATTATCAGGGAGTCGGGGTTGTTGTGGGATCATTGGGGAAGATCTGAGTCGTGCGTGTGGGGTGCTCGGGGTGTGAACGTTGGATGATTTGGGGGATGATTCAAGAGAACGGCCTCCAGACGTTGACATTGCACACACGCAGGAGAAAGCCACATGGTTGGAGGTGCCCTTAAACTACGGAACTGTATTCCTTATACCTCATGTAAAAGGCATCTTACTGTACTCTTGTGTTTTACTGAAATGTTAAATAATTAATGTTCTCATGAATAAGGCTTTGCGCAATCATAAGAATTGTAAGTTGTAACGCGCTGCACAGTCTTCACTCCCCGTTGTCGTAGCGACAGGGAATGAGCCCGCGGCGCGAGGATGAACCACGTGAGGGCAGGGAGACACTCGATCCCACACGGAGAGAAGAGGGGGCGTCCAGATTGTCTCTGTACCACCTTCTCATGGCCCCTCGACGCCCAGGGGAAAGGAGCTTTTTAAGCCTTTGTGCGGTGATCCACCAACCCTCGATGCTCCCTCCACGTCCGTGGGTTACAGCCCAGGTGCCACCACCACCGCCCGGCTCACGCAATTATTTGCTTCAGTGGCCTCTCTCATCCGCATTCAAAGTAATTTCATAATTGAAATGTTGAAACAAAATTCGCCTATAAATCCCCTCATAAATAACAAAAAAAAAACATTCGCCAATACAAATGCCATAAAAGATTAAAACAGAACAGGTGACGTGTTTTGGCAATGCCCTTTCTTAGTGGTCAGTTACTTAATCCAATATTTTCACATTGAAGAATAGGTTTTCCACTTTTTTTTTGGCAACAAAACTGAAACCTTTTTACAAGAAATCATGTCGGAATCATGTCTGCATTGACCACAATACCACAAGTATTGTGGTCAATGCAGACATAATTCCTTGTAAAAAGGTTTCAGTTTTGTTGCCAGAAAAAAAGAGGAAAACCCCATTATTATAGTTTGGTACTGGCAAAGGAGGCCTCATGACTTTTACATTTGTGATGTTTTCCCCTTTGGGCAATGTCCTCGACTCACGTCCGTATCGAGGTTCCACAATTGTCCTTCTGGACGGACCACTGACAGGGCGAGCATCACGACGTTGTGCCTGTCGATAGAAGTGGCCGGATCGACCCTCACTCCTCGCTGCAATGCAGGAGAGGCGTGGCGCTGCATCCGTCTCCACGGGGAGACGGATGCAGCGCCACGCTAATTGGGATTGTGAGGGCGGCCACGTGGTGTGACAAATCCCCCCGAGTAGCACGCGTTGAAAGTTCCGCGTGCTCCGGGTTTATTCGGCGCCTCTAATTGGTGCGATAACTTTGAACGCCGTTGGCTGGGCGCGCATTCAATGGCGCGCGGTCGCTGTGTGCCTCGATGAGAGCCACGACCGGCCCCTGCTAGGACGGCTCTACAAAGCCGAGACGACACGCGACCTCCCACACCCACGTGCCGTACAGACGCGCTACCCCGCTGCAGCTGACTCATCGTGTAAAATACATTTCCGTGGAACAAAGCGGCATCAACTTCGCTCGACTAATGAAATGCATTTGGACTCAATGTGAAAATTATATATATAGCAATATAGGCATTGCATCGTTTTACTCCTGAAGTCATTCCAAAATATATTTTAACCGCATCAGTTATCTCCCGAATGTCAAATCGATGGAAGTGTAGCAGTGCACCAGGGGTGCTCCAACGCACAGGCCCCACGTGACCACCACCAGCTCCCCCTTTGCACCACAGCGCGCTTGATTGCAAGTCCACGTGGCTACTCTACTCACTGTACTACAATAATGGCACCGATTACAATCAATATGTATTGTCCTTTTTAGTTTTAGCTATTCACGTGCACCCTGCTGGATGTTTCGATGTTTGCAGAGGTTCCAATCTGATATCCCGAGGTCGCCGGTTCGATACCATCAACAACAATGGCTCAAGTTTCTTAAATGTCACCCCTCCCAGTCTGTCCAGCTAGCACAACAGCGAGGTTGATCAGCAGGTCGTGTTGCGGTGGGGTCAACTGTGGGTACGCCCAATCTCTTCCATAGTATCCGGTCAGCGTGGAGACGTAGGCAAAAATAAGTGCAACTGAAATTGAGGGACACATTTTAAAAGCAGAGCAGAAGCTATCCGAAAGAACGAAGCGAATGTTGAAGAGGGGCCAACAGGGATTAAAATGCCACACACAAGAGCGAGAGAGAGAGAGAGCGAGAGAGGATTAGACACAACTATGCCAAACAATGATGACAAACAAAAAGAGAGTTAATCAGCGACACCAACCCAAACGTGATTGAAGACGTCACGTCAATGCAGTTAGGAGGGGCGCGTTGTACCCAAGTCCCACAAGTGGAGAGAGTTGCTCTTTCCCCGTCGCTTGAACCTTGAACGGAACCATCTGTGGTGTAAATGCTAAATGAACACGTGAGGATTCGGGCAAGCGTGTGTAGTTATACGTAATTAATTGTATTTATTACACATGCCCTTTAATTTCTCGTTTCTAAGTGTGCCTTTATTTTTGGCTGCCTAAGCCCTTGGGCGGCTACACGGCGTGCCGCTAACCTTTTGCTTTCCCATATAAATGATATAAATGATCCATTACAGTGACGACTGCTCCGCATGTCAACGCCCTTTCCAGCAGCAGCAGCAGCAACGGCGGAGATTGAAATCGCGACGGCTCTGTGGGATGTCTGTGAGCATCACACAAAGTCAGCTCCAGCCTGTCCTCGCCGCTCATCGAATGCGGTACAACATCTATGCAATCTCTCTGTGTCGAGACCGATCGATAGTAAAACGGTGACAATAATAATCGTCATAAAAATAACGTCACGTATTTATACAGGGACGCCTCGCTTGATGGAAGACTTTCAAGAAGGGCCCCGATTTGGAATGTTTGGTCAAATTATTTTAAGTTATTATTAATCTATGCGTGTGCGGAAACCATATGTACAAAGGTGAGTCGCCAGCTGGTTTGCTGTACACCTCACAGTCCAACGCGTTTGGGAGTCTCACGGCGCAATATCGCGCCAAGAGCAGCCACGTCAAGAGGCTCCACACAAGCTCGGGACAGACACACACTCGGGGCCGATCGGAGTGAGAGGCGGAGTTGGGCTGTGATATATAGAGAGAGCGAGAGAGAAGCAGCGGCTGTCTGGAGCCTCAGCTGAAGAGCGGCTGCTAGTTGGCGGTGCAGGTGACCGGGGGCACGGAGTTCCTGGCGGCACAGGAAAAGGTTCGACCACCGTTCGGGCAGCAGTGAAGTGGGCCACGTGGTGTGAGCGTACAAGTAGGGCACGATGAGAGGGGGAAAAAAAACCTCAGCAGGAACGATATAAGGCGTGATTCAAAAAGTACTGACGACAGTGTTGTAGTCGATGCCAGATGGAGCTGTGAGCCATTGGCGGGGTCGATGGAGCGAGTTGGTGTCGCTGACGATTGAGAGGGCCGACGACTATTTCCACATTTTCCTGAATTTGTAAAATCGAATTCGATTTTTGAAGCTAAGCAGTGTTGTACTTGGATGACGGACTGCCTGGGAATACCAGAGGTGTTGTAGGCTTTAGCTGCGAGGAGACCAGAAGGTAGCAGTGTGATAATGGTTTCTTAATTCGATCTGTGTGGAGCTCTGAATGTTGTCTCCTTATATGCATGTTCTTATCCAGTAACTCTGGCGTGCTTCCGCATTATACTCAGTTTTGAATTTGGTCGAAACATCCCAATGCAGGACCATCTTGACAAAGAGTCTTGATGTTCATTGAGGCTTAAACTAATTCTTATGAGAAAAAGAAACGCTCCCAGAAGGCCGTGGCTCATGGAATGTGATTAAATGTACTTTAACTTGTTACGCGTAGCTCCAAATATGGGAAGTAGGCGAATCGTCCCAGCCAATAACAGAACATCTATTCCGTCGATTAATAACCAAAGCGAATTCAGACGTCCAAGAGCCTATCCGCTCGCCCACTCGTGATTATACCTATATTAGGGAAGGAAAATAACTGTGGGCAGGGGAGGATGCGTAAGAGGGAGAAGGGGCGAGAGAGGGGGGCGAGAGAGGGGGGGGAGGGCATTGAGGGGTGGAGGAAGAATGCAGGGAATGCGCGCGATCTGGCTGGCGGCAGGGCGCCGCGAGACAAGATCGCGTGGGGCGAGCCCTTGAGGAGCGCGATAGAGTTGGGGGGGCTGCGGCTCCACAGAGCCCTCGCCGTCTCCACCCTGTCCGATAACGCGACGGCGGAGCTTGGGACTAATATAGTCTGCAGCGCGCGACCCACTGCACATCATAACTTCCTCAAACCAGAAGCTCGACACGCATGCCACGATCAAGGTGAAGTGGCTGTTGTTGGCACAACGTTGGCTCGCTCTGCCAGTGAGCTCAGCCGTGGTTTGCGTGGCCCGTGTCACCATTCTAAATTATTCGCGCTCGTTGCCGAACCTTCGCATGTGTAGCTAAAAGCTAGGGAGTAACTTGCGCTCAACCACCGCTTGGGAAGTCATCTCAAAATTGTGTTGAGGTTAAAATGGACACCGTGCTTTATTAGATCCAAATGTGAACGCAACAGACGTCACCATAGACCACCTCGTGCATGCGTCGCGGGAATAACCGCCGCACTTTGATATTGGTCGTGGAGGCTCTTTGGCCATACTTCACCACGCTGGTCACTGTAGTCAGTACGGGTCGGTGAAAGGGAGGTGGTGTCACTCGGCACTTGAGGGTAGCGTGGTGCGCTAACCACTGCGCCACCGCTCTCCCAACATTATTTACCTCATTGCAAATAGGCATTGCCATACCAATTCAACTCTAACCACTGAAGAGGCGGGTTATATTGCGTCTGAAGCGTGTTATCTAATTAACAAACACACTGCATTGTCCTTGAGTTGAAAGGTGAAAAATCTACCGATGCTTTAAAATATCTAAGTAGGCAGTGAGTGCGTTTACTGGTGAAGACGCGAGAGTGACACGGGACACTTAACGGCACTCTCACATCACCCGATCCGCTCACGCGCTCTGGGAGTCCAAATTCACCGCCTCTTGTAACACTGATGAAGTAATATTTTATATTTACAGACGACAACAGACGTGTTGATTAGAAATACCAACACGATCACTCTTTAAAAAAAATGTAAATTGAACGCTGCTAACACAGCCCTGTGATGTGATGTGTGCTAGCACAGCCATCTGTGTTAGCACATGGCACATCGCAGGGCTGTGTTAGCACATGGCACTGTGGTGTGGTTTGGTTGTGCACAGCGTATAGCTCGGCATGGTATTCGCCACGCCACTCGCTACACGCGCTGGGAGCTTCTCCAGGACATGGAGCGAAACGTCTGACATGCGCTATTATACTCTCCGATGTGTTTTCTAGTTATAGCTCGTATTGTCCGACGTTTCGCTCCACGAGTTCTAAAGATTTATCCAGCACGTGACGCTTCACAGCGACACGTGGAGCGAAACGTCGGACATCGCGCCGAACAACATGCGGGACACCCCCAGACAGCTAGCCAGCACACCTGCGAAACTCCACACAGTAACACAGTAATACAGCACTCTCACTGAATCCGCTGCTGACTGTGGTGGCCGGACCACAGAGGAGGACGTGGAACACAGTGTCTCCTCGTTCGAGGGCAGGTGCCGTGGACTGTTGAGCTCTCGGGAGCTCCCTCCTCGTCCGCCTGCCCATTGCGAGCTAGGGCGCCGCAAGCTCGCCGCTTTGCCGTCACTAAACACCTCGTACCTCTCCACTTCCTCCGTCTCATGCTGTCGTCGCGGGCATTGCAGGGCACGGCCGGGGTGCTCTCGGCCGGGCGCTGTCCACTGCCCTCGGGGTGCTGAATCCACCAAGCTGCCACTCCACGGTCCTCACTCCGTATGGCACACGAATGTTGTAAGTGTGAGTGTGTGAGTGTAGAGTGTGTGTGTGTGCAAGTGTGCGCTGTGCAAGGCGCTGGTGGGGCTAAAGCACAGGCGTGGTTTAACTGTATCAATATGTGAGCGAGATACCCCGCCCGCCCGCACGCCCGCGCGCTCTCTCGCTCGGCAAAGGGCGAGGAGCAGATGAATGAAAAGACTGCGAGGGCGGGCGGGCGGGCGGGCGAGAGGGAGTGAGAGAGGAGGGAGCAGGAGGAGGGACGGGGAGAGACGGGATTTCTGCTCTCGTGACGTCAATACGCCGACCTGTTATAAAACAGCAGCAGTCACCCGGGCGACCAGCGGGCCCTCAACAGCAGCTCGCCGATTGTTGTAGCAACGCGGCGCGTGCGTGCAGAGGGATGATGCGACAGTGTGGAGGAGGCCCGCGTGTTTCCAGCGAGTCCGGCTGCGCGCTCTTGGTGTCCACGTGTGGCGCACCACCAGCAGCAGCTGCGGCGGGATTGTGTGTCTGCTGCGTTCTTGCGTGTTACCTAAATCACAGCGATGCTGTTGTCAATGTGAACAAGTGTCGTGAATGAATGGAGGTGATCTGCCATCACTAAATCTGCACCATGAATACAATTAGTAATTAGAATAAATCCGAATTCAAACCGAGGTCGTGTGGAATGTAAAAGTCCCCATAAGGATTACAGCGCACAAATATGGTCGATCCAGAATTGCTATGGGGTGAGCGGTGGCGCAGTGGTTGGCGCGATGCACAACGAACTGGCTCCTCGAGTTTGATTCGCGGCCACGGATAACATCAGTGGCGAGTGATATGTGAAATAATCCTGGCGCTCCGCACCCTGTCTACACTAACCCAGATTAGCCAGGGTGTTGAAGTATGATCATCAAACAACTCCCATGACTTGGTATGCGCGGAGAAGCCTTCATCCAGCAGTGGATTGACGACGGGTTGCAAGCAAGCAAAGCTAACGCCACTAAACACAATCATCATATTATTAACGTATTATTTTAACATCTGTTAACGCAAAAATAAATCCCATTAAGAGAATAATTAAGCGTTAAATATAGTTATAGCGCCATGATAACATTTCCAATGCATTGCTGTGATCTAACTGCCCCTCACTGATGTCGCTTTCACGGCGTAATGCAGGTGATGCACGTGTTGATTAATTATTATTATTATAATTCTTCTTCTTCTTCATCGGCAGGTGAGCGAGTGCTCGGTGGGATCGCGTCACGCGCTCGCTTGCAGTGCCGCAATAAATTGTGTTGACCCTCCTCCTCTCCTCCTCTCCGCCTCACCGCCTCACTCCGCATGGCTCTTCCCCAACTCTCCAATCTCTCTTCCTTCTCCTCTCCCTGCCTGGCGCCGGCACCAGCCGCTCGAATCGAGCGCCCACGCGCGAACTCTTCGTGCCCCCAGAGTGTTCTCCCCCACCCATAATCATTCTCGGCTCTGTAATTGGGTGGGGGTCGTTGTGGGAGCGCCAGAGATGCCTTTGGCCATCGGCTCTCTCTCTCCCCCTCGTCATTCTTCACTCGACTCCTCGCTGCCGTCCCTCGTTCTGTCTCCCCCACCCACGGAGTTAATATCTCCACCAAGTGTGGGTGAGGCTGACCGCTGCCCTCATTTTCCCCGCAGGCTCCCCACGACTACTCAGCAGTAACATGTTGCAACTGTGTAAACATCAACGTCTCTTGGCCAAAAGGCAGTGTTGCGTGTTGGAATCCCTGAGCCAGTGATGGAAGTTCCACATTCATGCGATGCCGATCAATGTCTCCGCTGTGTAGACAGTCTACACCATAGGTCCCTGGCGAACTTTCCACAACCCGTGACGGTGGACCAAATTAACCGCTCCCCGACCTTGAAGTCAAACCATTCCCACTGGCAGCCAAATGTTCAAACCGCATCGCGCCTTCGGGCACCACCACGCCGACCTCCTTCCATAAATAGGCACATCTCTGATTGGTGATTTCGTCCCGTGTCCGATATTATTGTTGTTGTATTATTGTTGTTGTATTACAGCGCCACCCGGCTTAGCTTCTGAGGTCTGCCGAGGTGGGAGCCGCGCGTGGATGAACGACGGCGAGAGAGCGGAGCGTGACTCGCGAGGCGCGGAGCTCGCGAGCGAACTCCCTCGAGTCTCGGCCGTTCGTGTTCTACTCAAACAGTGGTCGCAGTCGTGAGTGGCGCGGGGCTGGCGGCGGTTGCGGTGCGAACGGCAGAGTGAGCGCACGCGCCGAGTGGCACTCTAAAATAAAATACTCCTGGCACATTAAAGATTGTGTTTTGAAGATTACACAACACGCGCGGACACGACACCGCTATCAACAGTGCGCCTCCCTATTGACTGATTTGTCACAAATCGTGACCACAGGTAGATTCAGGGGATTTGATATTTAGTCGTGTTTAATGGCCTCCTTAAGCTAGCCAGCCATGATATAACTCTGACACGCAACGTGCGTAGGTCACACGTGCCTTCTGCTTCTCACGTGCTCGACGCCATGCCTGCATCTTCTCGACTTGATTCTTAATCGATCTGCGCCTATAGGTGTATCGGCAGCGTGCGAGCTGCATTCAAATACAATGTATATACAGTACTGTAGTCTACGAACCTATGTCGTTCATTCGCTTTGAGATGAGCTGCGTATACCGCAGAGTATTGTTTACGTGGTGGAATGTTTGGTGTCCCGTATTGGTGAAATGAAATGATCGTTTTAGGGTGCAGAGTGAGCACTAGAGGGCAGTGCAGCAGCGTTCATTCTGCTGCACTTCAACAAGCCACTGAACGAGCATGGTGAAGTATGGTCAAACAACCCCCTTTATCTGCACAGGGTGGGGAGGCCCTCATCCGGAAGTATATTGATAAAGGGGTGCACACGTTTAGGAGTTTGAATTTGTAAACTTCGTAATACCCTTCAGAGTGCAATACAAAAAATATTAGTAAAATTATACTCATGCAATGCTGTATTATAGTTGGAATGTGATTTGAAATTGTAGCAGATCGGATCGACGCACTGATTCTGATCATATTCCGTGGAATCATGGATGGGATCTATATTGTTTAAAATCCCATTTTAGATCCAAATCGTGTGATGTAAATAAACCCCCCAACCACAGAATGTGCACACAGGAACAAAGACTTAAACCATGGGACGATGCCTCAATCGTTGTTCTATTCAAAAGGAGGCAAACCTGTTTATTATTACGCGCATACAAAGAGTTCACCCAGACCATACGGACCCCAAGCAAACCACTGCAGTCCGCACTCCTTCAACGGCGGAGGAAAAGCAAAACGACACCAACTCTCTCCCGATGCCCCCTCGTGGCCAGCAGACGTCGACGGCGGCGCTGAGCTGCTGAGCGCATTGCCATGCGCGCTAGGCGGGCTGGTGTCCGGGCTGGTGTCTGTCGAGCGTCCCTCTAAGTCCACACGGACCCTCGCCCACTGCCACTCGTGACCCCTCCCGTCCATCCTCACCTCGCTTGAATGACCCGCTGTGCGACACACACACACACGTGTCGTGACGTAAATGGAGTCGCAATGGCGTTTAGCGCCAGCTACTGAGAGAAGAATGTAACTGTGCGTGTTAGAGCCTCTCTCTGGCACCACAGTCGGTATGGCATGGAAGGGGGCCCTAGGGGGCATGGTTCTGGTGACAGAGAGAGGGCAGTTGAGGACGTGACAGTCTGGGTGACCAGGACAGGATAATGAGGGGGGCCAAAAGGTGTCGAGAGGGACACGTGATGTATAGTCCAGAACCTTCTAGTAGGATCTAGAAGGGGGCGTGGCAGAGGGCGGAGCCAGGCCACGCTCAGGGGCATAAAAGGGAGGTCCCGAGAGCCGATCGAGGCTGTCTGTTGAAATGGAACCCGTCGGTGCTACGTCTCTTCGATCCTCGGTCTTCGATCTGTACACTCGGCATCGTGGGTCAGGCAGTGTGTTACTGACTGGCCCGGTTATGTAGTTACCCCGTTGTGGTCTAGCTAACCTGTTGTACGTTATGTAGTTACCACGTTGTGGTCTAGTTAACCTGTTGTACGTTATGTAGTTACCCTGTTGGGGTGTGAGAATACACGTGTTGCCTCCAAGTTCAAGTGTGTGCTTCCGTGGAACCCACTTGACATGTACCGGGCTAGTGAAGTATGCTGGTGGCAATTTGCATATAAGCCAATCCCATAGAGAAGTGGGCTTGGCAGATAGCCCCACCACCAAGCACTGCACTTCCGTGTTTGGCGGCCATGTATGACCTCTAAATGTCGCTTTTTCAGTGACTAAGCATTATACAATGCTACTGATCCTTCCTTAATTATAATTATATTTATTTATTAATTACCTTACCCTGGTTTTTTTTTTTTTACAAAATAGCCAAGCAGATGTATTTTTTACATATCCATCTCTCCACGGATTTCTTACACAACTCATCAGCCACATGACATTCTCGGAATTTATCATTTCAACAGCATTTTTTCTCGACAAGTAAACTGGTCGATTTCGACATCCGCTGTCTCATCAGCAGTCAGGCTTGCTGGAATCAATGCTCGTGAACTGTTGCACTTAGAGACAAGGACCCCTTACGCTGCGGGTCCTAGGTGCGAGTAAGACGCTAAGTTATATTGCAACACATGGCTCTAAACAACCACAAGCATCGCTGTGGGAAATATACATCAGCATTTTTTTCGCACACAATGTCTCGTGCTCTAAACAACCACAAGCATCACTGTGGAAAATATTAATCAGAATGTTTTTCGCACACAATGCCCCGTGCACATATCTGTATTTCCATATATTAAAACGAATCTTACAAACCCATAGTAGGGATGCCCAGCCACCTCGGTTCAAAATTGGCCATCACTACACCTTGCGAATTCGTTATGGGGCAGTGCAATTGAGGAGTTTGAGTTGTTGGCTTCGAAGCGTTTGAGTGCTGCATGGTGAAGGCGTGCGCGTATTTCTTGCTGGAGGTTTGAGGAACTAAGCCCTCTTCTCTGCAGCCCCCTGAGGACGGCGGAAGACGGAGGCGGGCGGAAGTCTGCTGACTTGGGCAGCGCGGGATGGATAAAGGCAGCGAACCCGCGTCATTGCAGACACGTGAGACAGGAGACGGGAGACTTGTGAGACAGGAGACTTGTGAGACAGGAGACGAGAGACTTGTGAGACAGGATACTTGTGAGACGAGAGACAGCCGTACAAGATGTTACCCACACATTCCCTTTGGCTGTTGCTTCTTATTTTCAGTCAGCGCGATGTGGGTACGTATATATATTTATTTCATTACATTCAGCATAAAAGTTATCTTTACTATATTGCATTTAACACTTGCTGCACCATCGATTCAATACAGGAGTGATTTTTTTACACATTAATTCGTTTGAAACGCTGTTTACTAAATTGTATACACGATACCAATAACAAATATTGCCTTTTGAGGCAATATTTATGACACGTGAGGCTGTACCTGCCACATCAATATGGTTTGTTATTCTCCATGTTTTGGCTAAACATGATGTACTCATTTATATATGACTATATGGCTATATGACTATATGACTTAATGGCTATATGACTATATGGCTATATGGCTATATGACTATATGGCTATATGGCTATATGACTATATGGCTATATGACTATATGACTATTTGGCTCGGATTCTGTGGTGAAATATGGTCAAACAACCCCTGCAAAATCTAGCACGTTATAAATGTAAATATTATTAAGACCAACCTAGCATGTAGACACTTTTATCGAGTAATGGGCTGATCACTTTGTAACATATTGTTTTGTTCCTAGGTAGTAAGTGTAATTTTCTATTCTTAGCTCTTTCGGTAAAGTCACGTTGAAGGGAAACAATAAAATAATAAAATATATATAAAAACAATATTTTCTAATTGCTTATGCCTCAAAAGTACAGAGAATGGCTATTATTCTCCACAAACTTTGCTTTTGTGACCAGGACAATGATATTTTTAAATTGACCTATTTTCAATGAGAAAACGGGTGAATTTGTGTATTTTCGTTCACATAAAGTCAGAAAAAAACCCATATGAATCTAAATTAACATATATTTATACTAAAGTAATACAAGAATGAATACAAAAGATTTAGACACCAAGGCGCGCTACCACAGGCGGGACTGGCCACAGCGGACCGAGTTCTCTGTGGTGAGGAACAATCTCGACAAACTACTCACTTCTAAATCTTTTCTAGTAATTGTTTTTTATTACTTTAGTATAAATACCTGTTAATTTTGATTCATATGTTGTTTTTTTCTGACTTCATGTGAACGAAAAGACACAAATTCGCCCGTTTTCTCATTGAAAATAGCTACATTTCAAAATATCACTGTCCTGGTCACAAAAGCAAAGTTCGTGGGGAATAAATAGTCATCCTCTATACTTTTGAGGCATAAGCAAATACGAAATAACACTTACTACCCAGGAATAAAACTTGTGTTATATCGTGTAATGGACTGCATAACATTGCTTTCTGTATTATCGTACATATGACTATTATACAGTATCTTCTAGAGGGGCTCTCTTGCGCTCTCTCGAGTGGAGGCCCCTCTGACAGCAGTGGCGCAAGAAAGCAATTGCAGGGGCTGTGCCTTTATCTTGGATACAATTATAGCAATTGGCTAAAAGAAATTATGATGTATAGTGAGTAGCCAAGCATGACTTAAAACAAAACTATAGCGAATTCAAATGCAATAATGCATGAAAACAAAATCATTGGACTAACGAGCAGGCATTGCACAGCTCACGATGTGGGTATAACGAGCCGAGATTTAACCCGAAAGTGCCCCAAGACAGTTACTTGTGGTTGCTTTTGACGGCTTTAAATTAAACAAAAATGATTCTGCAACTTGTTGATTTTCGGCCGCATCCGACAGGGACTAAGAAAATAAAATCATGAGGATATATGTGGTGGTGGAAGTAGAAAAAGATGTATAAACGTTCATTATTTGGCTGAAAATATTTGAATATATAGAGGACTGCAGAGCTTGGGAAATTGTTGGCACTGGTTCACTGTGTGGTCGCTGCCTTCCCTGCTTGTCTGTGGCTCTTCGTGGCTCTGTCATCCTCTGTTCGTGAGTGAGCGGTACTGTGCACCTTACAAGTTTGCATTAGTGTTAAAATGTTGTGTTTACTCCAAACAAAAATTAAATTGTGTGTGATACCAAATGTCCCCCTGAAGCACAACGAATATTTAAACATGTACACACTTCCACTTGGGAAACATGGCCTTGGCTTCGTCACTTCTCACCTAAATTACTGCACTACAAGCCGATTAATTTATATTAAGATTGTATCGTTAAAAAGTATACTACAGAAACCCTCATATTTTAGAAACAAAGTACTGTATTTTTAACCCGATCTTACGATTATTACTGTGCTTGTTTATCCATGAATGCAATGCTGAGATGTTATCTCCCTCACCTGTTCATCAGGAAATCATGGGTTAGATCCCGGCCCTTGATGATACCTGTGCATACTTGGAGTCCGCATGTTCTCTGTCTCTCTGGTGGTCGTATGAATGTTTCTCCAGGTTTTCCACTCCACATTTAGAAACAACATGCGTTTAGATTATACGACTGTTACTATAAATTCCCACACTTGATGATGATATCAGCCACTTCGAAGAGCTATCATCACGCGTGGCCAGGTCGCCTCTGAATAAGATCTAATAGCTTGGAAGTTTTTGCCTTGTAAATAAAGTAATATTACATAAATACACCTTTTTTCCTGCAAACATTTCGCATTATGGGACCATGTCACTGTGTAATCTCAATTGAGTAATTTGTGGTGTAATTTTTTTACATTCGGATGTTACGGCCAACACCAGCTACATTGTACAGTACTTTCGTTTTCCCAATGCATTGGACAAACCCAGAGAACCCGGAGAAAACCCATGCAGAACAGGGGGAGAACATACCTAAGTCAGGAATCAAACCCAGGCCCTTCTTGCCAAGGCACGATTTTCCACTGGGCCGCCTTGCCACCGTCGAATGAAATGATTTCTGTGCGACTTCCATTTTCTTTAGGTCCGTGCTGTGCAGTCAACATGGACGCAACAGGAGAGGGACAGGAGGTTCGCTGCTCTGGTTACGAGAAGGCACTCACCCCGAGCGTCAACCTCGGAAGGGTCGTGTGGCACTACAAGCCAGCCAGCGGACAAGTTCCTTATTACACTTACCTTATCGACTACAACTACAACACCAAACTCACAGACACGCTGTCAGGAACGAATTTTTCCGACAGAATCAAGATCTTAACCGAGGGCAATTCAAAGAATTCTCTCTTCATCAAATCTTTTAATGCGAATGACGGTGGCATCTACACGTGCAAGATCTATGGGGATGGGTTTAAGTTGTTATACATGACATCAGTGACTCTACCCATGGGTAAGTCGACATCAACTCATACTCTTACTGCGCGTGGCATTCACACCATTTTGACAGCGCAGACCATCACGAAGGCACCGATGCGGTTCACATACGGGTATAGTCACGGTAGGGGGTGATGCTGCAAAGTGGCGATACCTACATAAGGACATTTGCGAGTATTTTTTTAATTTGGTACAACTTGCCCGTGACACTGGCACACATGGCATTTAGGGTGAACACACCTCCGCAGGTGAACACACCCCCGCTGGTGAACACACCCCCGCAGGTGAACACACCCCCGCAGGTGAACACACCCCCGCAGGTGAACACACCCCCGCAGGTGAACACACCCCCGCAGGTGAACACACACCCCCGTGGTGTCGCCACGCACGGTGATCATCATCGGCACGGCTGTGCGCAGAGTACTGAGGGACGTTTTCTCGTTACGCGCAGGACAGCAGCGGTGGCTCCGTGGCTCTTGGCGTGCCACCAAGAGGTGGAGCACCTTGAGTTGCCCTTACAACCACCGGGTGCAGGAGGAGGAGGAGGCAGCGTTGTTTTTATGAGGCTCAAGTAAAACTGGAAAACCCCATCATGGTTGAACGTTCATTCATCTTCCAGCTAAACGTTAAGGCTCTTACTCGCTAATATTTCCGATTGAGAAACATTTGCAATCCGATACAGCATGTCCACGTGAAATTGCCCACACGCTGTACGCTCCATCCTCCCTGTGGCGCTCACTTCTCTTCCTTCCCCTTGACACGCTTCTTCGTCTGCAGCACGACCCTAAAACAACGTTGCCCAACGTTGTCCCGACAGCTCCTTCGCTATGACAACACCTGGCTGACGAACCGCGGATATCTTGATCCCTGAACTGGTGCTGGTGACATTGCGGCTCCTGCGTAAGTCTGTTGTCACTGACGGTTGTTTTTTTCTTTGTTTGTATCCCCTGTGATTTTTCCATGGCATCCGCGATGGGCACCACGGGAACAAAACGCATCTCTCAGCAAAGAGCGGCGTCTTTCCACTAATCGTGGGGGCCGCCGCCGCTGCGCTTTTAGTGATTGTCACGTCCATCATCATCTGCTGCTGCGTACGCAAACGACGGAAAGGTACCGGTACCTCGCCCTCATCTCTCCCCTCCCGCGCGAGAGGGAGGGAGGGAGGACGTCGGTGTCACCAGAGGCAGCGGCGGTGAGACTAGGCACACGCAGAGAAGGGGACGACACAAAGGGGACGACAGAGAAGGGGACGACACACACTACACACACTACACACACACCACACACTAAACACACACTACACACTAAACACACACTACACACACACTACACACACTACACACACACTACACACACTACACACACCCTACACACTACACACACACACTACACACACACACTACACACACACTCTACACACATCACACACACTACACACACACACTACACACACACACTACACACACACTCTACACACATCACACACACTACACACTACACACACCACACACACACACTACACACACACTACACACACACTACACACGCACTACACACACACTATACACACACTACACACACACTACACACACACTACACACACTACACACACACTACACACACTACACACACACTACACACACACTACACACGCACACTACACACCCACTACACACTACACACACTAAACACACACACTACACACACACTACACACACACTACACACACTACACATACACTACACACACACTACACACACTACACACACACTACACACGCACTACACACGCACTACACACACACCACACACACTACACACACACTACACACACACTACACACAATACACACACACTACACACACACTACACACATACTACACACACACACCACACACACTACACACACACTACACACACACTACACACACTACACACACACTACACACACACTACACACACACCACACACACTACACACACTACACACACACCACACACACACTACACACACACTACACACACACTACACTCACACACTACACACACACTACACACACACTACACACACACTACACCCACACACTACACCCACTACACACACTACACACACACTACACACACACTACACACACTACACATACACTACACACACTACACACACCACACACACCACACACACACTACACACACACTACACACACTACACACACACTACACACACTACACACACACTACACACTACACACACACTACACACACACACTACACACACCACACACACTACACACACACTACACACACACTACACACACCACACACACACTACACACACACTACACACACACTACACACACACTACGCACACCACACACACTACACACACACTACACACACACTACACACACCACACACACTACACACACACTACACACACACTACACACACTACACACACACTACACACTCTACACACACACTACACACACACTACACACACTACACACACACTACACGCACACTACACACACCACACACACTACACACGCCACACACACACTACACACACCCTGCACACACACTGCACTCACACTACACACACTACACACACCACACACACTTCACAGACCACAGACACTACACACACACTACACACACTACACACACTACACACACACACTACACACCCACTACACACTACACACACTAAACACACACACTACACACACACTACACACACACTACACACACTACACATACACTACACACACACTACACACACTACACACACACTACACACACACTACACACGCACTACACACACACCACACACACTACACACACACTACACACACACTACACACAATACACACACACTACACACACACTACACACACTACACACACACTACACACATACTACACACACACACCACACACACTACACACACACTACACACACACTACACACACTACACACACACTACACACACTACACACACTACACACACACTACACACACACTACACACACACTACACCTACACACACACTACACACACCACACACACCACACACACACTACACACACTACACACACACTACACACACTACACACACACTACACACACTACACACACACTACACACTACACACACACTACACACACACACTACACACACCACACACACTACACACACACTACACACACACTACACACACACTACACACACCACACACACACTACACACACACTACACACACACACTACGCACACCACACACACTACACACACACTACACACACACTACACACACACTACACACACTACACACACACTACACACTCTACACACACACTACACACACACTACACACACTACACACACACTACACGCACACTACACACACCACACACACTACACACACCACACACACACTACACACACCCTGCACACACACTACACACACACTACACACACTACACACACCACACACACTTCACACACCACACACACTACACACACACTACACACACTACACACACTACACACACACACTACACACACTACACACACACACTACACACACACACTACACACACTACACACACACTACACACACACTAAACACACTACACACACACTACACACAGACTACACACACACTACACACACTACACACACACTACACACACACTACACACACTACACACAGACTACACACACTACACACACACTACACACACTACACACACACTACACACACACACACCACACACACTACACACACACCACACACACACCACACACACCACACACACACTACACACACCACACACTACACACACACCACACACACTACACACACTACACACACACACTACACACACTACACACACACTACACACACACACTACACACACTACACACACACTACACACAGACTACACACACACTACACACACTACACACACACTACACACACACTACACACTCTACACACACACTACACACACACTACACACACTACACACACACCACACACACTACACACACACTACACACACCACACACACACTACACACACACTACACACACACCACACACACACCATACACACTACACACACCACACACACCACACACACACCACACTACACACTACACACACACTACACACACACTACACACAGACTACACACACTACACACACACTACACACACTACACACACACTACACACACACCACACACACACCACACACACTACACACACACCACACACACACCACACACACCACACACACTTCACACACCACACACACTACACACACACCACACACACTACACACACTACACACACACACTACACACACTACACACACACTACACACACACACTACACACACTACACACACACTACACACAGACTACACACACCCTACACACATTACACACACACTACACACACACTACACACTCTACACACACACTACACACACACTACACACACTACACACACACCACACACACTACACACACTACACACACCACACACACACACTACACACACCTACACACACACCACACACACACCATACACACTACACACACACCACACACACCACACACACACCACACTACACACACCACACACACTACACACACACACCACACACACTACACACACAAACTACACACACACTACACACACACTACACACACTACACACACACTATACACACTACACACAGACTACACACACACTACACACACTACACACACACTACACACACTACACACACTACACACACACTACACACACCACACACACACCACACACACACACTACACACACACTACACACACTACACACACACTACACACACTACACACACACTACACACACACCACACACACACCACACACTACACGCACACTACTCGCACACTACACACACCACACACACTACACACACCACACACACACTACACACCACACACACACTACACACACTACACACACCACACACACTACACACACCACACAACACACACACTACACACACCACACACACACTACACACACACTACACACACACTACACACACACTACACACACCACACACACTACACACACATTACGCACACCACACACACTACACACTACACACACCACACACACACTACACACACACTACACACACACTACACACACACTACACACACTACACACACACTACACACTCTACACACACACACTACACACACACTACACGCACACTACACACACTACACACACTACACACACCACACACACTACACACACCACACACACTACACAAACACTACACACACCACACACACACCACACACACACTACACACACCACACACACACTACACACACACCACACACACCACACACACTACACACACTACACACACCACACACACTACACACACACTACACACACCACACACACATTACACACACCACACACACTACACACACACTACACACACCACACACACACACCACACACACCACACACACTACACACACCACACACACACTACACACACACTACACACACCACACACACTACACACACCACACACACTACACACACACTACACAATACACTACACACACCACACTACACACACCACACACACTACACACACCACACACACACTACACACACACCACACACACCACACACACTACACACACACACTACACACACCACACACACTACACACACACTACACACACCACACACACATTACACACACCACACACACTACACACACACTACACACACCACACACACACTACACACACACCACACACACCACACACACTACACACACACACTACACACACCACACACACTACACACACACTACACACACCACACACACATTACACACACCACACACACTACACACACACTACACACACCACACACACACACTACACACACCACACACACTACACACACCACACACACACTACACACACACTACACACACCACACACACTACACACACCACACACACTACACACACACTACACAATACACTACACACACCACACTACACACACCACACACACTACACACACCACACACACACTACACACACACCACACACGCCACGCACTACAACAACCGCCATTCGCCACTAAGTGGCGGTGACGTCACCACGACGCTTGTGCCAGGCCACGTGCACCTTGAGGCCACGTGAAGTGTCGAACGCCCGCTGGCAGGTCACGGGGCAGACTCAAGTGCCACGGGTCGACTGACTGAGATGACTGAGATGACTGGCTGATGCACCACCTGTGCCCCCTACTGTGCCAATCTGCTGTGCTTTAGCCACCCGGCGCTCCGCTCGTTGTTGTGAGCGTCGCTCCTCCGCCCTCCGTTGTTGTTGGAGGGCGACTGCCTCCAACTGCCCAGTAGCGTCCTTCACGAGCCTCCTCCACAGAGGCCGATCTTGACACCGCTGGTACCAGTCATCGGCAAGTCCACTCAGCTCCACGTCCTCCTGTACCACATCACTCCATCTCTTCTCGAGCCGGTGCCGCGCCCGTTTAGCCCCCTCGATCCGGCCGAACAAAAGCTGCTTCGGCATGCGGTGGCTGGGCATGCGAGCTACATGACCCAGCCAACGCAGCCTTGCCTGCCGGAGGAGCTCACCGATGGGACCTTGCCCACACACACACGCCACGCACACACCACACACACACACAACACACACTACACACATCACACAAACAAGACGCCTCGTGGCGAGCTCCTACCGCTATATCCATAGAGGTTCTAAAATGTTCATTTGAGTTGTTTCTGTATTTTGTTGTGTTTGTTAAGTCGCTCAAAAGAGAAGAGAGGAAAATGCCTACACACATCTCAGAGGGCACGACCCAAATAATGCAGGTGCTTATCGCTCATGTTTTTATTTACATTATGCTCCATTTTACGATGCAACCTCAAACATTAATCGTATTCATACTCTTTGGTTCTATTCGGTAAAGTCACGCAGCTATTTTTGATATGTAAACTCCATTGTCAAGGCGCCCTGGTCCTCCCACCGAGCTTAAAAAGACGCTGCGAATCTTAGCGGCGGTCATTGAAGCGTTGTCATCCCGACAGTTCTGTTCCTTCACCTGAAGAAGGCCACTTGTGTTGTGGCCGAAACGTCGTGAGAATTTTATTGTTTTATTTTTTACCTACGTGACTTTACCGAATAGAACCAAAGAGTATGGATCCTTGCAGTCACGAAAGCTTCAAATCGAGAAATAATCGTATTACCGGTTCCTAAACGACGGAGCAAGCTCAAGGTGTTGCTACTGACTGGGTGCGGACATCGCATTCAGTCGTGGAGCCGCGTGGAGCCGCGTGGAGCCTCCTCGGGGCTCCTCGCGGGCCTTCCGTCAGCACTGACGGACGGAGGCGGCGTTTACCTTGCGTCAAGGGGGCTCTCAGCTGTCACTGCAGCCTCGCAACCCCTTTGGTTCTCAATAGTTAAAATAAATAACTTGTATAATGTTAATACATACATAGGTTTAATGGAACAAAGTAGTTGTATCCATAAGACATGTGTTTTGGGTTGCAAGGTGAATGTTGGTGCAGTGCGTTGCGAGATGAACGTTCTTCTCAATTGCCACCTCCCCCCCCCCCCCCTCCTGCTGAACAGGAACGGAGGAATCCCACTACGAAATGATCGACGTGCATGGTGAGCACCATAGGGCTCTGTGTTTGGATGAATTTCACAGCCATTCTGAATGCACGAGTGGATAAAGGCTCCCCCGTCCCCTGGATGTGAGGCGTTGTTCGGGCCATGCTTCATCACAGAAGCCGAGCCATGCCGCCGACGTCACACACAATAAACGCGTCATTACCCCCCGACCCTGGCCTTGCTGGGCTCCGAGCAAGATTCAGATGTCCTGCGAGGCCAGCTTGTCAAGTTTAGAGTGGATCGACGCAAGCAATAGCCACAGTGTTAAACCCACCCGTACCGCAGGAGCCTCGCGCTGACTTGAGTTAGATCTGAGGGGCCAGACTTTGATAGCATCGTGGGCCACACAACGCAGGCAGACGCGCTGCCAACACAGCCACTCCCCGAGCTGCTCGCCCTGCTCCAACAAAGTGGTACTCATTTGATCAACCCCAAAGAGATTAGGGGCTGATGGTCTAAGTGGTTAAGTGACAGCCTATGAGTGTTCAGGCAGGCCTCAGCTTACGAACAACCGAAGAGCGAACATCCGCACTTATGAACCAGCTTTCATGAAAGATTTGTCGTAATTTTTTTTTACATTCACTTAAAACACGAACTCTCACTTGCAAATAAAACTGCGGCACTATTCTGTTCAGCTGAGCAATCCTCCGCGATATGTAATGAGTCAGCTTCGTGCTGGGAGTGAGTGTTTATGTCTTTGTGGGCTTTTAAATATACTTGATTGCTGTTCCGGCTTACGAACCGTACGACTTAGGAACTCGGCCTGAACGATTTGGGGAAAATATCTAATTGCGATTTTTGTGACAGATATTGCGATTTGATTTGCGATTAAAAAATGTTTAAGTCAAGCTTCAGTTCAATATTCACTGTGTAATAGATGTAAAACACGTGATGGAGCATTACCACGTGATACCATCACAATATGAGCTTCTCTGTATATGCTAATGCAAGGATGAGAACTAAAAAGATATGAATTGCTTCCAACATTTATTTATTAAAATGTTTTAATTGAAATAGAACAATCAAACTGAACAATTGTTAAATTAATAAATTAAGTTTTAATAGTAATTTTTTTTTATTAAAATAAGAAAGTAATAGGACGTTTCAAATCGCAAAAAATCGCAGCCTTTACAATTTTCTAATCGCAATGTTTCAAATTGCGATTTCGATTTGAAATCGATTAATCGTTCAGCCCTATTACGAACAGGTCTCAGGAACTAATTGTGTTCGTAAGTCAATGACTGTTCGAATGTCGATCAATCGAACAATAGGGCCCACTGCTAAATGATCTTACACAGCAGCATATCCTGTGGTTGTGTGCTGTATGTCCTGCCTCTGAGACAGGATATTAATGTTTCCAACATGAATTGCTTCAAATCCATATGCTTTTACTTTGCAGATGAACGTGATTCCACTCAGGGCGCTGAAAAGGGTAACTCCTTTTTGTAAACGTTCTGTCGATAAATCCGTAAACAAACCCGCCTTTTTGAGTTGATCAAAGATATCCAGACGTGTAAGAACTAATAAGCCCCAAGTACACGATACTGACTGATTATGTGTGCTGTGTTTATTCATTTAAAATAAGTTTATTTCCTTAGGAAGTTGTGGTTTAAACGAAACAAATGACTTTCCTCTAAGTCACATTCAGCCCACTAATGACTTTGAATGCTGCAAGGCATTTCTCTGCATTGCTGCACACATGGCTTTTACAACCTACATTATAAGACGCACAATTTGTACATGTTTCAGGCAGGCTCACATAGTTCTGTACAGCCTTGAGTGAGGGTTCATTCTGACTGCAAGGATCCGGGGACCTTTGGTACGGTAGATTATGAGCTACATTTCACCTGTAATCTTTGAGCTAGGTAAAAAATGATCAAATATATTCCCTGTTATTCTTTTAGAGGTTTAATAAATACATATCTCAACGCTATTCCCATTGTTAAAAGTTTGTTGGTTGACAGTTGCAATTAGTTTTGAAAAATTTAGATTTCAACTGTGACGTTTTTATAAGTTTCTCTAGTTTTAACTTAATGTTTTTGCTTCGCTTTGACCAGGATCTGATCATATCCATGAAACCCCCTACGAAACTTTGAAGCAACATGTGGCCAATGAAGGTAAACGTGTCTACAGATGGTGCACTGGGGTGGAGATTGGAGTCGCACGTCTGTTTTCACAGAACATGCTTCACCAGTCGGCCCTTGCTTAACGGAGGTGTTCTTTACATGTACACATTACAGTATCTCAAATAAAAGTGTCTCCATGCTCATTCGTGTACTCATCTCAACAACACTAGTCGTACCCATCTCCAACCGTGGAAATTCCTAATTCCCATGGCAGGGACTAATTAATACATATGATGACTGCACCCCCGATTAGCACGGTTGGCTACGTATAGTGCGAAAGAAGTTCAGCATACATACATACATAGATTCACACAAAGTGGCACTCATTTATCAACCCAGGAGGGATGATGGGCCGAGTGGCTAAGTCAAAGCCTGTGAGCGTAAGTGGAGCACTCGTGTGCTGCTGTGTACTCACTCTTCATAAGTACTGTACACTGTGTTCATGATGTTAATGTGGATTGCTTCAAATGCATATGCTTTGTGTTATCCGCATGTGGTCCGCAGGCGCTTATGAAACCCTTGCACCAACTGGAAAAGGTAAAATTAATTTGTGTTCACTCACCGTGAATTAGCGGGCGTGTGCTTCACATCCAGTTTGATCAAAACCGATGATTCTCCCTTAAACCTTTCTCAGAGATACCCAGACACGTGCGAGAGCTACTTGGCCCCGAGACGGCACTTATAGAATCTGTGTGCTGTGCTTATTCGTTGTAAAGTAAATCTATTTCCTGAAGTACTTGCTGTTCAAATGATGCAAATAACATTTCTCTGAGTGAAATTCAGCCAATAGCTTGAGAATCTACACAGCACGTGATTGCATTACTGCACACATTGCCTTTGCAGAATACATGAAAGAAACACAGGCAATATTTTAAGCAGGCTGATATAGTCCTGTACAGACTTGAGTAAGGATGAATTCTGCAAGGATCCAGGGACCCGTGGTACTGTAGATAATGAGCTATAGATCCCCTGTGACATTTGTGTCCAGGTAAAATTGACAGTAAATGTGTACTGTGTTAATATTTTGGGGTTTTATACTTTTCTAACATGCCTTCCCATTGCTATAATTGTCTTAAGTTGATATTTGTGAAATTAAGACTTAAACTGTGACATATACTAGTTCTCTAGTTTTAACTTAATGTCTTCCAATTTTTTTATTTGAATGTTACACATTACAGGATACAATGTCTTGCGGTGTTTTGTCTCGTACATTTTTACAAAAAACAAATTATTTGCTTTATTGCAGACGCAGCAGCCCCCGAAAGCCACGGCAGCCCCAGCAGCTCATAAATTGATAAAAAATGCAAGTACAAGTCATCATGTTCCTTCGCCATAGAAATACGAGCTTTAAAATAAAGAGCCGGCCTGTGTATCTTGACAAATCCGTCCTAGCACCCTTCCCCAGGCCAGCGGCAGCAGATTGTTGTTGACCTCCAATGGACTTCTTCACACCGAGCCACAAGCCGTCCTCCCTTCCCCCATCCGCCGGTGCGGAATGGACGCTGTTTGTGTCACGACAAACCGCGCACACGAGTGTCACCTTTGTTCGTACAAACCGTGCACAAATGTAAACGAAACAACATCATTCATAGCCCTTTGGCAAGCCACTGGTGGCTGAAGGCCTCCCTGTGCCTTGTCAGTCATAGGTGTTGCTCGACCTAACTTCACCACGCTGGTCGGTTAGTGAAGGGGGGGGGGTCTCAGAACCAGCACGGATGTCACTCGCCACCGATACTAGCCGTGGCCAGCGATCAAACCTCGTTCATGATGGCAGTGCGCTAACCACCTTGGCACCGCATCGCTCATTTGCTGTTTAACCGCTGTTGACTATAGATTCATAACACCACAATACATGCTTCAAATTGACACAGCAGTTACTGCACTGCGCTCAGAACCCGGCATGCTAAGATTGAATCCCGGCCACGGCTAACAACAGTGGCAAGTGACATCGGAACAAATCATGAACCCTTCTACTTTCACAAACCCACACTGACCAGTGTGGTGAAGTATGGTCAATACCCCCAAGGCTCGCATGGCAAGGGGGGGCCCACATGCAGCAGTTGATTGACAAAGGGCCGCACACGTGTCAAATGTAATGAGTTAAGATCACCCGTGCAGCCACGAGATGAATTCCCATTCACGGTAATACTCAAGTAGAATTTAATCTTGAACAATAACCCTGAATATCGTCCCACCTCTACCGAGGAACAATTTTTTTTGATAGTGTTGCACAGAAATCTATTTACAACTATTATTTCAGTTGAGAGGACTTCTTCACTCCCGGTTTGAACTTAATTTGTCTCGCCATGTTCAATACGGAAGTTCATAAAGTATTATTACTGTTATTGTAAAGCAGCAGCATTTATCATTTGTGTGAACTTAACATTGTAACTCCAGATCACCACATTGGTGACATCAGGTGACCGCACGTTGTTTCCACTTTCATGTACAGTGCAAGCAGCACTTTTAACTTAGTCATATGCCATTCAGAGTGAGGCCATCAACACTTTTTAAAAGGAGGCACTATCAATCGGTAATCAAAGATAAAACAAAAATTCGGCCTGCAATCTGTAATGATATCCCCTGCAGCCTCCCTCGCAATGTAATACATTCTTACGATTCGAGGTCATAGTGATAATCCAATTACTAATTACATGCACCAGACAGCTGGAAAAATAATCAATCGTCATAACATTCAATGCAGGCATCATGATCCTGAGACTCAAATGTAATCGACAAATCCATGTATCTTTGCACCCTTAACAACAACAACCCTTACCATGTCAATACTTCAGAGTACACACTCCACACCATCCAGCCTCTCTCCTGCACAAGCCCGGCGCCTTCATTGGTACTGCAAGTCGGATGCAGGGACATTCGATCTATCGGAGGTCGTGCTCAGCTGCATCCACTCCTGAACCTCACCCAACCCGCCACCACGTCCCTCTTTGTCTTCTTCTTGCCCTTCTACCTTTGATTTTGCCGAGGAGGAGTTGGCAGTCGGGCCCCTTGTGAGCGTCGCTCTGCTTGTCCGCAGTGCACACCACCTTCCTCCATCCGACTCCACGTCCGACCTACGTGGAGTCCCAGTATTTGTGACACTTCCCTGTTCATCATTATTCTTCTCCATCCTCTTGTCAATATCTCACGAACGTAAAAATGTAAACGCTTCGTTCACATACAGTCAAAAGACAAAGTGATTTCCTGCTTTCAGAGCCTCAAAGCAGTGCTCATCTGCTGTTTACAGGCCGGAGCTGATGGTGGAAATTCCACATTCTTAAGGAGGAGGCATGTCTATCCATAGGACACCAACTGTTGACTTCCCCACAAAGTAGTATTCTTTTATCAACCCTAGAGGGATGATGGGCTGATTCAACCCCCAGCCTGGAAGTGAACTCATCACGTTACGATTGCAAGCCGCCCACTCGAGCACTAAGCCTGAAACAGGACACGATCCTGTGACTGTGAAACCTCTGACACGAATGTCAACACCAGCCTGCAACACCCAGTGGCAGCGTGTATGGTGAGATTTCGATAAATACCATGGAAAAAACCCCGGCAAGAAACCTCACACGGGACTGTCAATTGTGTATTCTTAAATGTTGGCTCACTATTACCGTTCACTAACGCGTACCGTAATATGTGATGTGTAATATAGTTTATATTTATTAACAAACACGAATTATTACTATTCCCAGTTGCGGCCTGTCAATGGGGGCCTCACTCGTGATAATGAAGGAAAAATAAACCTCCCGAGCAAGAGGCAAGCTGTACAGCATTACCATGAATGCATGTATAGAGGATCAAACAAATACATTTTGATTGCTAATTTTATTCAAATTGGTGGAATCTACACTATAACCAACCGCCACACTGCAGGTCGAAATTCTCGGCTTCTTCCCTCGCACTGATCCATTTTGGAATCCCATCTCATCGCCTCTTTTTGCAGGTTCTTGAGTAAATAGGCGCGTGCCACGCTCGTCTCTTAAACCTTCAATCGTGCTGGTTGTTGCTGGCCACTTGGCATTTTGGGCCTTTCAGCCTTTGCTTAGCATTCTTGGGAATAAATATATGTGATACATTTCTTGGCAATTTGTTTAACCAAAAGTTTATAATTAGTTTAAGAATTGATTCTGCTTTTGTTGAATATTTTTTTTCATATTTTTGTATTAAATGAAATAAGGCTCAAAGATATTTCTCGAGTCGTTGAGCCAGGATGTATCACATGTATCACAGGACTCTCATCGTTCTCTCAGCGCGTGCGTTCGGGTCGTTGGGCACGATGTCCGACGTTTTGTTCCGCGTGCCGCGACCAACAGAAAACAGACAGCCATCAGCATAACAGCGACAACCTACTCAGTGGCATTATAGAGATGTCAAAACCCGTGATATTTTATTGTAAATAGGTCAACGTCCCACGGCTGTGTCTTGTTTTGTTGCCACACGAATATTTGCTTTGAAGCCATTCTACTTACAAACAAGTCAAGCTCCATGTATTAGTAAGTTAGCAAATGCTGGTTTAACTATGCCTTATGTACCCACAGCTATAATCACGTATATAAATGTAATACCACGCTTCAGCTGGTACCATGGTAGTGCACTGCGACTCGCAGGCCACCAGCTCGGTTCAGCCTCCTGGCGCGGTGGTTGAAACAGCGGGGTGGAGTTTATTTTTATTTTTAAATCCCCGAACCCACGCCTCTGTCCTCCACCCAACAGTGTAAGTCGACAGGCCACGGTCACGTGTGGTGGGGCAAAGCGTGGGCAATTCCCGCATGGAAGAGTAGGCCCAAAACCCCCTCTAGAGGGGGCTCACCAGAGCTCGCTGTAGTAGAGGCCTTTCCGCCAGCAGTCGTGTGAGCCAGAAATTTCAGGGCTGTGCTTTTTTTACACAGTTTCTACAATTTTACAATTATTGTGTTAAATTATATCAAAATAGTTTTTTGTTACTGTTATTGTAATGTGTGTAATATGTGTTACTAATACATTTATCTTTTTGTGATATTAAAAAAACCAAGCTCTGCTTTTCTTAAAACGTAAGCATTTTTATTTTAAACAAAAATCCTCGCTGTAGTTTAAAAAGGTACGATATTACATTTTTAGGAAGCTTTTTTTCAAGAAACTTGTGGTTATTAAAAAAGTTGTTACTGTATTCTGCAATGCATTGTCATTCTGAAACGAAACAACTTCACTTATTGCATTGTAGTATGAGGAAAAGATTTCACGAGATGCTGTGTGTGTGAGTGTGTTTTGGGTTAGGCGTTACGCTGCCGTTCCCCGTGCACATTCAAGATACCTCCTGCACAGTATCCATGCTGCAGCAGGCTGCAACCTCTTCTGAAAGGCTTTTGCCTGGCCCCCGTGGGTGCGATCCACTGGTTGTTCCTAGACCACGTACCGCTATCAAACTTGCTGTCCTCTGGGCCACTTCGGCTGCTCAGCCACGGTGGCTAGGAGATGTTAACTACTTCGCCTGGTATACAGGAGGTCGTGGTTTCGATACCGACCCTGATGCCTGCTGTATATTTGGGGTTTGCGTGTTCTCGCCGTGGTCGTTTGGATTTTTATCTGGTGCCTCCGGTTTTTCCCTCCACATTTAGAAACATGCGTTTAAAGTATTTGATTGCTGATATAAATGTCCACGTGATAAGACACTTCGATGAGCTGTCATTTGTGGCCAGGTCGCTTCTGAAAAAGAGCTATACAGCTCAGTGGGCCTTAGCTGGTAAAATAAAAAAAACACAGTTGCATTGTTTTTTAGGCACAACCGTTAACTTGTGAAGGCCCCACTTTCAAATAGCGATGACATTCCACTAAATGTATGCTTACGTAAAATATCTATCGATGACAATGCACAGTAAATATCGTAGAGCACACTATCCACGTATATAGTGTATTGTAGGCTGCTATTTACAACTTGATATTAAACGCCATTTGAAACAATGGCGTAAATTTAATACATCCCCCCTGCCTCCGTCCACCCAACGGTATGAATTGATGTACCACAGTCCATCGGCAGGTCATGCTTGGCGGGGTAAAGTGTGGGTACTCACACCTCCAATAAGCCGGACCAACATGCAAGATTGGAGGGGAAACCCCGGAGAGAGGCTCTCGAGAGCCCTCTGTAGTGGAGGTCCTTCCGGCAGCAGTGGAGTGAGCAAGCAATTGCAGGGCTGTACCTTTGTCACCTTTTATAAATGGCATTAACAAAAAATTTGAACGCGAACGTTTTTCATCATTAAGCTGTGGCAAACCCACGGGCTATTTCCATCGCTCTATCTCCTCTGTGAATGAACTCTCAGATATTCCATTCCTCGGCTGATATTTTGTCATTATTCTTGACCATCAGCCATCACCCCTTTTAATAACGTGTCCTGCTAAAGCTAACCGACTCTGCTTAAACGTTAGAATGATGCCTTTAACCTGCATATATTATCGACAACATACTCCCTTTCTTTGTGGCTAGCGTATATCTGGTACATTTGTGACCAGAAATATTTGCTGTGATACCAAGTTGGCCACTGGGTGTGCTTCGAGCAATGTGTAATCAAAGTGTGCCCTCAGCACTGCTTACCACAATAAAAAAGACGAAGTATAAACGCCACGCTGAACGTATGCGGTTTATTCAGTGGATGACTCAACACTGCTCTTAATTTCCTGCATTGCACATAGCCCTGCTTGCTCGCATTAAATGCTCCCACTTCATCGACAGATGATGAATGGGTGAACACGACTTGAGTTTAGAAGCCACCGGTGCACTCAGGTGACCCGTGACGGCATTTGCTACGCGAAATCAGAGGCACGATTCACTTTCCTGGGAGTGGACCTGACCGAGGCTTTAATTCTCTCTCGATATTTTTCAGAACGCTGCCGCCAGGCCGGCTTCAAGTCTGGGTTATTATCGGCATAAGGCACTACCACTAGAGAACAAGCTGCGCCCATGCATAAAGATCCTTTATTACCGTTACATTGTTTTTCCTATCATCCCGTGAACAGGTTTATAGAATGATAACGGTGGTGGCTGTCAGGCTGTAGAAAGTCAACAGTGACCCTGCAATGGATACATTGGTTCCCACTATATAAATATGGAATTTGCACCATTGGCTGAGGACACCCAATGATGATGAGTGCCAAGAATTTCAGTTGGGTGGCACGCTAATCGAACGGCGATGTAGGTCACAGACAGCTGTGAATTCTCAGCGAATGCTTATGGAAGTGGCTATGATTTTATAGCTACGTAAACAAACGGCCTGACATGGTCATAATTTCTCAAACTAAAGCCAAGTTTCTGATTTTGCATTAAATTATTCACCGTCGATAAGTACAAATAAAGTGGCACTCAAATATTAACCAAGCCCTTGGCTATATCAGCCATCAACCAAACTAAAAGGGTGTTTCAGCACAGCGATTCACGACACTCGCGATTCTTAAAACGGTGCTAGTTGAAGAGTAAATGGGGGCATGAGCCTGGTACTTCTTCTGTATCGATTGTTTCGTCTCTTGTCTCCAATCATTACACCCATGGTGCTCGCCGGCGTCACGAGCCCAATAAGCCAATTGGAGGTCTCGCAGGGCAGCGCAAGGCCCCTCCGCATTGAGGCTAAAGATCACCAAAGGGCGGCCAGGCTGCCAACTGACGTCAGCGTGGCCTGGGTCTACAGGTTCAGGTCGAGTGGGAACGCAGCGTGTACCGGTCGTCTAAGGTAAGCGCGTTCAAATCGCGCATTGAATATTCGCTGACCATTTGAACTTTCGACGCAGCGTGTGCCTGTTGGCAGCCGGAACTGTTCATGGGAAATCGTGGCGCAAACAGAGGATTGTTTCGTCTGATCAACTACATGCCGACTCGAAGCCCTTGAATGCTTTCCCTAATTCAGCCATTTCTCCGATTCGTAAATGTTTCCACAGCTGGCAGAGTTGTCATCACGTTATAGCTTAATTATTCAATTAACGTCACTTGACTTTATTCCCTCAATGGACATAAAACCGAATAACACCTCACCGCTCTTTTGATCTGCAGTCGTGCAATGGTGACAGCATTATTGATGTGATGCATCTGCCATGTAAATACTAAATCTGGGAATACAATATTACACGACATTTCCTGAGTGATGCCCCATTCAGAATTCAATGTTACATATATCTTTTATACATATTTGAAAACATAAATGTTTTTGTTGGGTCAATTGATAACTCAAACAAGCAATTTCAGGGCTACACCTTTATTTTGCCAAGAAAGATACTGTCCCTTCTACTGAGATCGCACACAGGCACGTGATAGCAATATTAAAATTGATATATATGTTTCAAGTAAAGACGTTAGTGATTTCAAATGTTAGGTCTAAATAATATGATTTAACTAATGCAGTATAATTGTATTATTTCATTTAAGCATCAACAGTTTAATCTCATTACATGAACCTGGCTTAAAATCTTGCATCGTTCAAAATGTGTAAAACTAGAAGATGAACAATGACAATTTACAAGAGGCAACAATAAATAGTGACACATCATCAATTGCAACTTTGAGGCTCTGCTCAACATACACATAACAAAGTACAATCACTAATTATACAGACACGTCGTAGGAACAGAAGGGACCCTTAGGGTAGAGGTGGACAGCGAATCAAAGAAGGAGGCGGTACCGAGTGGCGTGCCAGGAGATGTGACGGGCTGAGCAGTGGATGTGGAGATGTTGGTGCAGGACGGGAGCACACACAGAGAGAGGAAGATCATTTTTCAGTTCGCACAGCAAACGAGGGACAAGAAATCGGACATGAAAAGACAAAGAGGCTGTGTTTAAGTCTCCAATCTCAAACAACTTCATCGTGACGGTAGCAGGAAACTGGTCCCAATCAACGATAAGGCAAAACGTTCACCTTACTCATGAGCCGGGGGGGGCGGGGTTGGGCTGCGCCCCGTGGGAACCGCGCTGAGCTCGGTAGCACGAGGCGGGCAAGGTGACTGCTGCTTGAAGGTGGTGGTGGTGGCGCTTCCCCCTCGGGGCGTGTGCGTGTGGAGCGGTGTGTGCGTGTGTACGTGTGGAGCGGTGTGTGCGTGTGTGTGTGTGGAGCGGTGTGTGCGTGTGTGTGTGTGGAGCGGTGTGTGCGTGTGTGCGCGTGGAGCGGTGTGTGCGCGTGGAGCGGTGTGTGTGTGTGGAGCGGTGTGTGCGTGTGTGCGTGTGGAGCGGTGTGTGCGTGTGGAGCGGTGTGTGCGCGTGGAGCGGTGTGTGCGTGTGGAGCGGTGTGTGCGTGTGTGTGTGTGGAGCGGTGTGTGCGTGTGTGCGTGTGTGCGTGTGGAGTGGTGTGTGCGTGTGGAGAGGTGTGTGCGTGTGTCCGTGTGTGCGTGTGGAGCGGTGTGTGCGTATGGAGCGGTGTGTGCGTGTGGAGCGGTGTGTGCGTGTGTGCGTGTGGAGCGGTGTGTGCGTGTGTCCGTGTGTGCGTGTGGAGCGGGTGTGCGTGTGGAGCGGTGTGTGCATGTGGAGCGGTGTGTGCGTGTGCGTGTGTGCGGAGCAGTGTGGGCGCGTGGAGCGGTGGCACAACAATTAGCGTGCTGCGCTACGAACCCAACGATCCGAGTTTGATTCCCGCTCACGGCTAACACCAGTGACCATTATCTGATCCGGTCCTGGGCCTCCCCTAGGTCGACTCAGCCTCAAATGAGGACCTGGTACTGTGTGTACTTATCGCCACTGGGGAGACAAAGGCTGCCGGGCGTGGTGCTGGTCACCTACCCCCTCGTGTGCCGTGCTGGCTTTAAAAGGTGCTCGCTAACAGCACTTACCCCAAAAGTCTATTAAGGCTATACGGGGGGTTTTTGTCTTTGTTTTTTTGCAGACCAGACAGGGCAGGTTGTAGTCTCAGGACTGCTGCATATGCTTCCTGTAACTGTGATCAAGAACGTCGGTGTTCTTCTGTGCCATGGACGTGAAAGCTACGCTTCAGCGTCCTGTTGATTAATAAGCAACATCTTGATTTGAAGCTTTCGTGACTGCAGGAATCCATACTCTCTGGTTCTTTCGGTAAAGTCACGTAGATAGAAAAATATAATAATAGAACACGACGTTTTGGTCACAAGACAAGCGTCCGTCATCAGGTGAGAAATAATATCTTCGATGACGGACGCTTGTGTTGCGACCGAAACGTCGTGTTCTATTATTATATTTTCTATCTACGTGGCTCTACCGAAATAACCAGAGAGAATAAGCCATATCTTTTGAGCATATGTTTTCGGTGAAGCTATCAAAATACAAAACGGTAAAAAAATCAACTAACATAATCACGCTCAATTTGCGGTGACAATATCTGATTAAATAAAATAACTATTGCGAGGGCAGTGACACATTGTTTGGAGCACGGGGCTTTGAACCTGGCTACCTGAGCTTGAGTCTAACACGAGTGGCGAGCGATATCTGAACAGGCTCTGGAGAACCCTGTCTATCCCCAGCCCACATGTACACGTCTGGTCAGGCAGCCTCTATGACCTAAAGGCATGGGGAGGCCTGCATCTAGCAGTGGATTGACAAGGGCTGAAGATTATTACTATTGTTGTTATAATTACTAAATGAACTGAGGGATTTATCCGGCTTTATGGATGAGGCTGAATGAAGCTGACTCAGTTCTGTCCCAGTTCCCCAAAGGGTCAGGTAGTTTGAGAAGCCGGATCATGCACTCAGCTCAGGGCATTATTTAATAGATGTCACGTTTTGTAGCTAAGACTGACCTTAAAACAATGATTTCCTATTGTTATTTTCACGACTTCCTTGCTCATAATTTCTGGGTCGCTGTTAGACTAGAGTGGACAGCACGTGACAAGCAGCCACAGTCATATCGAGAGGTATACTGGATGTGGTGTGCCGGGTGCGGGGTCACTGGTAGGCCGGATTAGGCATGTGACGGGCAACCTGAACCACAGCAAGGGCTCGACTGGGTGCGGTGTCCCGGGTGCAGAAATAATTTTCGGGTCATCGACCCGGACAGAGCCAGACGGAAGCAAGCGATGGTTATCTTCGAGACCTACGGCTACGCGTGGCAGATTTCGCCCCTTGGCTTAGACGGCGCCGTCTCGAAGGAAGTCGTCGGACCCCTGCTTCTCCTTCTCAGCCTTGTAGAAAAGGCTGCGCAGGTGGTGGGACAGGCTGCGGAACGGCGTCTCCACCTCCTCAAAGTCCTCGGCGAGGAGGAAGCCGCGGTCCAGCACCTCGGCAGCCTCGCGCCAGTTCGCAAACGCGGCTTCGCCCAGACGCCGGATCTCCTCCGCGCCGGCGCGAGTTACCTCCTCGCCGCTGGGCTGCAGCACCACCACGGACGGCAGCGCCCGCACCTCGAAGCGGCGCCCGAGCTCCCTGAGAGGGCGACATGGCGCTCGATCGACGGGGGACAGGGGCGGGGGGGTACCAGCAGCGGTGTGATGAGCGTGGGGGTGGCCTTGCACCCCACCGTTATCACGATCATTAAAAAATATCTCGCGCAACGCGGCACTCCGCCGGTTTAAAACGCCGCGGATTACAGGAGTCGCCGGAGCATTCGAGCGCGCGGTTCAATCGGCGTTTCCGCCGCAGGCGACGGCCGCGAGTGAGTCCGAGGCGGACTCACGAGGCGAGCGGGTCTCCGTGGCGCAGGCTCAGCCACTGGCTGGGCATGCTGTGCTGCATGTAGGCGCGCTGGCAGTCGGCGCTGGGGTCGTGCGAGATGTAGACGAGCGCCAGCGGCGCGGCGCGCTCCACGTGCGCCGGGTCCGTGAGCCGCGTCCAGAACCTGCGCAGCACGCGCGTGAAGGCGCGGCAGTCGTCGCAGCTGCCCGAGCCGAAGTAGAGCAGCAGCAGCTTGTTGCGCAGGCGCAGGCACAGCTGTTGCTCGGTGTCCAACTCGTCCCAGTCACGGTTGTTGAGGATGAGCGTACAGGTCAGGAACAGCTCCGACACGCAGCTCTCGGCGATTTGGCTCACAGCGTGGCGGCAGTCGAGATGGGCATCACCCTGAGGGTTGTTAGATGAATAATAGAATCGAGAATTGCTGCTGCTGGTGCCGCTGGGGCATCATACGCACATTCTTGAGCTCATAGGCCACGAGCCCAGACCAGATATCTCACTTGTCGGTACCATCAGAGGTATGTTGAACCTCTGTCGCACCGCTCGTAGCCAAACGTGCTCATCGGAGGTGCTGGTGAAGGACAACAAACTAAACACTACAATGGTGCCAACGCCTCTACGTGGCCTACACCGGTGATAGCCACTTGAAGTGGGATTGTACAAGCTTTTGCTCAAATTCGCTGGATAATTCACAGGGGCACAGCTAAAGTTGTGCTGTAGTAGGTGGTACCATTTTCTGCATTGGCCTAGAGACGATAAATCTGAATGAAAGTTAGGCTGAAATTGTGTTTCAACGTAATACATCCAAGTGAGATGACAGTAAGATATATAGACGAGAGATCGGCGGATGGAATTGAGACAAAAATCAAATGACGTGAGATAACAAAATAAAGCTGCTGACAAAAAAGAGATGATTGAGATGAATGATCTGTTTATGTGAATATACCTTATGTTTACTAGTCTTAGATTTGAGCTGATACATGAGGACACAAGGTTTTACAGAAGCAACTTTTGCATCGACTTTCCAAGCGATAAGCAAGGAACACGATCTCTTGGGGTTGCCACCTTTCCACAGACCAACAGCCAGACATATTCCTCGGTCAGCCGAGGCCTATCATCAAAACTGTGCGCTCTACTGCAATACAGTTCACACAACGCAGCTCAACACAACGCAGCTCAACACAACACAGCTCAACACAAAACAGCTCAACACAAGACCGCTCGCGGGTCTCGGTATCAATTAGTTTCTGCCACCCGAACACAAATCATGCCAATTCCCGGTCTGTCCAGGTCACATTCAGACAGGTGGCAACCCTTACCATGCCCCTCCGCTCTGCCACGTGCGGTGAGGTACGGTGTGGCCGTCCAGTGAGGGGAACAGCCGCTCGTGAATAAAGAACAGCGCGATGAGACGGAGAGGTGGACGAGTTGGCGTGGAACCATCCACGTGGATCACGTGGGTCACGGACCTGGAGTGGATTGCGCCTTTCTGAAAAGGCTTGCTGCGTTAGCTTTAAACCAAGTCCGCCAGGCTTCAGGAGGCCTTTATACCTTGGCGCTGCCTGAAATACAACATTGAAGGCGGTGTATCTGCAATTCACCAACTCTGAGACAAAGCCATTGAATGGCTAAATCACAGCTTAAAAGCTAATGGTTGCTATTGATAGGCCATATGACAGAAGCAGTAGGCCTTGTTTAGAAACCGTTGTAATAGGAACTTTGCGAGATACATACAAAATATTTATTAAATGCAACATTATTTTTTTAGTGCATTGGGTAAATTTCCATTTTGCAACCGACCAGCTGGTAAAGTGTCACTGGCAGCTGAAACACAAATGGCTTATCTAGCAATGCCGCTCAGTCGACGATTACAAATAGAAGTGTCTGGCTTCATTTCCAGTGCCTATCGCTGGTATGGATTAAAACTTGAACGGCGTTTCCGTGCCGTTGAAGTGCAAAATGTAACATGCTGTAGCAACGTGTCAGAGTGGTGATTTAATATAAATGTTCGTTTGTTGTCCTTCCCCGCCCCTCCGATTAGCACTGTTGGCTACGCACGGTTTGCGAAATAATTTAAACATGCATACATACATGTATCATGTCTGTGATTATAAATAACTATAGATAGCTAGGGCCAGTGCCCATTGGCATTCAACTTTAACTGATCGTTTTCTTTTTTACTTTTAACCCGAATTGTATTACCTTGTCTATATTTTAACCAAATCACAATTAGCATCACGCTATGTGTCGTGGCGAGCCCTGTACAAGGGCGACGAACGAACGAACACACAAACGTTCAAATTTGATTTGGACACAAACGTTCGCCATTCGTCCATCCCAGCCGCGACGAGGCGACAGCGCCACTGAGCGAGGTGCGGGATTGTAGCGTCGGACGCACAGCGCCAAGGACTGCTGGAGGAACGGGCCGCCGTTGCGCAACGTTCACTTCGTTTGTAGGAAAACTCACAAAACGAAACTTTGTTTTTAGGAACGTGCAAACAACGGCGATACGGACGCAGGGCTCATCTGGGATATAAATGAGGTGGAGGGGTTGTTACAAAATCTCTGAAAATGGAATTGTTTTGCAAAGTTACATTAGCAACAAAAATAACAAAATGGTGAAATCGTTTACTCGACCATTGTTAAAATGTGTTTAAATTATTAATAAACTTACCAGGGTTTTTTTTTTTACTTCCACAAAAAGCTCAAATGTGTTGCGGATGACTCACGTGCCTCCCTTGGGTGAGCTGTGGCAAAGCCGACTAAAGTAGCTGGCTCGCTGCATGCAAGCTGTTGCCAGATTCGTGTAGCTATTGTATCCCTCATTGTGCCACTGTTTGGTGGGCCGATGGCCATGTTTGCAGAAAATCAGACAAATTCCACATTTTGATTTTAATGTGCGGTCGCGATTCCGTACAAAACAGAACCCGCTACTCATGCAGCGGCTGGATGTGTGGTTCGGGTGCAGGTGTCACGGTCACCAACCTCTTCCAGTGCAAGTGAAAACCAAAAATATGTCTCAGTTAACCCAAGTCTATTATCAACAATGTGCAGTCTACTGCAATAAAGTCCAACACAATGCCACCAGATCTCCGTACAAATTAATTCCTTGACTTGGGGATTTAGCCCAGATGAAACCCACACTTAGTGGCAACGTCGCATCGATGTCTCATCACGACAAAAATCAGTGTCACCTGTTTTGATCATCTCCTAGGGAAACTCGGCCGTAAATGAATACCCGGTGTGTTACGTTTGATGGATCGCCACAGGGTAGCGGTTGGTGGATCATAGGTAGCTACAGCAGCAGCGTATTCATTCATCACCAATCATGACCAGCATCATCATTAGAACCGCTGTCCTCGTCATCACTATCATCTACCTTCATTAGAAAAACTATCACCATAACCAGCATCATCATCGCTCCAACTATCTTCAAGATTGCCATCTTCGTCGTGGTCACGGTCGTCACCTTTGTTTTTGATGAGCGTGAAGCTATCATTAATTATCTGTGGCTAAGCCGTCTTTGGCTTAGCGCCGCAATTCTACCCCGACGTAGGGGAGGGAGAGGCAGTGGCGTGTTCGTGCACCACGCTCCCCTAGATCGATTCAGCCTCCAACGAATGCCTGTCGAGTTGTGTCAAAACATCGGCATGGAGGAGACAAAGGCGGTCGGGCATGGCGCTGGCTACCGACTCTCTCGTGTGCCGCGCCTCCTATTACCACGGTTGGCTACGTACGGCGCATGCCGGGACCCCGACTGCAGAGGCCGCACGGGGGTTGGGGGGGGGCATCGCGAGGCGGCCGCGTGGACCCCGGCTCGGGGCTCGGAGGACTTGAGGCGGCTGGGCGCGTTTCCACCGAAACACGAAGACGAAGCCGACACAGCCAACCTCGCCTCAAAGCTCAACTCAAGCCAATTGTGTCGTTTTTATATGCAGGGCGCTTCAAACTAAATGTTAACACTTATACGGGACTATCGTTTTTAATGGAAAAAGAACGGATAATACCCCGTAACATGATAACAAATGTCATGTTAATAGCTTCAAAAAGTCAAAAGAGTCCCCACTTGTTCGCCATCGTTGTCAACACGTGGCCTGGAATCTTCTCCAGAGCCCGGAGGCAGCGCATTTATTGTGGTATTGTAGCAAATGCTCAGAAGTGTTAACATTCGTGTTGAAGCACCCTGCATTCACAGTGTATTTGGTGTTATAAAGTCATATTAATACGACTAAATAGAGTTCATCATTGTTTACTGCATTAGTTATACGTCGGCAGGGTGTCACAGTGGTAACACTCGCTCCTCACAGCAGTAAGGACTTGGGTTTGATCCCTAACGAGGGCGCCTCTCAGCACATCCCCCCCCGCCTCCCTCTGGGGTCTCCAGCTGTCTCCCATAGCTAAAATATAAAGCGTTATTGGTGTTGGCCAAACATCCAAATGTAGCACGACGCTCCGGTAAAAAAGCCTTCGCACTTGGTGTGTTGTTCCTGGGTAAGTAAACATTAATAGTAGAGTGATGGACAGTAATTGCTACATGTGTGTTGCCACGCTAACCACAAGGACTTGAAGGCAATGAGGCTGAGGCCCTCTCTCGTCTGCAGCTAAGCACGCCATGGCCACGCATCCAAGAGGCTTCCTTTCCCACGACCGGACATCTGTGAAAAAGAGCTTCATAGCTCATCGGATTCCTCCTGCCGTCTGAATAAATAATCTGACAAAGGTCATCAAGATGTATGCCTTCGCCTACCGCTTACGAAACGGTCATGCATGGAGGAATACGTTTAAGTTTCTGTTATTGTTATGTAATCCGAGCAAAGGGAAGTTAGCCAACTCACACTGGTATGACCCGTCTGTCATTCACGGGAACTGAAACATAAATGGCAATACAATTTAAGAAGCTGCTTCTCCACCTAAACTTGCGATGTTTGCTATGTCTTTATGTTCTTTGGAACTGCTCTCAAACTACTTAGCCTTGATGTAAAAACATACCTAATATGTTAAACCTTACTCAATACTTATGTGTACAACTGGTTTCTTAAATACACAAGAAATCATTCTGAGACTGAAATAATCGTTCGTTAAAGTGAAGTCAAAGTCTGCAAGTTTCGTCACCATCATTGAGTGGCGTTTCCAGAGAACTTACAACGACATCAATGGCTGTGTTCGGCACGGAAGCATCAATTCACGTGTTTTGTAGATGCGGGCCACGAGTAATAGGAGTGCCAGATGATAGGAACACGGATAATAGGAATGTCACTCTAAAACACAGTTTAGGAGCATACCTTAAAGCAGACTCCTTCCCGGAAACAGCAAATAAATCATTTTAACCGTTCGGATAGCTACCGCCTTAGAGCTGCGTGGAAGCCAATAATAAAATAATACTTTATTTATATGCATGCCTATGAAGGGCAGCTTACTTCAATTATTGGTTAATAATAATAAACACAATAGCCAGGAAGGACAAAATCAAAGGGCTCGCATAATGCATAATGTACATTGCCCCAGTAATCCCCCCCACGTGGTGCAAGAGCACAGAAGCGTGGTCACCACATCTACGCCTCTATATAAGGAACGAAACAGGAGGACTTCTCCACAAATCTGGCTGTCGCCTGATTAAGCTAGTTGTAATTACTGGCGAAACGTCGTACTCAGATTGTTAATGTTGTGGCTTGGCTCTCCAACACACCGGTTAGTGCTGTACTAGTGACGAATTGGCCACGTTCTGTTTACGTGGCAACCTTTACTAGTTGGCTGTGTCGGGTGGTGGCGGGTTTTAACGACACATTTATATATTTACGCGATCTAACCCAAAAAACCTCTATTATAAACCATCCCTGTCTGCTCTGCTCTCATCACTCGTTGCCTTTGCACACATAACTTCACATCTTAAAACAGAGATCATAAAGTAAATGTGGAACTCAAAATGTAAACCACCTAAACAGGAATTGAAAACTTTAAACAACAACATGTTTTACTTTTCCTGCACATTGACGCTATGTTGCCAAACAGCCTTGTAAATTAGTACATCTAAGATTGCTTTACATTACGTCTGGAGTATAAACGTGTTAATAATATCATACATCTATGTGGTATTATCTTCGCTGAATCTTGAACGGCGTTAGGAGAGGAGACCGTTAGCTTACCTCGGGTGCCCAGCTGAGATGTGAGGGGTCCGTTTGCAGCCAGCATCTGCTGCTGCTGCACGTCAATGCCCTTTAAATCTGGGATCATCCCGAGGTACCGACTTAGCGCTCATCTGGATCGAAGAGCTTTATCTCTGTGTGTGTGCGTTTGCTGACAGCTGCCGTGCCCGTGAAACCTTCCCAGTGAAATTGTCACAATTGAAGGTGGCCTCTCCTCCGTTACCCTGCAATTAGCAGCACACAGCCACGGGCACAACTATCGCCAGAGACCCTGGTTTGTGACGGAGTAAAATGTATTTTCGGGGCATACAAATTCAACACTTTGGAGTCATGAGTGATGCTGATAAATACAATCGTTCGTGCCAACTCACGGGGCGTGCACAAATGTTGCTCTAAACGTATTGCACAAAACCTTGCTCCAACTGTACAACACCTGAGAAAGTTTCTCAATGAGAATCGTTAAAAGACATCTCATTGTGTCAAAAACACGTAACTTTAAATGCCCAAATAAAGGCATGTTGGTTATCAGTGTGGCGTTCACAGTTACCTAACGCCCGCTCACGCACCCCAAGGCTCACGTGACCACTGCACCGCTGCACGCGTCACTTAACATCATGCGACCTCAAGCGTTGCGGATTATTAAGGCATTTACATGTCTAACAATGCATGGCATTTACATGGATATATCATTTACATGTAAATGTCATGTATTTTATAAGTGTAAATTGGCCAGAATGAAACCGATCTGGAGCACTCGTTGTTGTAAAGGTGAGAGATTTGCCCTCGGCCGTGATTTCTCCAATTCGCCGTGGGGAGAAAAATCACTCCGCGTGGCTGTGAACGCGACAACATTGAGGTCAACTCTCACCATCGTGATGGGAAATGTTGATAATGTACCTTCAAAACAACCGCCTCACTTGTAAAGACGTGAAGATCATGAAAGTCCATTGATTTTAAAATAATCCTTGTAAAAAAAGGAAGTGAAACGATCAAGTCGCAATCAATTATACTGTACACATCTCTTTAATATCTCCCATCTATTTGTAAATAAATGTAGTTGATATCCTCAAATTACATCCATAGTTTGAAATCACAGCTGCCACCAATAAAAATCCAGGTTCTTATATTCAGTGGAATGATGGTCTCAGGACAGGCACCTGGCAATGAATCCATAAAAAGGTACATATTCTGTGACTAATTCTTTATATTCCTGTCAATAATAACAATCCACATCAATACAAAAAACACGGAATTATGTTGTTACGTTTATTAATTCTTAACATGCTAGGCAATACAGTGACTTTCAAATGAGCTTGAGTAAAAATTATGTTAAAAACAATAAATGTGAAATTAAATGGTGACCACTTTGCATTCACTTATATAAATGAAAAAGCACTGAACGTCTAGCGATAAACACCGCCTCAGGTGAACACTTCACAAATCACATCACCTCAGGTGAACACTTCACAAAGTACATCACCTCAGATGAACACTTCATAAAGTACATCACCTCAGGTGAACACTTCATAAAGTACATCACCTCAGGTGAACACTTCATAAAGTACATCACCTCAGGTGAACACTTCATAAAGTACATCACCTCAGGTGAACACTTCATAAAGTACATCACCTCAGGTGAACACTTCACAAAGTACATCACCTCAGGTGAACACTTCACAAAGTACATCACCTGAGGTGAACACTTCACAAAGTACATCACCTCAGGTGAACACTTCATAAAGTACATCACCTCAGGTGAACACTTCACAAAGTACATCACCTCAGGTGAACACTTCACGAAGTACATCACCTCAGGTGAACACTTCACAAAGTACATCACCTAAGGTGAACACTTCATAAAGTACATCACCCCAGATGAACACTTCACAAAGTACATCACCTCAGGTGAACACTTCATAAAGTACATCACCGCAGGTGAACACTTCATAAAGTACATCACCTCAGGTGAACACTTCACAAAGTACATCACCTCAGATGAACACTTCACAAAGTACATCACCTAAGGTGAACACTTCATAAAGTACATCACACCAGATGAACACTTCACAAAGTACATCACCTCAGGTGAACACTTCATAAAGTACATCACCTCAGGTGAACACTTCACAAAGTACATCACCTCAGGTGAACACTTCACTAAGTACATCACCTCAGGTGAACACTTCCCAAAGTACATCACCTCAGGTGAACACTTCATAAAGTACATCACCTCAAGTTAACACTTCATAAAGTACATCACCTCAGGTGAACACTTCACAAAGTACATCACCTCAGGTGAACACTTCACAAAGTACATCACCTCAGGTGAACACTTCACAAAGTACATCACCTCAGGTGAACACTTCACAAAGTACATCACCTCAGGTGAACACTTCACAAAGTACATCACCTCAGGTGAACACTTCACAAAGTACATCACCTCAGGTGAACACTTCAAAAAGTACATCACCTCAGGTGAACACTTCACAAAGTACATCACCTCAGGTGAACACTTCACAAAGTACATCACCTCAGGTGAACACTTCACAAAGTACATCACCTCAGGTGAACACTTCAAAAAGTACATCACCTCAGGTGAACACTTCACAAAGTACATCACCTCAGGTGAACACTTCACAAAGTACATCACCTAAGGTGAACACTTCACAAAGTACATCACCTCAGGTGAACACTTCACAAAGTACATCACCTCAGGTGAACACTTCATAAAGTACATCACCTCAGGTGAACACTTCATAAAGTACATCACCTCAGGTGAACACTTCACAAAGTACATCACCTCAGGTGAACACTTAATAAAGTACATCACCTCAGGTGAACACTTCACAAAGTACATCACCTCAGGTGAACACTTAATAAAGTACATCACCTCAGGTGAACACTTCATAAAGTACATCACCTCAGGTGAACACTTCACAAACTACATCACCTCAGGTGAACACTTCACAAAGTACATCACCTCAGGTGAACACTTCATAAAGTACATCACCGCAGGTGAACACTTCATAAAGTACATCACCTCAGGTGAACACTTCACAAAGTACATCACCTCAGATGAACACTTCACAAAGTACATCACCTAAGGTGAACACTTCATAAAGTACATCACACCAGATGAACACTTCACAAAGTACATCACCTCAGGTGAACACTTCATAAAGTACATCACCTCAGGTGAACACTTCACAAAGTACATCACCTCAGGTGAACACTTCACTAAGTACATCACCTCAGGTGAACACTTCACAAAGTACATCACCTCAGGTGAACACTTCATAAAGTACATCACCTCAAGTGAACACTTCATAAAGTACATCACCTCAGGTGAACACTTCACAAAGTACATCACCTCAGGTGAACACTTCACAAAGTACATCACCTCAGGTGAACACTTCACAAAGTACATCACCTCAGGTGAACACTTCACAAAGTACATCACCTCAGGTGAACACTTCACAAAGTACATCACCTCAGGTGAACACTTCAAAAAGTACATCACCTCAGGTGAACACTTCACAAAGTACATCACCTCAGGTGAACACTTCACAAAGTACATCACCTCAGGTGAACACTTCACAAAGTACATCACCTCAGGTGAACACTTCAAAAAGTACATCACCTCAGGTGAACACTTCACAAAGTACATCACCTCAGGTGAACACTTCATAAAGTACATCACCTCAGGTGAACACTTCATAAAGTACATCACCTCAGGTGAACACTTCACAAAGTACATCACCTCAGGTGAACACTTAATAAAGTACATCACCTCAGGTGAACACTTCACAAAGTACATCACCTCAGGTGAACACTTCATAAAGTACATCACCTCAGGTGAACACTTCACAAACTACATCACCTCAGGTGAACACTTCACAAAGTACATCACCTCAGGTGAACACTTCATAAAGTGCATCACCTCAGGTGAACACTTCATAAAGTACATCACCTCAGGTGAACACTTCACAAAGTACATCACCTCAGGTGAACACTTCATAAAGTACATCACCTCAGGTGAACACTTCACAAACTACATCACCTCAGGTGAACACTTCACAAAGTACATCACCTCAGGTGAACACTTCATAAAGTACAGCGGCATTAAACACCGCCTCAGGTGAACACTTCACAAAGTACATCACCTCAGGTGAACACTTCATAAAGTACATCACCTCAAGTGAACACTTCACAAACTACATCACCTCAGGTGAACACTTCACAAAGTACATCACCTCAGGTGAACACTTCATAAAGTACAGCGGCATTAAACACCGCCTCAGGTGAACACTTCACAAAGTACATTACCTCAGGTGAACACTTCACAAAGTACATCACCTCAGGTGAACACTTCATAAAGTACAGCGGCATTAAACACCGCCTCCGGTGAACACTTCACAAAGTACAGCGGCATTAAACATCACCTCAGGTGAACACTTCACAAAGTACATCACCTCAGGTGAACACTTCACAAAGTACATCACCGCAGGTGAACACTTCATAAAGTACATCACCTCAGGTGAACACCTCACAAAGTACATCACCTCAGGTGAACACTTCACAAAGTACATCACCTCAGGTGAACACTTCACAAAGTACATCGTGCAGCTAGCTGGCAGTCACCTGGCAGTCACCACACCTGTTAAAATGCATAAACCTGGTTACGTTTGGTAGCAATAAGTTAAATACAAATTAAATATAAACTAAATACAAAGTGTTGATGTAGATTCGTTCAAAGCAGCTTTGTTTCATGCAATGCAACAGCCCAGAAGTAGCAGTGGACTAATAAGTTATTTCAGGCCAACAGATATCCGAAGAGCAGTATCTTCCCTTTGTTGAGGTAATTGTTGAAATCAATTTGCAAATACTATTACACGTGAATATATTAGAATGAGATATGGTTATCTGCTATCTTCAACGAGTAGACAATTTGCATGCAGCCGGAGATGTCTATTGGGCGCTGCCAGTCGGCCGTTGTCAACCACACACGCATGATGGCACTGTAGTTTATCGTTTTTATTCGAGAAAATAATTATAAATATCTATCACTAAAGTGTTGCGTATAACAAGCGTCATCCAAATATTGGCGGTGGCCGGAGGTCAGCTCATTGGCAAGCTTTCAAGGTGAGTGAACCCTTCAGTCAGGCTACAAAGCTGGAGCATTTGGTCATTTTCCTCATCTAACCCAACACCACAATGTGACTGAGCAATTGTGCCACTACCGTGCCACTACCGTGCCACTACCGTGCCACTACCGTGCCATTACCGTGCCACTACCGTGCCACTACCGTGCCACTATCGTGCCATTACTGTGCCATTACCGTGCCACTATCGTGCCATTACCGTGCCATTACCGTGCCACTATCGTGCCATTACCGTGCCACTATCGTACCAAATATGCATAATGGTTCCAGTGCATAAGTTCTGCAACACAGCCAATGGAGTTTGCGAGTAAGATTCTTGTATTTTTAATTCTGCATAAATGCAATATATATGTAGTATACGTACTGTATATACAGGAACAAGTCAGACGATCAGGAGGCACCACTTATGATCTTTGTTCAAGGCTAAGATTTAGGCCCGCAGGTCACGGTAGTCACACAATCATAAATTTGAACAGATCGCAGTCCAACGTGAAATATCCCAAGAGGACTGTAGAAACGCATTAGGCACCTCAAATATGGCTCTAGAGTTTGGTGTTACATGTTATTTATGTAGTTTATTGTTAAAAATTCGGTAACAATCCCTATGATCACTGTTACATTGCATTTATGGCTTTTATTTTGGTTATTTCGAAAACGTTTTTTTGGTTTGGCCATGTTTTTGTTTATTGTAGTACGGAGTTAGACTAATGGCCTAAATCTTAGTTGTCTTGTGGTTGTTGTTGTTGTTTGACTTGCATCCCACTGGGATTTTTGCACACAGCGTTGGTGTACGGTGCTATTTCAGGAATATTTTGATGTTTTTTTCCTGGATTTTCTGTTTGCACAGTCACATAATCACTTTAAGATGTTTTCTTGTTCATGTTTTTGTTTTTTGTTTGTTGCGGTTGCACCCGATTCAAGAGCCGAATGGCTCACAGGGCTATACCAAATAAATGGAAATGGAACTGATCAAAATAAATTTAGAAACGTGCTTTAAGTCTTTGTTTTACTCTTAAATAGTCATCTAAACAGTTTTATTTTATTTTTAATATATACTTTGCTTAAAAAATATAAGGCAAGGCACCAACCACACCTTATTCCGTGACCTCTCCGTGAATAGTTATTTATTCACGTACGTCAGCCGTGAGATTCACTGAGAATTCCCGTGACAAAAATCATCGTATCCATCGCTCGGTTCAACCTCCACCCAGCTCGTACAGTGGGGGTTTCATTTGGCCCACGGCAACACGAGGTCTTTCCAAGAAACCTCACAAAAACAAAGCTCCCCTCAACGATTTTGTGCACAAAGCCATTCTTTGTTTTAACCTCTAAAAGACAACTCTAAATGCTTCGACAGGAAAAACATAAAAAAACATGATCCTAAAATTACCATTAAAAATGACTCGATATATCGAGGAAGGGAGGTTTGATCAAACTGCAGAGTTAATTTGTTCATCATTTTGTCATCTTACGGCAGTCCCAAGTAACTCAGTTCCAGGCCTTTGCAGCAAGGAGGCCTGTCTTGTCACTTCCTGAACGTTAACATCTGTACACTGCTTCATCAAGGTACAATATACAGTCGCCGTTCTCTATTTAAAATCATAACTAAAGGCAATAATAGGTAGAATACATGCCTACAGGACATTAATGCAAAATGAAAGGGCAGCAAACGTAGTTATACTCTTCTCTACAACGGTATTTTGGCGACTGAATGTTTAACAGAGTTTGGTATTTTTTACGTGAGGGTTTGGAACGCTCCAGGACCGTGAGCCTTGGGTGACGCGAGCCCCAAGAGTGGAGCACCAAGCCCTCCCGAGCCGGCGCGGCGCTCAGCGCGTTCTGCTCACGCGTTCCCATCGCTCCGGTTCAAGGCCTCGGCATCGTCGTCTGTGGCCGCTGCCCCGCGCCAACCACGCGGCCACGCACCTGGTGCGCTCTCTCCCCTCGGTCCTCAACAGGGCGGCGGGTCACGCACACGCAGCAGTGGACACGGAACGCCACGCCGCAAAGTGTCACCCAGCGGTGCAGCCGCTTGGCTTGTCCGGATGTATAAATACGTTCTAAATATGTTCCTTTGGTAAAAAATACAAAAATAAACTACTCCCACTCTCCCCCCAGCCGTCCACGCTCTTAGCTCCCTGGCCCTGTTCAATTCCAGGCTTCTGCTCTGCCGATGAATGTCCCTTCTCTCAAACAAAGTGTATCTACACCTCCTCTCCCCCCACCCCCCAGATGCACACCGCTGGTTTGACAGGGTTGAGGTGCCGCTGCACTTAAGATGCTAGAAAGATGCAAACGATATCATGAAAAATAGCAGTGCACTAAGAGTGACGAGCTGCTCTCCAGTTTGTCAGATGAAGATACCTGCACCTTGGTGAGAAATGTAATTATATGAACTGCACACATTTAAAAAAATATCGCATGTAACTGTAGTGTATCACAGCACTCTCGTGCGAGTTGGGTCTAGAAACTTCTTCTCACTTAAAATATACTCAATGGATAATTCATTACATAAAACACAGATCACAACACTGTATTCATTGGCAGAGATGCCAAATGAATGCATTCAACCTCAATGAAACACAGTGTGGCCTCATCATCATCATCAGCCATGATCAATCCACTGCTGGAAGAAAGCCTCCCCAAGCTGCCGTCGGCGTGGTCAATCCGACTTGAATGGGAGACTACAGCCAGGGAGGGCTCGTGGTGAGAGGCTTTGCGACGTGTGTGTGTGCGCAACTACCACACGCAATCGCAACCGTTTCCCCAAGATTGTGCTCATTATTGTCACAATTTAAAACAAAAATTAATGCCTCGTCAATGAGAAATTTGAACAACAAAAAAGTTTTCCTCTTTCATAATTCACGTAAAAAAAATTCGCGGAAGTCAGTCAGTTAACGCCCTCCGAACGTGGTACATTGGTAATGTGAACAAAAATGTGGAATTCTTGACGACATTGATGCTCTGAGTTGTTTACGAATTGTATGGACTGCACCGATACCTACGAAGACAAAGTTCTATTCGCACATTATAAACTGTTCACTGCTTGGGCAAGCATTGCTAGTGAGCTCCTATTTAAAGCTAGCACAGCGCATGATGGGGTAGAGTGGCCGGCACCACGCCCAGTCACCTTTGTCGAACCAGCGCTCATTTCATTACACACCGCACCATGCGCTCATTTAAGACCGAGTTTACCTAGTTAGGGGTGGCCAGGACAGCTTCATATCCCATATACCTCCATTATCCATGGAATTACATTCTAGCTGCTTGGCTAGTAGTGCAGTGTGCTGACCACAATGGCACCACACCCAACAAAAGCACACACACACACGCGCACATTGAAAACAACAGCGTTACCCAATAAGATTAAACATTATTTTGCAGATGGCCAAAACCCCGTAACCTTGGTTACGGAGGCAAGCAGACCTTCAGCGTGTGGCTTCCTCTACCCCCACGCACGGCTTCCTCTACCCCCACGCATGGCTCCCTCTACCCCCACGCACGGTTCGGGCCCTCTCGGTGTTTCTAAATCAGGACCGAGGACTCGCGTCTATTCCATCATTCTTGTAGCTCTCGACCATTGACTTGGTGTGATCTGTATTCCATAATTCTATTGTCCTGTATAGCATTAAAAATTGCCCCGATATATTTTGTTTTGGATTCAGTGTTGAAATGTTGACATGTACAACGCTTTGTGATCTCGCAATTAAAGGCGCTGTGTAAATAAATGATCATTTGTATAACTATAACATGCTATTCGATTGAGTTTTAATTGCGTTTGCTATTTTCTAATTCTCAGTGCACACTCCAGCAGGCTAATATCAAGTCCCCAAAACTGCTCGTGCTCTGAGTTTTGCCAATCCACGCGACAGCACCACACGGGGCTCTGTGCAGTGCAGCTTGAGGGGCGGCGGTGGTGGCGGACGCGCAGGCAGAGCGAGGGCCTCCACTGGGCGCAACGGGGCCGGCCTCGGCGCTTCACGTGGCGCTGGGTGAACCCTGGCAGAGGGACACGGCGAGTCATTAGCCACACCTGCACGAGCGTGTCGCGTGCTCGCTGCACACACATTACGTGCACGCTATAAATCAGACTTATTGTTGTTGTTGTTATTAATGTTCGAGGCGGTTGCAGACATTTCCCAGCTTAAAACCATTCCCTGCTGCTTCAGTGGATTGCGGGTACGGGCGCAGCCCTGCTACTGCCTGCTCATGCCACTGCTGATGGAAGGCCTCCACCACAGGGAGCTGTAGAGACCCCCTCTACAGGGGATGTGGCCGACTCTTTCACACTGGCCACTTTTTCCTGGCTGCAATCCATTCCTGCGAAAGGACAGCTGGACAAGGCTAGAGATAATTGGAGAGAGCTGGAGACAGCTGGAGAAAAATTGAGACAGCCAGGGATACCTGGAGACAGCTTGAGAGAGTTTGAGGCAGCTGGGGAGAGCTGTGGAGAGCTGTGGAGAGCTGGGGTGAGCTGTGGAGAGCTGGGGTGAGCTGTGGAGAGCTGGGGTGAGCTGTGGAGAGCTGGGGTGAGCTGTGGAGAGCTGGGGTGAGCTGGGGTGAGCTGTGGAGAGCTGGGGTGAGCTGTGGAGAGCTGGGGTGAGCTGGGGTGAGCTGGGGTGAGCTGTGGAGAGCTGGGGTGAGCTGGGGTGAGCTGGGGTGAGCTGTGGAGAGCTGGGGTGAGAGCTGGGGAGAGCTGTGGAGAGCTGGGGTGAGCTGTGGAGAGCTGGGGTGAGCTGTGGAGAGCTGGGGTGAGCTGTGGAGAGCTGGGGTGAGCTGTGGAGAGCTGGGGTGAGCTGTGGAGAGCTGGGATGAGCTGTGGAGAGCTGGGGTGAGCTGGGGTGAGCTGGGGTGAGCTGTGGAGAGCTGGGGTGAGCTGTGGAGAGCTGGGGTGAGCTGGGGTGAGCTGGGGTGAGCTGTGGAGAGCTGGGGTGAGCTGGGGTGAGCTGGGGTGAGCTGTGGAGAGCTGGGGTGAGCTGTGGAGAGCTGGGGTGAGCTGGGGTGAGCTGGGGTGAGCTGTGGAGAGCTGGGGTGAGCTGGGGTGAGCTGGGGTGAGCTGGGGTGAGCTGTGGAGAGCTGGGGTGAGCTGGGGTGAGCTGGGGTGAGCTGTGGAGAGCTGGGGTGAGCTGTGGAGAGCTGGGGTGAGCTGTGGTGAGCTGGGGTGAGCTGTGGACAGCTGGGGTGAGCTGGGGTGAGCTGGGGTGAGCACTCATCACTCACCAGCGGCCTCAATTCCTGTTCCTCTACAGCCTGATCCCTCGCATCACTGCTGTCCTTTCTCCGTCGATCCAGCTCTGCTAGCTTCTTGATGCTTCTGCTCACACATTTCTGCGTCCCATCACACATCAACAGGGAAAAGCACAATCAAGTCTACAAATGGGTTTATATATGTATATATTGATATGAAAAAGTGACTGCATGTGCATAGGAAGGCATGTAAGTAGACAGGCGGGCAGCTTGGTTTGCATGAAGGCAGCGGACAGGCAGGTGAATGTCCGTGAAGACTAAAAGTCGTTTATGATACAGACAAATAATAAATGTCAGTTTAACACGTAGGCTTTCGCGACCAATATTATTCATAATAAAGGTTTTTGGGTTAGATCGCGTTTATTTATAAATGTGTCGTAACCCTCCACCACCCGACACGGCCAATCAGCAAAGATAAGTGTCACGTTGACAAAAGACAAATAATTCACTACTTCAGCCCACCGGTGTGTTGAAGAGTTAATCCACATTTACAGTTTGAGTACGACGTTTCGCTGGTAAATACTTCCAGCATCATCGGGCAATTCGCCAGAATGGTAAAGCCCTCGCTTGCTCCCGGTTTTATATAGAGCAGAAGAGTGACGTCATCACTTAACTCATCAGGTGCAGTGATTAGCGGCGGAGGGGGGGGGGTAATGTAATTATATAATCGATTAGTAATCAGTCATTGGTTATGATTAGTAATGAGTTGTAGATTAGTAATTCTTTAAATCAAAATGTAATGTGTATTATTTAATAATACGCTTCCAGGCCGCACTGAGCCGGTAGCTGTCAGAGCGATTAAAGTTATTCTTGTTCCTCTCAATTTCAATGGATTCTCTAATTAGTCTTTGCCAGTAATAATTAGTTTTACACACCACTGCAACATTGTCAAAATCAATTGAGTGTCCTTGTTGACAAGCATGTTCTGCCACTGCCGACAGTTGTGTTTGAGATAATTTAATATTTCTCTGATGTTCTTTTAGTCTTACGCTGATGTTACGTCCCGTCTGCCCAATGTAGCAGCTGCCACATGAACAATTAATCCGATATACACCTTCTGTTGATAGTTTAGGTAATGCGTCTTTAGTGCAAGATACTAGTTTTTGAATTTTGTGTACTGTACCAAATCTTACTGTAATGTTTTGCTTTTGCAAAACGCGGGCTAATTTGTCAGTTACTCCTGAGATATATGGAATTTTTATTGTTTTAACAATCTGGTCGCTTTCAGTAGTATTGCTTTGCGATCGTGATTTGGCATTCAGTGCTCTGTTAATTTGAGCATTATTGTAGCCATTCTGTCGTAGTGCGTCTTTAACGTGTTTAATCTCTCTCACTAGACTCTCACCATCTGACACTGTTTTCGCCCGATGCACGAGCGTCTTAATAAGAGAGGATTTTTGAGCTGGATGATGATGTGATTCTGCATTCAGATAGGCATCAGTGTGCGTTTGCTTTCTGTAAACGCTGTGTGTTATTTTACCGTTTAGGCCATGTCCAAGCAAAATATCTAGGAATGGGAGTGTATTATTCACCTCCATTTCCATGGTGAACTGGATGGCCGGGTTTTGTGCATTGAGATGATTTAGAAAATCATTAAGTGTATCTTTACCATGTGGCCAGACAACCAAAGTGTCATCCACATACCTAAACCAAAAGGATGGTTTTAATGTGCTCGAGGCAAGTGCTCTTATTTCAAAGTTTTCCATGTACAAATTTGCTATAGCAGGGGATAAAGGAGAACCCATTGCTGCTCCTTCCTTTTGTTTAAAGAAATCCCCTCTCCATAAGAAGTAAGTGTTATTTAAGCAATGGCCAGCAAGTTTCGGAATATCTTTTTGTAAACCGGTATTCTTTACTAGTGTATCAAGTAATTTAAGCGATTCGTCCACTGGAACCTTAGTGAATAGAGAAATCACATCAAAGCTTACCAGAATATCATCAGGAGTAAGTTTAATATCTTTAATCACATTCACAAGATGTTCTGAATTTTTTATGAATGAAGATGTCTTACCGATGTAGGGCTGTATTTGTTTGGTTATATATTTTGCTAATTGATATGTGGCAGAGCCAATTGTACTGACTATGGGTCGTAATGGGATGCCGATTTTATGAATCTTTGGTAGCCCATAGAGTCTAGGTGGTTTTGAGGCCCTTGGCTTAATTAGGTATTGCTCATTTTTAGGGATTAATGAATTTGCAATTATTGCAGTGGTCTTACGTTCTAAAGTATTAGTTGGATCTCGTTTAATTTTAATGTAGGTACTTTCCTCTAGTAAATTTCTAATTTTATTATCATAATCGGCTCGTGACATCAGTACAGTAGTGCGGCCTTTATCAGCTGCTAGGATTTGGATATCCTTATTTACACGCAGCTCTCTTAAGGCTTTTGCCTCGTTAGAGCTAATATTTACTTTTTGGAACTTTGCTATTCTCAATTATTTTAGCAACCTCATGTCTAGTCATCTCTGCCTCATTATGTGGAAGGAGTCTAACTGCTGATTCTACCTCAGCAATTATCTCATCCACTGGAATTGTGCGTGGGGTAACGGCAAAGTTAAGGCCTTTAGAAAGGATAGAGACCATGTCACCGGTTAATACAGTGTTGGTCAAGTTCAGTACAGTTTTGTTTTTACGTTTTTGGTTTTCAGTAGGGATTTGTTTATTATGTAGTCTAGAAAATTTATTAATTTGGTTAGTTTTTGTTAGTTTAAACACATTATCAGCCGATTGTTGTGTTATGTTATCGATTATATTCCAATAATGCATAGATACACTATTGCTTATATCTAAGTGTAACTGCTTTAGCGATTCCGAAATGTAAGATAATTCACTCCTATTGTGCTGTATTCTCTCTATTAATAATAATTCGCTAGCTTTGTGTAGTATTTGGTTAGCTTTAGAAGACTTTATGTGATGTGTTATTTTAACTGCGTTTGGTATTACCTTTGAATCTCTGCACCTTTTGAGGAACGCCAGTGAAGATATCAATTTCATCCGCTTAATGCGAAGCTTCTCCAATTTTCTGGTTTTAAGAAAAGTATCCTCCCCATAGAGGTTAGTCAGTTTAACACGTAGGCTTTCGCGACCAATATTATTCATAATAAAGGTTTTTGGGTTAGATCGCGTTTATTTATAAATGTGTCGTAACCCTCCACCACCCGACACGGCCAATCAGCAAAGATAAGTGTCACGTTGACAAAAGACAAATAATTCACTACTTCAGCCCACCGGTGTGTTGAAGAGTTAATCCACATTTACAGTTTGAGTACGACGTTTCGCTGGTAAATACTTCCAGCATCATCGGGCAATTCGCCAGAATGGTAAAGCCCTCGCTTGCTCCCGGTTTTATATAGAGCAGAAGAGTGACGTCATCACTTAACTCATCAGGTGCAGTGATTAGAGGCGGAGGGGGGGGGGTAATGTAATTATATAATCGATTAGTAATCAGTCATTGGTTATATCGGATTAATTGTTCATGTGGCAGCTGCTACATTGGGCAGACGGGACGTAACATCAGCGTAAGACTAAAAGAACATCAGAGAAATATTAAATTATCTCAAACACAACTGTCGGCAGTGGCAGAACATGCTTGTCAACAAGGACACTCAATTGATTTTGACAATGTTGCAGTGGTGTGTAAAACTAATTATTACTGGCAAAGACTAATTAGAGAATCCATTGAAATTGAGAGGAACAAGAATAACTTTAATCGCTCTGACAGCTACCGGCTCAGTGCGGCCTGGAAGCGTATTATTAAATAATACACATTACATTTTGATTTAAAGAATTACTAATCTACAACTCATTACTAATCATAACCAATGACTGATTACTAATCGATTATATAATTACATTACCCCCCCCCCTCCGCCTCTAATCACTGCACCTGATGAGTTAAGTGATGACGTCACTCTTCTGCTCTATATAAAACCGGGAGCAAGCGAGGGCTTTACCATTCTGGCGAATTGCCCGATGATGCTGGAAGTATTTACCAGCGAAACGTCGTACTCAAACTGTAAATGTGGATTAACTCTTCAACACACCGGTGGGCTGAAGTAGTGAATTATTTGTCTTTTGTCAACGTGACACTTATCTTTGCTGATTGGCCGTGTCGGGTGGTGGAGGGTTACGACACATTTATAAATAAACGCGATCTAACCCAAAAACCTTTATTATAAATAATAAATGTATTGTTTTACTGGCTAACACACTGGGGCACCGGCCCAAATCTCCAGGCACGGCGGTTGAGACAATGCATCGATGCGCTCCAAACGTCCGGGAGGGTCGGAATCGGCCCGAAGCCTAGAGGCGGGCACCCCCATTCAAAGCCAGCCGCTTCACACACTTGGATCTCGCCGTCGGCGTCGTGACCCCGGTCGGCACCACCGTCGCTGCTGCCGCGACAGTCGAGGAGGAAGCAGACGAGGAGGGTGTCGGACACGCTGCTCAGCAGCGAGAGCAGGCAGCCCGCGACCAGGAAGGCAAGCAGGCACACGAGGCCCAGTGGCACCACCCACAGGTGGTAGTTGGGCTGGAAGTTGAGCACCAGGATGCTGAAGAAGGCTGTCACGGCCACCACCAGCATCTGCGCACGGCCCGCAAGTGGCAGGGAATTAGCCACTGCAGAACAGGCATTTCGCGAATTGTCAAATTATTGTTGTTGTTACGCTTGTTTACCCGGGAAGAGTCTCACAGAGTCTCAAGAATATTTTTCAGGAGGGTCCTGTCAAGTTTTTTTTAAGTTGGGGGGCCATTTTTGCTGTATGTAATCTCAACTGAGTAATTTTCAGATTATTTTTAAACATTAGGATATTTACTCAATACCAGCTGCATTGCGTCATCTACGAGCAGGAAGTACCCGGCTTTGCCCGGGGAGAAAAAATATATATATTTCAAAACTTGTTTTCTCTTAAAAAACACAGCATATACATACACAAATACTAAGCTATTATAAAAGCCTGGCGTTCCGTTTGTCCGTCAACAAAATGATAATAGCCTTACAGAAGGCCTAAATAGAGTCAGTAGTATCTAGTGACTCTATAGTAGTAGCTATTGACTCTACAGTTGTATCTAGTGGTACTACAGTAGTATCTATTGATTCTATAATAGTATTTGACTCTATAGTAGTATCTGACTCTATAGTAGTATTTACTGACTCTACAGTAGTATCTACTGACACTACAGTAGTATCTACTGACTCTATAGTAGTATCTACTGACTCTACAGTAGTATCTACTGACTCTATAGTAGTATCAACTAACTCTATAGTAGTATCTACTGACTCTACAGTAGTATCTACTGACTCTATAGTAGTATTTACTGACTCTACAGTAGTATCTACTGACACTACAGTAGTATCTACTGACTCTACAGTAGTATCTACTGACACTACAGTAGTATCTACTGACTCTATAGTAGTGTCTACTGACTCTACAGTAGTATCTACTGACACTACAGTAGTATCTACTGACTCTATAGTAGTGTCTACTGACTCTACAGTAGTATCTACTGACACTACAGTAGTATCTACTGACTCTATAGTAGTGTCTACTGACTCTACAGTAGTATCTACTGACACTACAGTAGTATCTACTGACTCTATAGTAGTGTCTACTGACTCTACAGTAGTATCTACTGACACTACAGTAGGATATTTGCTCAATACTAGCTGCATTGCGTTATCTACGAGCAGGAAGTACCCGGCTTTGCCCGGGGAAAAAAATATATATTTCAAAACGTCTTCTATGGTTCTTTCGGTAAAGTCACGTAGAATGAGAATAAAATAATAAAATAAAATAAGACAATAAAGTTCTCACGACAATTCGGCCACAACACAAGTAGCCTTCTTCAGGTGAAAGAACAGAACTGTCGGGACGACAGAGCGTCAATTAACTCTGCTAAGATTCGCAGCGTCTTATAAGCTCGGTGAGAGGCGTGGCGAGCCTTGAAAAAGGAGTTCACATATCAAGGCAAAGGAGTTCACATATCTTCTTTGGTTCTTTCGGTAAAGTCACGTAGAATGAGAATAAAATAATAAATTGATAAAATAAAATAACACAATAATATTCTCACGACGTTTCGGCCACAACACAAGCGGCCTTCATCAGGTGAAGGGAGCGAGACTGTCTGGTAGGACAGCGCTGGAGTGAGAGAGCCACGTTCAGATCACGGCTTTTAAGCTGTGTGAGAGGAACAAAGAGCCTTAGAGTCGCGGCATCTCTTCAGAAAGGTGAGAGACTCGATTAGTTGAGCCTTCTTATCCCGAAGTCTGTTGAATGATCTTAAGGATGTGTGGAATCCCTCCCCGTAGAGGCGGTTAAATTTCGATTTAAAGTTTTCGTGACTGCAATGATTCATCTTCTTTGGTTCTTTCGGTAAAGTCACGTAGAATGAGAATAAAATAATAAATTGATAAAATAAAATAACACAATAATATTCTCACGACGTTTCGGCCACAACACAAGCGGCCTTCATCAGGTGAAGGGAGCGAGACTGTCTGGTAGGACAGCGCTGGAGTGAGAGAGCCACGTTCAGATCACGGCTTTTAAGCTGTGTGATTCTACGTGACTTTACCGAAAGAACCAAAGAAGATGAATCATTGCAGTCACGAAAACTTTAAATCGAAATTTAACCGCCTCTACGGGGAGGGATTCCACACATCCTTAAGATCATTCAACAGACTTCGGGATAAGAAGGCTCAACTAATCGAGTCTCTCACCTTTCTGAAGAGATGCCGCGACTCTAAGGCTCTTTGTTCCTCTCACACAGCTTAAAAGCCGTGATCTGAACGTGGCTCTCTCACTCCAGCGCTGTCCTACCAGACAGTCTCGCTCCCTTCACCTGATGAAGGCCGCTTGTGTTGTGGCCGAAACGTCGTGAGAATATTATTGTGTTATTTTATTTTATCAATTTATTATTTTATTCTCATTCTACGTGACTTTACCGAAAGAACCAAAGAAGATGAATCATTGCAGTCACGAAAACTTTAAATCGAAATTTAACCGCCTCTACGGGGAGGGATTCCACACATCCTTAAGATCATTCAACAGACTTCGGGATAAGAAGGCTCAACTAATCGAGTCTCTCACCTTTCTGAAGAGATGCCGCGACTCTAAGGCTCTTTGTTCCTCTCACACAGCTTAAAAGCCGTGATCTGAACGTGGCTCTCTCACTCCAGCGCTGTCCTACCAGACAGTCTCGCTCCCTTCACCTGATGAAGGCCGCTTGTGTTGTGGCCGAAACGTCGTGAGAATATTATTGTGTTATTTTATTTTATCAATTTATTATTTTATTTTCATTCTACGTGACTTTACCGAAAGAACCAAAGAAGATGAATCATTGCAGTCACGAAAACTTTAAATCGAGAGTTCACATATCTCGGACCGCATCCGCGAACATGAAGCAGACTTGAAACACGGTAGGACGAACTCTTCTGCCGTGGCAGATCACTGTTATAATTTAGTGGGTTCACATGACATTGACTTCTCCAAGACGGAGGTTCTTTGCAAGCCAACCGGCTACCATGAGGCCATCCACATATACAAACACAGAGACAATTTCAACCGAGAAGATGGATTCTGGCTTAGTAACCATTGGAAAGATGTTTTAAACCATTTTGGTTCTTAATTAATTGTATTTCACGGTGACCGTCAGACCGCAGCTCTTTCGCTGGCATTGTGACTGTTTCTCCCTCCCCCCTCCTCCCTTCCGAGCATGGATTGACTCGTCCGCCTGAATGTCGTTGTCCTTGGTGCTGGTGTTGAGGGGATGGGAAAAACCGCCATTTTTCACCATATAACATTGTGATATATAACGACTTATTGTTAGATGCTCAGCTGATTGGAGAGTATATAGGGTTTATTGATAACATTGAGGAGCTTATATTTTAGTTTTTATTGGTTTACTATATGGTATTCATTATACAGTGTAATGTATACCCAGTTGCTGTATGATTAATAGCTCAGCTTATTGAAGAATATATTAAGTACATTTATTATATTGATGTGATATAGACTTAGTTTTTTCACATCGGTTTACTTTATGATAGTTGGTTAGTTGGAGGCCTTTAGCGTCCATATACTAAATGCCTCTGTTGACATATAAACTTTGACTTTAACACAGACATTTCTGTCACAAGCTAATCCCTCGGCTATTCAATGCTAAATTCTCCTGCTCTGATATGTAAACTCCTTTGTCAAGGCTCTTCACGCTGCTCACCGAGCTTAAAAGACGCTATGGTTTACTTTATGATAGTTGGTAATTGGAGGCCTTTAGCATCCATATACTAAATGCCTCTGTTGATATTTAAACTTTGACTTTAACACAGCTGTTTCTGTCACAAGCTAATCCCTCGGCTATTTCAATGCCAAATTCTCCTGCTCTGACATGTAAACTCCTTTGTCAAGGCTCTTCACGCTTCTCACCGAGCTTAAAAGACGCTATGGTTTACTTTATAATAGTTGGTAATTGGAGGCCTTTAGCGTCCATATACTAAATGCCTCTGTGGATATGTAAACTTTGACTTTAACACAGCTATTTGTCACAAGCTAATCCCTCAGTTTTTTCAATGCTAAATTCTCCTGCCTTGATATGTGAACTCCTTTTTCAAGGCTCGCCACGCCTCTCACCAAGCTTATAAGACGCTGCGAATCTTATCAGCGTTAATTGAAGCTTTGTCGTCCCGACAGTTCTGTTCTTTCACCTGAAGAAGGCTACTTGTGTTGTGGCCGAAACGTCGTGAGAATTTTATTGTCTTATTTTATCTTATTATTTTATTCTCATTCTACGTGACTTTACCGAAAGAACCAAAGAAGATGAATCCTTGCAGTCACGAAAGCGTTAAATCGAAATTTAAAAACTTGTTTTCTCTTAAAAAAACAGCATATACATACACAAATACTAAGCTATTATAAAAGCATGGCGTTTCATTTGTCTGTCAACAAAATGATAAGAGCCTTACAGAAGGCCTGAATAGAGTCAGTAGTATCTAGTGACTCTATAGTAGTAGCTATTGACTCTACAGTTGTATCTAGTGGTACTACAGTAGTATCTACTGATTATATAATAGTATTTGACTCTATAGTAGTATCTGACTCTATAGTAGTATCTACTGACACTACAGTAGTATCTACTGACTCTATAGTAGTATCTACTGACTCTACAGTAGTATCTACTGACACTACAGTAGTATCTACTGACTCTATAGTAGTATCTACTGACTCTACAGTAGTATCTACTGACTCTACAGTAGTATCTAGTGACACTACAGTAGTATCTACTGACTCTACAGTAGTATCTAGTGACACTACAGTAGTATCTACTGACTCTACAGTAGTATCTACTGACACTACAGTAGTGTCTACTGACTCTACAGTAGTATCTACTGACACTACAGTAGTGTCTACTGACTCTACAGTAGTATCTACTGACACTACAGTAGTGTCTACTGACTATAGTAGTATCTACTGACTCTATAGTAGTGTCTACTGATTCTATAGTAGTATCTACTCACTCTATAGTAGTATCTCCTGACTCTATGATAGTATCAACTTACTCTATAGTAGTATCTACTGACTATAGTAGTATCTACTGACTCTATAGCCGTATCTCTTGACTCTATAGAAGTAACTACTGACTCTATAGTAGTATCTACAGACTCTATAGTAGTGTCTACAGACTCTATAGTAGTAACTACTTACTCTATAGTAGTATCTACTGACTCTATAGTAGTATTTACTGACTCTACAGTAGTATCTACTGACACTACAGTAGTATCTACTGACTATAGTAGTATCTACTGACTCTACAATGAGGGAAAAAGTATTTGATCCCCTGCTGATTTTGTACGTTTGCCCACTGGCAAATAACTGATCAGTCTATAATTTTAATGGTAGGTTTATTTGAACAGTGAAAAACGCATGTCAAAAATGTTATAAAGTGATTAGCATTTTAATGAGGGAAATAAGTATTTGACCCCTCTGCAAAACATGACTTAGTACTTGGTGGCAAAACCCTTGTTGGCAATCACAGAGGTCAGACGTTTCTTGTAGTTGGCCACCAGGTTTGCACACATCTCAGGAGGGATTTTGTCCCACTCCTCTTTGCAGATCTTCTCCAAGTCATTAAGGTTTCGAGGCTGACGTTTGGCAACTTGAACCTTCAGCTCCCTCCACAGATTTTATATGGGATTAAGGTCTGGAGACTGGCTAGGCTACTCCAAGACCTTGATGTCCATCGTCCCTTTGATGCGGTGAAGTTGTCCTGTCCCCTTAGCAGAAAAACACCCCCAAAGCATAATGTTTCCACCTCCATGTTTGACGGTGGGGATGGTGTTCTTGGGGTCATAGGCAGCATTCCTCCTCCTCCAAACACGGCGAGTTGAGTTATGCCAAAGAGCTCTATTTTGGTCTCATCTGACCACAACACTTTCACCCAGTTGTCCTCTGAATCATTCAGATGTTCATTGGCAAACTTCAGACGGGCATGTATATGTGCTTTCTTGAGCAGGGGGACCTTGCGGGCGCTGCAGGATTTCAGTCCTTCATGGCGTAGTATGTTACCAATTGCTTTTTGGTGATTATGGTCCCAGCTGCCTTGAGATCATTGACAAGATCCTCCCGTGTAGTTCTGGGCTGATTCCTCACCGTACTCATGATCATTGCAACTCCACGAGGTGAGATCTTGCATGGAGCCCCAGGCCGAGGGAGATTGACAGTTCTTTTGTGTTTCTTCCATTGGCGAATAATCGCACCAACTGTTGTCACCTTCTCACCAAGCTGCTTGGCAATGGTCTTGTAGCCCATTCCAGCCTTGTGTAGGTCTACAATCTTGTCCCTGATATCCTTGGAGAGCTCTTTGGTCTTGGCCATGGTAGAGAGTTTGAAATCTGATTGATTGCATCTGTGGACAGGTGTCTTTTATACAGGCAACAAGCTGAGATTAAGAGCACTCCCTTTAAGAGTGTGCTCCTAATCTCAGCTCGTTACCTGTATAAAAGACACCTGAGAGCCAGAAATCTTTGTGATTGAGAGGGGGTCAAATACTTATTTCCCTCATTAAAATGCAAATAAATTTATAACATTTTTGACATGCGTTTTTCTGGATTTTGTTGTTGTTATTCTGTCTCTCACTGTTCAAATAAACCTACCATTAAAATTATAGACTGATCATTTCTTTGTCAGTGGGCAAACGTACAAAATCAGCAGGGGATCAAATACTTTTTTCCCTCACTGTATGATAGTATCTACCGACTCTATAGTAGTGTAGTGCTGATGAATGGAGACACACACTACGTGGTTGGAGGCAACCCGTTTATTAACACTTTTACGGAACTGGTTCTCTAATCGGTGCAGACGTAACCCCCTATACACGAGCCTATTGAAGATCCACGACCCTCGATCATCTCCGCGCTTCCCTTGTATCCTGTTCAGCGCTCTATCCCCCTAGTGGCAGATATGCTGTCACTACAGTAGTAGTATCTAATGATTCTAGTGTCTCCTCACTCTATAGTAGTATCTACTGACTCTATAGTAGTAACTGCACACATTGGGGTGTGGGGGGGGGGAGAAAAGGACATCACGCTGTTCTGTGCATGATTTTTTTCTTTTTGGCATTTTTAACGCGAAGAAGAAGAACCTCCCCCCCGTCGCTGCTCAGCAAGCTTGTTTGCGTTGCTAGGTGCAAACACCAGTCGGCGTTGCACGTGTGCATGCACCCGCGCTTTGGCGTGCGCTCAAAGTTATCATTACAATCAGCGTACATTGTTACAAAGTGTGATTTTCTTACTTTACATTGGACCAAGGGCAAAAACAAATAGCAAGTGTTCGTCTGGGGGCTTAGTTTGTTGTATCTGTATACTTTGTTAAAAAGTAAACCCAATAGTTTGTCAGTTAAAAGCGTTACAAGGATAGGCGTCCACACACAGGGAGAACAGAGGGAGAGAACACAAACTTCACACAGAAAGGCACCCGGGTCACGAATCGAACCCAGGTCCTTCTTGCTGAGAGGCATGAGCGTCGGTTACCACTGCGCCACAACCCTGCTGCCCAAATACGGGTCATGTGGTTTCCGATTCCATTAAAAAATTGATTATTTCCTTGTATGATTTATCTCTCATTTGCCCTGTCTAACTTTGTAGTCTTTTATGTTCTGTCTGTCTGTCCCATTTATGTTTTTGTCATGTGTACTGTCTATCTCGTTTTGTTTAGTTTGTACTGTGTCATTTGGACTGGCAATTTCGTTTGTACTGTTTGTCGAACATGTGCCGTCCCTCTCCTTTTGCACTGTCCATCACGTTTGTCCCATTCGTCTAAATGTACACGAGCTTGTCATTCACTTTCCTCGGAAATTGTCGATGAGTGAACAGATGATTTGATGCGTGTATCGGTTTCCTCCCATAGATAATAATAAGCACATATCTCATTCAAAAGCTTTTAATATCGTGATAAAAAACGGTCGGAATGTGAACGGTGACCTCCACAAGAGTACCTCTGCCAAATAAGTTTGTGCTGCTCAAATGAGCATTGAGGCGATGCTCATTTCTTCTTTACAGCCCTAAGCCAGTGGTGGCATTTCCACATTCCTATGACGGGGGTGAGTCTATCCCGAGGACAACCACTTTTAACTTGCCCATGGATTTGTACCTATTTTATCGACCCTGGAGGGATGATGGGCGCAGTCAACACCCAACCAGGATCTCGCAAACTACCGGTAGCAAGCACGATGACTGTATGGGGCCCCGTGACCGGATGACTGTAGGGGGCCCAACGCGTGTTGATGACTGTAGGGGAACCAAATCGCTCTCTGCCTGTGCAGCCAAGCGATTTTATATGAAATTAAAATATAATGTGTTTCGTAATTTGCTCAATTAAAGTATTTCATAAGATGCAGTTCTACTAAAGCTTACATGCTGCTCTGGGGGCGGACAATGGACAACGTTTCTGGTGGCAAAATTGTGACCGAAACACAGGATGGTCTTTCAGCGAAAATAACGGCAAGGGAGCTCTACAATCGGTGTTGTAACATGTGTTCTACCAGGGTGACTGCTCCATCCGTTACCCCGATGAGTCCCAAGCAGAGCCCGGTGAAACCAGGAATGGTCCAGGAACATTCTATGAACGGTCCAGCAAGACTCTTCTCTGCCCTCACCACTTCGCCCTCTGCTTACAAGATGTCAAGCTGGACATTGTTGTTGGGTGGACTGCCAAATATTTACAAGGCAAGCCTTAAATTTCGATTTAAAGCTTTCGTGACTGCAAGGATTCATCTTCTTTGGTTCTTTCGGTAAAGTCACGTAGAATGAGAATAAAATAATAACATAAAATAAGACAATAAAATTCTCACGACGTTTCGGCCACAACACAAGTAGCCTTCTTCAGGTGAAAGAACAGAACTGTCGGGACGACAGTGCTTCAATGAGCGCTGCTAAGATTCGTAGCATCTTTTAAGCTCGGTGAGAGGCGTGGAGCACTTTGACAAAGGAGTTTAGATATGAAAGCAGGAGAATTTAGCATTTAAATAGCTGAGGGATTAGCTTGTGACAGAAATAGCCGAAACGTCGTGATCATTTTATTGTCCTATTTTATTTTATTATTTTATTCTCATTCTACGTGACTTTACCGAAAGAACCAAAGAAGAAGGCAAGCCTTGTACGTATATGTATGTCGAACTTCTTTTCGCATCGTACGTAGCCAACCGTACTAATCGGAGGTACGAGGGAAGGACAACAAACTAAATACAAAAAGCAATCCTATAAAAAACAGTTTTCAATGCAAAAAAATTAGCTTTCAATTTAGGTGAGCTTGAAGAGAGGAACAGAAGGAGGTTAAGGAGGGGGACTGCTCAATGTTCAGGGGAATTCCAGTGGAGGGGTGCAAGGATGGGCAATGACCGGAAACGGGATTGGGCTCAGGGAGAAGTGGGGATAGAGAGAGAGAGAGAGAGATTGGGAATGACGGCTGGGGCCCTGGTTGCTAACTAGCATGGCAACGTGATGTGTGCGTGCTGCCCCTGCCTTGGCCAAGAAGAAGAGGAGGTTGCCTTGGGCCACCAGCGGCACGATCCTCAGGGGCCTTGAGGACAGCAGCTCGAACACCTCCAGCGCCGACGCACAGAAGCCCGTTCCGCTGTGAGCGGTGGCGATGTACGCCGTCTGAACGGTGACAGACAGGCACGGAGAGTAGACTAGAAGTTGCTGCGATCCATTACCACCGCTCCAAGATCTCTCACATTTATAGTACATCGTGCAGGGGAATGCCATGGTAAAAGGTAAGTACCCAGCCCTGCAATGCTTGCACAAGGGCATTGACCAGGGGAAGTTATAGACAGCGTCCTCTGGATGGCAATTGGCCCATTCTACCGCGCTGGCCAAACAAACGGTTTGGAAAAGTACCCACTCTTTAAACCAACACGCCTGGCCCATTGATACTCTTGGGTGGACGAGAGTTGAGTAACCGCGGGTGCATTAACCGTCAAATACAGCATGTGCCGTCCGCGTGTTGAAAACACCGCGAGACATCACGTAAAATTCCGCTGAATGAGCTGCCGATTGCCCAGTTGGGATGGCGGGCACGGCATCACCGCCCCCTTGTGTGAGGCGGCTGCGGGGACTGCATCCGTGAAACACGGCAGTAACGCGCTCCATCACGGTGGTAGCCTCGCGCTGTGAGAACCATCGCACCAATGCCAAGTGTACTCAGTCATTATATTATTAGGACAAACCGCGAGCTTCCCCTTCATGAGCAGGTACTGATTATTGCAAAAATTGCACACTGATAATAATCAGTGCCTGCAATAATTATTGCAAAAATTGCACACACACACACAGAATGCCATCATGGTCGAAAGGAGTAGCGGACACAATTCTTATCTCACAAGGCATTTGCAAAGCAGCGGATCGGGTTTATGGTGCGTATTGAGTTTGTAAAGCCATTCGCCGGCATCCGGAGTCGTCACATGAAGTCTATTTGTACCTACTGCAGAATCGTGATCTGGGAAATGATCGGTGATGAGAGTGATAGATTCCACTCCACCACAGTATCCTATAGACTCACACAGAGTCCCCTATAGACTCACACAGACTCACACAGACTCCCCTCTAGGCTCACAGAGTGATCCACAGACTTGCACAGCTACCCCATAGACTCACATCGAGACCCAAGACCAACCTGGAGATCCACAGACTCAAACAGAGACCCTTTGTTTCACTAGGATATGAAAAAAAAGACATTCAGACTTGTGAAATATTTCCTCCATTGTAACGGCACCCTCCCAAAGGATGAAGAGAGCCCAGGCTGCCCGCAGTGCAGGGTTGGGGGCAGCATCGTCACGCCACTCGGTGGCCTCACCTCGTGCAAATGGCGCAGGTGCTTCTCCAGGCCCTCCAGGCAGCAGCAGCTCTTCAGCAAACACCGGGCACAGGCATTGCTCTGCACACAACACCGGCAGCAGGAGCATCAGCATCATCAGTACAACGCAGCCACCGCCGATACAGCTGTACGAATATAACAGCAACCTCAACAAGACACCACCGCCATCACGCTCTCAACAGAGCTGGGAGAAAGCCCCGGCGTGTTATCAGACAGCCGCGCGTCTTGTTCGCCGTGCTCTCCAACATTCGCTCCGCGTGCCGGGAGCTTCCTCACGAATTTTCAACTAGTGAAGAGGTGCGCAGCACAACTGTGAACAACCCACACGGGAGTCAAACCAGCGGAAGCACGATATTCTATTATTATTACTGTCAATAATCAAAGACACCGGGTGCAGCGGTGCACAGCGGACGCCTGGAGTCGAGTGCTTCCAAGGCAGAGTTCGGTGAAACTCCTAAACCTGCTGGGCTGCTGCGAGGTGGCCATAAGACCCCAGCACGGCGGGCGGGCGGGCGGGCTGGTGAACCCGTCTGTAGCGACCTTTGTTGAGCGTTGCCCCTTTAGGTGTGGGTTTTCTCCGAGTGCTCCGCTTTCGTCTCACGCGCAACGCTCTCCACTAACTGTGGCAACCAGGGGAAGCGCCGCTCCCTCCTACAAGAGATTAACCCGCCCGTTCTAACGGGGATTCTCCGCGCGCATATTCCGGGTCAATGGTTCATCCTCGTGCTACGGTTGTTGAGTTGTACGCCGATTGATGGACGTAGGCTATGAAATAAAACTACAGTAGGATTATCAATATTATAATCACCAGGGTTATGTTTTTTTTTTAAATGCGATGCTTTTTTAAACCGCATAAGGTGAGCCAATTGTCTGAACATTCAGTTACCCAGCAGCGATAATGACATTGGAAATCACTCACTGGGTTTTCATTGAGCGGGGGAAATATCTCACTTTGCTTGAAGCACAATTGCCCTCTTCTTTGGTTCTTTCGGTAAAGTCACGTAGAATGATAATAAAATAATAAATTAATAAAATAAAATAACACAATAAAATTCTCACGACGTTTCGGCCACAACACAAGTGGCCTTCATCAGGTGAAGTCTCGTCCCTTCACCTGATGAAGGCCACTTGTGTTGTGGCCGAAACGCCGTGAGAATTTTATTGTGTTATTTTATTCTATTAATTTATTATTTTATTATCATTCTACGTGACTTTACCGAAAGAACCAAAGAAGATGAATCCTTGCAGTCACGAAAGCTTTAAATCGAAACACAATTGCCCTGTTTATACCCTCACGATGGTTAGTTGCTGCATTCCTAGGCGGGATTGTTTCCCTTGATATGGCCACTGCTGGAGTCGTGCGCTCTGATTTATGCGTTGTTACATCAGCGTCCTGGTCATCGTCACCAGCCGTGGCCCATCCACTGCTGGATGAAGGCCTCCCCAAGCCACCGCCACCTCTCCCGATCTGCGATGTAACGATTCATTTGGCTGATTATAATACCCTGTGAATACGATTATGACTATCCTAATTATTTCTCAAATTCGACAATTAATTACATGCAGGGGCTGTTTTGACTTAAACCTTATTCCCTGGGGCTTCAACGCGTGTACTCGACAAACTTTGAAGGGAGCACGCATAATTTGTTGTGCTGTTTTCGGCAGGATGTATTCATTGTCCAGATCGTGTGGACAGGGCGTTGGCACTCGAGGGTGCGTGCTCCCACCTCTTCCTCGACTCGCGTAAACCCAGCGTGCGAACGGGGGAACCGAAACCCTGACCTTGTCCTGAAGGCAGCAGAGCAAGTGCAGCACCAGGCACCGCGGCAGCGCCAGCAGGGGCAGCAGCAGCGAGCCCTTGGCCACCGTGCCCAGGTGGCAGCGGAAGAGCTGCGAGATGGAGGAGAGGATTGGGTATGGCGGCAACCGCTGCTTGTCTCTGAGCGGCGAGAGGAGGAGGAGGAACGGAGCGCAGCTGTTACCATGGAGCTTCACACGGGCGGCGCGCACCCCCCAGCCTCCCGCCCCTTACAGGAAGAGTGATGCTTAAGTTTCAGGTGTGACTTTGTGTAACCAGGGGAGAAGTCAAGAGACCGCGATGGAGTCTCATTTGCAAGGGTGACCTGGGAGACCGAAATGACAAAGAAAATGCGAATGGAATAAAGGACACAATATATATATGTCAGCTTAAAAACACCAAATTAAGTTATCGTGCAGTACACTATCACCATCTGCTCGTTACGGAGATATGTATACGAGCGTGCAGTGAAGAATCAATGGGCTGCTACACAACCACGGAGTGCTTCCGGTTGGCCAAGGGGACTCACCGGGCAAAGTAGTAGCTGATCGTGGCTCCTGAAACCGCCATGCGCTGGCAGTGCAGCACGAAGCTCGTAACCCAGACGAAGCCCAGCACGTGGTACCACCACATGTAGCGGATGGGCCCAATCAGCCGGAACTCCACCAAGCCCTGGGCCGTCCGCACCGGGTCGCCTTCACAGACGCACGCACAGGGGGGACGCCGGAAACACCACAACGATGTCCCGCCAAACGGCGCACGAGGGGGCGGTGTGGTCAGCACCGCAGCCAGCCGCCTTTTGACTCCCAAGCGCCGATGTTTAAATACCGTTCAAGGTATCCATTTAAGGCTGAGTTGATTTAGGGGAGGCCCAGGACCGATTCAGATACCACTTGCCACTGAGGTTATCCATGACCGAGAATCAAACCCAGGTTGCCAGGTAGAGCTCGCTAACAACCACTGCATCACCGTGAACCGCAAGCACACACACGAACACCGACGCGTCTCGTCACTGTGTGCGCGTAGCATCTTGATTGCCTTTAGACGACTCACGAACGCAGATTGCATCGTTTCACGTGGGCTGCACCTGACGTCCGGCGCTGTCAGGGCCCCAGGCTGTCCAAGTCTAATCATCTGTCACGCCGCGCGTTGAGCATGTCAACTCTCAAGCTTTCGTCACGCGCTACTGCGGGCATCTTCCACAATTGAGTAGAGTAACCTCTCTCGCCCGCTCTGCACCGTTACAGAGGAGCGCGTGGCCTTGCCGGACACCCGCGCTGTCTCTCCCCCCCAGGGACGCTCACCTGCCGTGCCGAGGAGGAGCAGCACGGCGACCCAGCAGAGCCAGAAGCTGGCGAGGATCACGAAGGTCCACACGGGCTGCAGGATGAGCAGCGGGAGGTGAGAGAACACCCTGCCCAGCATGCCGAAGAGCCCCACCGCTAGGTGCAGGCGCCTCCACGTCAGCAGTACCAGCAGCAGCAGCAGCACCTGACTCACACGCGCACGAGACAAAGATCCCCCGTGTAGCCTTCAAAGGACCGTTGGGGCAAGTGCTGTTAGCGACCACCCATGAAGGCCGGCACGGTATGCGAAGGGGTGGGTGGCCAGCACCACGCCCGGCCGGCTTTTGTCTCCCCAGTGGCGATGTTCACACACCGCACCAGGTACTCAATTGAGACCGAGTCAACTCAGGGGAGGCCCAGCTACGGTTCAGATAATCGTCACCGTTGTTGGCCATTAGTGGGAATTGAACTCAGGTCACCGTGTTCGTAACCGATTGTGCTAACCGCTACATTACCGCTCCCCTACAACAACAACAACAACCGCCATTCACCACTAAGTGGCGGTGACGTCACCACGACGCTTGTGCCAGGCTATGTGCACCCTGAGGCCACGTGAAGTGTCGAACGCCCGCTGGCAGGAGGTCACGGGGCAGACCCAGGTGCCACGGGTCGACTGACTGAGATGACTGGCTGATGCACCACCTGTGCCCCCTACTGTGCCAACCTGCTGTGCTTTAGCCACCCGGCGCTCCGCTCGTTGTTGTGAGCGTCGTTCCTCCGCCCTCCGTTGTTGTTGGAGGGCGACTACCTCCAACTGCCCAGTAGCGTCCTTCACGAGCCCCCTCCACAGAGGCCGATCTTGACACCGGTAGTACCAGTAATCGGCAAGTCCACTCAGCTCCACGTCCTCCTGTACCACATCACTCCATCTCTTCTCTAGCCTGTGCCGCGCCCATTTAGCCCCCTCAATCCGGCCGAACAAAAGCTGTTTCGGCATGCGGTGGCTGGCCATGCGGGCTACATGACCCAGCCATCGCAGCCTTGTCCGCCGGAGGAGCTCACCGATGGGACCTTGCCCAGATCTTTCAAGGATTTGTGAGCTCCTCACACAATCCAGTCTGGTTAAACCCAGGATGGATCGTAGGCAGGCCAGCCTAAATGTTTCTAACCGGCGAAGATGTTCCATGAGGGGGGTCCACGTTTCGCAAGCGTAGAGAAGGGAGGGAATGACCGTGGCCGAGAAGACCTGAAGCTTAGTGCGGAGCGACAGACCAGGTAGCTTCCACACAGCGTTACGTCACCGTGTGGTGCACCAACCATCGCACCGCGCTGGTTCATGTCTAAGGGCGGCTGGGCATGTGGCCCCACCCCTGATGACCAGCCTAAGAACTGGGCAATGTCCCAATTGCCACTAAACCTGGTCGGGTTTTTAACTGCGTTATTCCCCGTGCTGTGTTTAGCATTGGAGACGCAATGGTGATCACATTGGTGAATGCTCGTGTTGGGAAAGCTCATGTGTGCCCACCAGAGGTGCAGTGAGGCATTGCGCTATAAACTTGGTGACCTGAGTTCGATTCCCGAGGACGATCAACATCGGTGGAGAGTGAAATCTGAACCGGTCTGTGTGCCAAACAAAATCTTACCCTGCATAATGACTGTAACTGATCCTATCCACTGTTCAACCGAGCCACGCCAGGGCCACGCTGGGCCAGTGTGGCGTGGCTCGGGAGGTACCATGTTGAGACGCATGTAGATAACGCGTCGCAGCGTAGCGACTTACGTCGCACGCAATCAACGTGTCACTGAGCCCCCATCTCTGACTTGGCCCCAAGCCAGATTCGGAGGTCTCGTTTAGCCACTGTAGCAAAGTTAGGTCCCAGCTCGGCTCGGCAAATAGCCAGTGGAAACTACCGGTACTGTGTGGGCTACACGCCGGCTCGGCGGGCGACTTACGGTGGCGATGGAGGACAGCGTGGCGCCCACCAGCAGCGCCAGCGTGTTGTCCTCGAGGATGCCCAGCTGGGGCACGGAGCTGTTGGCAGGCGTCGCGGCGAGGGCAAACGGCGCGGGGGAGGGGTCGTCCTCGTCCCGCTGGCCGCCGACGTCCGGGGTCAGCACGGGGCCCGGCTGGGCGGCCGTGCGCGCCAGCAGGTCGGCGTGGTCCGAGTACATCCACCACATGAGCCCCGTCACCACTGCGCGCCGCACGCGGCACCGCACGTCTCGCGGACGCTGTCTCGCTGCCCGGTGGATGTAAAGAGTCTTGGGAGCGCGGTGGGGGGTGCGGTCGTGTGCCCACCACCCCGTGCGGCAAGACACTCACTTAGCAGCGAGAAGACTAGCAGCGCCGCCAGGATGCGCAACAGCAGAGCCGAGAGGTGGCGCAGGCCCAGCAGCATGGCCAGGGAGAGCCCTGCCCGGGCACGCACGCGCATCACACACAGAAAGACAAAGACCCCCATGTAGCCTTAACAGATTGTTGGGGCAAGTGCTGTTAGTGAGCATCTATGAAGGCATCTATGAAGGCCTCTGCTCTAATCACGTAAACATCTATTGTATAGAAAAACACGACTGTCAAAGCGCCCCTCCGTGCAGCAGCTATGGATGCGGCAGTGAACGCGCTCGTTGGGCCACTTCTCTTCTCAATGGAAAAACTTCGTTTCGAATGGCGCGCGATGAGAAGCCGACGTGGTATTTGATGGTGTAAACGTTTTCCTTGAGCGACTCCTCCACTACTCCTGCCATCGGGGTCACGCCGGCGGACCGGGGTCACGCCGGGCGACCGGGGTCACGCCGGGTAACCGGGGTCACGCCGGGTGACCGGGGTCAAGCCGGCTGACCGGGGTCACGCCGGCTGACCGGGGTCATGCAGGGTGACCGGGGTCACGCCGGCTGACCGGGGTCATGGCGTTACCGAGGGAGAGGAAGGAGAGCGCCAGGACGGCGCGGTAGTTGGCCGTGATGGCCTCGATGGCCCTCTGGAAAGCGTCCATCTGGTTGTAGAAGACGACCAGCGTGCGCAGGAAGTGAGCGTAGCAGCTGGAGGAGCTGGGCGCACAGCGGTGGAAGAACGGCAGCCAACTGGGGGGCATGAAAGGTGGGGGGGGGGGGGCACACGTCGTCAGTACGCACGGCAAATCAAGCGGCATCCTCTACTTTGGCACGTGCTGGCGGGCCACGTGATGTCACAGACCGTCGTGATGTCACAGACCGTCGTGACTATGTGACTCGATCTGAGACGGTTCGTAAATTAAGTCGATTGATGAACCCAAGATCATAATCGACACTTGAGTGACGCGTGCGGGAACCGAGGTGAAACTTCGTACATCTCGTTGATCTCTCTCTCTCCCATCTCACTAAAAGGTATCTCCTCCCTTGTGGGCGGGCGGTGTGTCTCGGAGTGGCACACGCGATGGACTCCTGTCAAATTACCGGCAGTTGAAGTCAAGATGCTGCACACGACACCGTCAAGGTTGTTCAAGACAATCAATTCGCCATTGGAAAATATCATTGTTACTTTACTAAACAAGTAGGTCTTCTCTGCCAATGCTTTGATTCTTAATAGATTTTCGGCTAGGCCATGTAATGATCGGCCCCAAAGTCAGAATAACCGTGTCACCTGACCCGGCTTATTACATAGGTGTCACGACCTCACAGGAACAACCAATCGGATTGAAGCGGGACATTAACCATTTAGACATTGTAATAAGGACAGGCAATGTTGATTAGAACGTGCCGAGTGACTTCTCCGACATCTCAGAGGGAACCCAGAGGTCGTGGGTCGGCGCTGCCACACGGCGGCGGCGGCATCACCTGGCGGGGACGGGCAGGCGGGGGCACTTGTCGTGAGCGACGGGGCTCGTGGTGTACTCCGCGGGGGCCAGGTCGTACGTGCACAGCGCCGAGCCTGCGTCAAGCAGAAAAACGAGATCGTCGGGACGGCTGACGCGGTCCGCCAGCGCCTGCAGGCTGAGCTACGCCTGGGTGGCCAAGTGAGGTTGACGCGAGTGCTCATGAGGAGAGGTAATTTTACTCTCACCTTTAATTCCGTTTCGTCGTTGAGATCTTTACATAGTAGCGCAGCGTACGACGGGTACGTTAACTCACTGTGTTAACGTGCTGCTGCAGCTGTAGTAAGTGTATATTAAACGTTGTTGGAATGTTTGAACCCGGATGTTTGAGAATGCCGGCTGTGAGCGGTGTGTATTACACAAGCGGCTGTTTGTGGGTTGATAGAAAAATGTTGCTTTAATTGCGTAGTGTTCTCATTACTGTATTTACAAGGTACTCTACTGTACCTCTTGCAGCTACCCAACCTAATCCACTCACGTACACGATCAGCATCAACACCGCAATTCACAAAATACAGCAATAAAGAAACACGCAGATCGCTCAGAATGATTCGAGGCATAATACAGAAAGGTCATGACATAATATGTGAGTTCGGTGGTCAGGTGCTCAGAGAATTATTCCCAAACGTATCTCCGATTGGCATGGTTGGCTTCGTACAGTGCGAAACAAGTTCAACGTACATACATACACAGATGCCGGACATTAGCGCTGAGGCCATTCACTGCCATCACCTGGGGATTTGGTTAATTGTAACGATTCAGAGCTCTAATTTGATTTAAGAATAGATGTTTTTGCCTCATGTTTACCATCTCATTTGTACTGTCTCCCCTTTGCTCTGTGAATAACGAGAAACCCCATCACGACAATGTATTGATAGTGGGCTTAAAAAAAATGACCACAATGCAGTTCTTCTGAACTGATGGACTCACCAAATGCGCAAGGTTGATAAATGTTGTATCTGTAATGCACACCGCTGCGTGTTGTAAAAAGAATACCCATATCAATTCTCAAATAAAATGTCGACCCTGAATCACGGCAATCCATCAAGTCTCGAGGGTGGGGAGGGAGCGTACGGTCTGTGGGCTCATTCGTGAGCGCAACGCAGCACTGATGAATGATCTGCAGGGTCATTCGTGAGCACGACACAGCACTGATGAATGATCCGCGAGGTCATTCTTGGGCTCGACGCAGCGCTGGCACACACCATTCTCGTGTGCGAAGAGGCGCAGGGCGGAGAGCGTGGGCAGCTCCTCCTGGGGGCACTGGGAGACGCACAGCGCCGGCGACACCACCCTGGCGTGCTCCACGTCGATGTTACACGCGTCCAGGAAGAACACGTACCTACAATGGACAGCGCCTGTTAGACAGGTACCTGCAACCGACACGGCGCCGCCTGTTAAACAAGGAGGAAGGAAATACAACATTTGGCGGTGAGAGTCCGTAATTTGTGGCGAAGCCGCTATACAACGTCGACAAGTCCGCGACGAGAGTACCGCGGTTAGCCGAAAATTTTAGGAGGCATCAGACACGTGACTTCATTGAGCCGCACATTTTAAGCGGATTACAGGAGGAGCTCGGCATGTGATTAGCGACTCCAATGACGCACGACAACAAACCACGAATCATAATGGAGTTCTAGTGTACACAAATTCGTAAGCAGGCAAAGGCGATGCAGCCCCTGACAAAGTCACGTGGATAGCAGCCGATCTCGTGAGATCTCGTGAGATCTCGGACGCCGAGCGGGGTCGAGCTTGCATCCTGCGAGGGAGGGGGCAATGTCCACGTGGTTGTCGGAACAGCGCGGCAAACTCCGCTGTCGTACCGTACTCTCCGCGCCGCCGCCTCGTCTGCACCGTGCCCACCGGTGCGTGGGCCGGGTACGTACGTGCGGCTGCGCATGTCCTGCCCCGATAGGGGCACCCCGGGGATGGCGCGGTTCAGCTGCCCGCACGTGTTCCCGAAGCTGTCGTAGCCGAAGACGAGGCGCTCCGCTGCCCCCGTCGCGATGGAAAAGGCGGCGATGAAGATCTGGACGAGACGGGGCAACGCCAAGAACGATAATGAATAAAAGTCAAACAAGCAGAATGTCTGGAATGTGTGTGAAGGCCCAGATCCCGAGCTAGATTGATAAAGGGTTGTAAATGATGATTGGTGATGGTGGACAGCTTAGATACAATTTCAAATATGAAGTACAGCATACATACAAATTATTATTTGTTTGTTTATATATAAAGAGTCTACTCTTTTCGTATATGTGCATCTCAGACCCTATATTACATTTAACCAACCACAGTATAGGGCTGTGGTTGGGATTCACAAATTTGTTATGCAACGGGGACAAGACTCCAATTTTTGCCAAAATATTTTCTATATTAAATAAATAAAAGCGTAAACATCTGCTATATCTTAATCTCAAAAGAAAGTACGAAAAGTGGCACACACAAAACAAATGGAAAAAGCCACACGTGGGTGAGATTTGTTTGGTGGGGAGGTTGGTACACACACACACACCTGTGACAGGGTGTGGATGGTACACACACACCTGTGACAGGATCTGGATGGTACACACACACACCTGTGACAGGGTGTGGATGGTACACACACACACACACACCTGTGACAGGGTGTGGATGGTACACACACACACACACCTGTGACAGGATCTGGATGGTACACACACACACCTGTGACAGGGTGTGGATGGTACACACACACCTGTGACAGGGTGTGGATGGTACACACACACACACCTGTGACAGGGTCTGGTTGGTACACACACACCTGTGACAGGGTGTAGTTGGTACACACATACACCTGTGATAGGGTCTGGTTGGTACACACACACACACACCTGTGACAGGGTGTAGTTGGTACACACACACAGCTGTGACAGGGTGTGGATGGTACACACACACACACACCTGTGACAGGGTCTGGTTGGTACACACACACACCTGTGACAGGGTGTAGTTGGTACACACACCTGTGACAGGGTGTAGATGGTACACACATACACCTGTGATAGGGTCTGGTTGGTACACACACACACACCTGTGACAGGGTGTAGTTGGTACACACACCTGTGACAGGGTGTAGATGGTACACACATACACCTGTGATAGGGTCTGGTTGGTACACACACACACACCTGTGACAGGGTGTAGTTGGTACACACACACCTGTGACAGGGTGTAGTTGGTACACACACACACACCTGTGACAGGGTGTAGTTGGTACACACACAGACACCTGTGCCAGGGTGTCGATGGTACACACACACACAGCTGTGACAGGGTGTGGATGGTACACACACACACACACCTGTGACAGGGTGTAGTTGGTACACACACACACACCTGTGACAGGGTGTGGATGGTACACACACACCTGTGACAGGATCTGGATGGTACACACACACACACACCTGTGACAGGGTGTGGATGGTACACACACACACACACCTGTGACAGGGTGTGGATGGTACACACACACACACACACCTGTGACAGGGTGTGGATGGTACACACACACCTGTGACAGGGTGTGGATGGTACACACACATACACCTGTGACAGGGTCTGGTTGGTACACACACACACCTGTGACAGGGTGTAGTTGGTACACACATACACCTGTGATATGGTCTGGTTGGTACACACACACACACACCTGTGACAGGGTGTAGTTGGTACACACACACAGCTGTGACAGGGTGTAGTTGGTACACACACACACACCTGTGATAGGGTCTGGTTGGTACACACACACACCTGTGACAGGGTGTAGTTGGTACACACACACACACCTGTGATAGGGTCTGGTTGGTACACACACACACACCTGTGCCAGGGTGTGGATGGTACACACACACACACCTGTGATAGGGTCTGGTTGGTACACACACACATACACCTGTGACAGGGTGTAGTTGGTACACACACACACACCTGTGATAGGGTCTGGTTGGTACACACACACCTGTGACAGGGTGTAGATGGTACACACACACACACCTGTGATAGGGTTTGGTTGGTACACACATACACACCTGTGACAGGGTGTAGTTGGTACACACACACACACACCTGTGACAGGGTGTGGATGGTACACACACACACAGCTGTGATTGGGTCTGGTTGGTACACACACACACACCTGTGACAGGGTGTGGATGGTACACACACACACACACACCTGTGACAGGGTCTGGTTGGTACACACACACACACCTGTGATAGGGTCTGGTTGGTACACACACACACACACCTGTGACAGGGTGTAGTTGGTACACACACACACACCTGTGACAGGGTGTAGTTGGTACACACACACACACCTGTGACAGGGTGTGGATGGTACACACACACACCTGCGACAGGGTCTGGTTGGTACACACACACACACCTGTGACAGGGTGTGGTTGTTACACACACACCTGTGACAGGGTCTGGATGGTACACACACACACACCTGTGACAGGGTGTAGTTGGTACACACACACACAGCTGTGACAGGGTGTGGATGGTACACACACACACACACCTGTGACAGGGTCTGGTTGGTACACACACACACACCTGTGATAGGGTCTGGTTGGTACACACACACACACACAGCTGTGACAGGGTGTAGTTGGTACACACACACACCTGTGACAGGGTCTGGGCCCCCCTACACCAACCCAGGCTGCCACCAGGCTGGCCAAACAAGCCTGATTACCAACAGCGCGGGGATACCTTGAATTAGGATTGTCACGATATGGCAATATGAAATCACACAGTTTAAAAAAACGACGTTTCGATCGCAACACAAGCGGTCGTCTTCTTGTGTTACGATCAAAACGTTGTAGTATTTTTGTTATTTTTTATTATTTTCTTTGAACCTATCTTCATGACTTTACCGAAAGACCTAAGAATATGAATTCGTAGTCCATTGAATAATATCTAGTGTGACCGACAGCATGTAGAATACAATGGTGAAATGACGAGAAGACTCATGGCAGGGCAATGTTGAGTGAACTGCAGAATAACTGAATCGATATTTATTTGCACTGCAAGTCCAGCAAAGCACAAGGACAATAACAATCTGACGTACAATTACGAAGTTATTGCTATAGTTATCTTATCACGAACGGTTATATCATATACTCTCTTGGAAAATTATATTGCGGAAATCCTACTTTGAAAGAATGAATGATAAAACATCTGGAAAGTATTCTCAAAGGCATATTGATCAAAAGCGCAAATAAAATAAGCCAAAGCCTCACTTGCGGTCGCTTGAGTTATTTTTGTTAGGATACTACTTTTGGTCAATGTTGAAATTATATTTTCCATGCAAATTTAGCGCATTTAATGACAAATCAAAATAATTCATCCGCCAACCCAAACAGAGTTTGGGGTGGCACTATATTAGCTCAGCTGACACAAATCCCATGAGAGGCGTCTGAATCAAAGAGGCACAGCTCCCAACCCGACCAACGGTCGGAGCAGGCCCACGACACGGTGAGCTTGCACAGGCTAGCGGATAACTCACGTGTTATTCTGGGGCAGCCAAGTGCTTCTGGCATAAACACGATGAAGTTATATAAAACTCAGTGTCACAGCAGAACGGGCTGGCACACTGCGATGCACCTCTGAGCACGAGTAACTGCCGGGGCTCACACGAGATCCCATTACTTGCCTGCCTCACACGAAGCCCCATAAAAAGCCACCCCCCCCCCCCCAAGTGAGGCATCTCACGGTGTACACTCAAATTGAAGAAACACGACATTTATCGTGGGTATTATTTTTTTTCATGTATTATTTCCTACAGCGGGTCTCCTTTAGACGGCGCGTTAACACGTGAATTAACGATTGCACACAAATGACGGCGTAAATTTGATGGCCCCAATGAATGGCAGAGAGTCCGGCGGCGGGCGGCAGGGCTCCGGTTCACCGCGGAGCTCCTTAAACGGATCCCAGGGCCCCAGGAATAACTGTGGCAACGCTCATTCTCCGCGTGCAAAAAAAAGGCAAATAATCAGAAACACTTGGTGGATATATTTTTTTACATACCGCTTCTGTGCAGAGATGAAGGTTATCGACAGAAAAACAACACGACCCCACAACACAGGCACACGCTCGCCACAATCAAACCCACGTAGTAAACACAAGCGGCCTATCCCCTACGTGAGTATCTGTTGAAGGCTTTCGTGACTTTGCAGAGTATTTCTCCATCGGTATGACAGGCAAAGGCAACGTTAAGCCGAAAACACTCCTGCTCCCAGAGACAACATATACTGTACACACCCTTGACTACCTCGAGGAGTTGAGGAAACGGAGTTCAAGGCGCTTTATCTGAAGGGGAGCAGATCTAGGAGTCTCAACGTAGAAGCACCAACCGTGCCCATGACATGCTACAGACGTTGCAGCATTCATGATGGTCACGACAAATTGCGTTGGCAGTGGTCCATAAGCACAAGAACTCAACACATCCGTCCATAGCACTGCCCTACACAACATATACTGCTTAGCAATATATGTTGTTTAACAATATAGAACAGAAACCTTTTTACGATAATTCATGTCTGCATTAACCACAATACCTGCAGTCAAAATGCAAACAAAAAACATACTATGATAATACATGCATTGTCCTTGAGACTGATTGGTCCACACCAAGGCACGGCTTTCTTTTGAGCCTCGACCCAATTGGTGCTCGACCAGATGACGCCAAAAGGCATACAGCTCAAAGACAATGCACTATCAAAGTAATGAGGGCTCGGGGTGAGCATCTACATCATTAGACCTCCTTTGCCAGTACCAAAATGTAATAATAGAGTTTTTCCCCTTTTTTCTGGCTCACCCCGAGCCCTCATTACTTTGATAGTGCATTGTCTTTGAGCTGTACGCCTTTTGGCGTCATCTGGTCGAGCACCAATTGGGTCGAGGATCAAAAGAAAGCCGTGCCTGGGTGTGGACCAATCAGTTTCAAGGACAATGCATATATTAACAGTGTGTTTTTTGTTTGCATTTTGACTGCAGGTATTGTGGTTAATGCAGACATGAATCCTCGTAGAAAAGTTTTCAGTTTTGTTGCCAGAAAAAAGGGGAAAACCCTATTATTACAATATAGAACAGATTTCGATTTAAGAATTTCGTGACTGCAGGGATTCAAATTCTTGGTTCTTTCGGTAAAGTGACGTAGAAAATTCTACGTGACTTTACCGAAAGAAGCAATACTATGAATATAGAACAGGTGACGTTCCGGGCATTGACCCTTCGTCAGAGCAAAGATCCCGGATCGGCCTCATCAGCCATCTTCAGACGACCCACAGACAAGACGATGACGGACGACAATCTTCCTCAACGGCAAGGGACTGCCAAATAAGAAGATTCAAAGTACAGGCCCCTTCCTGCTATGAAGAGGGTCATGGCTTAAAACATTACTTACTATACTTGATTGACCAATGTGTTGAGTATCAGGCATGTATTGATTAATTAATTGATTAATTAAGAAAGATTTTACGTTCATGATTACTTACACTGAACGTCACGTGTAGGAATAAATCACTTACAATTTAGGAATTGTTTCTTGGATCAAATTGTAACACTAAGGGGGGGGGGGATTTATAATTTCACGCTTAGCTGAGATTGACAGCCAGCGCATAAACACAAAAGTCAACCAAACGGTGGTGCGGCCTTCACGCCGTCGTGGCGATTCCACAAGGCGATGGCTCCACAAGGCGATGGCTCCACAAGGCGATGGTTCCACAAGGCGATGGTTCCACAAGGCGATGGTTCCACAAGGCGATGGTTCCACAAGGCGATGGTTCCACAAGGCGATGGCTCCACAAGGCGATGGTTCCACAAGGCGATGGTTCCACAAGGCGATGGTTCCACAGGGCGATGGTTCCACAAGGCGATGGTTCCACAAGGCGATGGTTCCACAAGGCGATGGTTCCACAAGGCGATGGCTCCACAAGGCGATGGTTCCACAAGGCGATGGTTCCACAAGGCGATGGTTTCACAAGGCGATGGTTCCACAAGGCGATGGTTCCACAAGGCGATGGTTCCACAAGGCGATGGTTCCACAAGGCGATGGTTCCACAAGGCGATGGTTCCACAAGGCGATGGTTCCACAAGGCGATGGTTCCACAAGGCGATGGCTCCACAAGGCGATGGCTCCACAAGGCCCAACCAACCAGAGATTGCCCTCCAGCACAAGGGGCGCTCAACACACAGGACGCCCTCCGTCCTGCCATGGCAACCCAACGCAGCCGCCTGGCATGACCGCACTTACACAACCCGGGCATGCACTGAGGCATGACTGTCACTTTCAAAGTGCTCAATAAAGCTGGGATACTGTGGTGGCGGTATTTTTGGCATCCGGTAAATCATTAATTGTTTAATTACGAAACAGTTCATCACTATATTCTTAGTTCTTTCGGTAAAGTCACGTTGAAGGGAAACAACAAAATAATAAAAAATATATAAAACAATTAAAAATTCTCACGACGTTTCGACCATAACACAAACGGTTATCTTCAGTTCATCACTGTTAATTGAACACCATTTACTATCTAAAGAGGACAAGCGGTGGTGGTACAGTGGTGAGCGCCGTGCACTATGAACCTGGCAAACCTAGTTCGACCCCTGGAAATGAGATCTCTAGGGATATTCCAGGTAAAATATTTCCCAGTCATGGCTAACATCAGTGGCGGGTGATATCAGAACTGGTCCTGCCCTGATCCACCCATCACCAACCTGTCTTGACCAGTGTGGAGAAGTATGGTCATAAATGGGCATGGCTGGAATTGATTAGTTTGTTAAATATTTTTAAGATGCTTAAAATTCACGTACTGTTAGATAACTGACAAAAACTATAACTTTTAACGTCCTGTGAAGACTCGCAGACCTGCCAAGACGGCTACCTCAAAAATGTCTTGGAAAACCCAGAGCAGGTGGCAACCCGAGTGGGGTTTGGTTGAAGGAGCCGATGGCACGGAAGACTCACGGAGGACTCACGGAGGACTCACCAAACCGGCCCAGAAGAGCATGAAGGCGACGAGCCAAGGGACGTCGGTGCAGCCGCGGCCAGGCCTCGACCTTCCCTCCGGACTGGGCTGCTGCTCTTCCTCCTAGGGTCACACCAACACGGACACACAGCAGGCCATCACGTTCGGCTCACCATCCTTGGCTCACCTCGCCCAGCTCGCCGCCCGCGGCTCATAATTAAAGATGGAAAAGGTTGCAGCCCTGCAATGGCTTGCTCACACCACTTTAAGGAGCTCTAGACAGCCACTCTAGCGGGTACTTGGCCTACTCTTTCACGCTGGCCAGACGTCTTGCAAGAAGTGGGGGCACCCACACTTTACCCAACCAACGCAATGTGCCCAGCGACTGTGGTGCACCCACGCTTACTGTTGCGGGGACAGGGGTGGGAGGGTGGCTAAGGAACTTGCACTGTTGGTTCAACTCTTGATATCTCGTGGCCATCTTGCAGGGCCAAGCGTAAAATACTCGCTATTGCCAGGCATCCAATTACTAACGAGGCTCAACTCCACTTAACTTCAGGGATTTGACAGTATCGGGCCCAATAAGGATGACTTTAGTTGTTGCCAGGCTTGGGCCTAGTTGACGTGTACACGCTGCATGTAACACTCAAGAGCGATGCAAACTTCGGATTCACGACATCCCCCCAAACCACCGCTGAATTTTGTTTTTCCCAAATCACCCACTGTGGATAATTTTTCAAACCTCTAAATTCTGGAACATTGCAGCAACACGCGAGCCAAACAATGACCCTGTTCTCACGAATTGAATTAGAATGCCGCCATACTCATGGCATGAATAGCACTAGCAATCCACCACCAATTGGGCTTTTGCCATGTGGGGCATACTTTAATAATTCGTCTAATATTTGCAAGGTAGACATCTGACCCAATTTATTAACGGATTTGGGAGGGTGGGGCCGGGGTTGCTATTGCAAAATGTCAAACCTTTTAAATAGGGCCCTACATCCACACACACAAGAAACAAACATGCCATGTATTTCTCTGGTAAATATCAGTACATGTCACAGTTCCTGGGGTCTCAAGAGCGTGGCAATGGGGGGGGGGGCTATGCCCCCACCCTCACGGGCCCCTCACTCCTCAATGGCTGCTGCCCTCCCCCCAATGCAGACCAAAGCCTGTGGGTGCCGAGCAGCACGCCCTGATTACACCCCCACCCTGAGTTACACCCAGGGTGATTACACCCACACCCTGAGTTACACCCAGGGTGATTACACCCACACCCTGAGTTACACCCAGGGTGATTACACCCACACCCTGAGTTACACCCAGGGTGATTACACCCACACCCTGAGTTACACCCAGGGTGTTTACACCCCCACCCTGAGTTACACCCAGGGTGGTTACACCCACACCCTGAGTTACACCCGGGTGTTTACACCCCCACCCTGAGTTCCACCCAGGGTGATTACACCCACACCCTGAGTACCACCCAGGGTGATTACACCCCAACCCTGAGTTACACCCAGGGTAATTACACCCACACCCTGAGTTACACCCAGGGTGATTACACCCCCACCTTTCGTACCTCCCAGGGTGATTACACCCACACACTAAGTACCACCCAGGGTGATTACACCCCCACCTTGAGTACCACCCAGGATGATTACACCCACACAAAAACCACCCACGGTGATTACACCCACACACAAACACTACCCAGGGTGATTACACCCACACACAAACACCACCCAGGATGATTACACCCACACACAAACACTACCCATGGTGATTACACCCACACACAAACACTACCCAGGGTGATTACACCCACACACAAACACCACCCAGGGTGATTACACCCACACACAAACACTACCCATGGTGATTACACCCACACACAAACACTACCCAAGGTGATTACACCCACACACAAACACCACCCAGGGTGATTACACCCACACACAATCACTACCCAGGGTGATTACACCCACACACAAATACCACACAGGGTGATTACACCCACACACAAACACTACCTAGGGTGATTACACCCACACACAAACACTACCCAGGGTGATTACACCCACACACAAACGCCACCCAGGATGATTACACACAAACACTACCCAGGATGATTACACCCACACACAAACACCACCCAGGGTGATGACACCCACACACAAACACCACCCAGGGTGATTACACCCACACACAAACACTACCCAGGGTGATTACACCCACACACAAACACCACCCAGGGTGATTACACCCACACACAAACACCACCCAGGGTGATTACACCCACACACAAACACTACCCAGGGTGATTACACCCACACACAAACACTACCCAGGGTGATTACACCCACACACAAACACTACCCAAGGTGATTACACCCACACACAAACACCACCCAGGGTGATTACACCCACACACAAACACTACCCAGGGTGATTACACCCACACACAAATACCACCCAGGGTGATTACACCCACACACAAACACTACCCAGGGTGATTACACCCACACACAAACACTACCCAGGGTGATTACACCCACACACAAACACCACCCAGGGTGATTACACCCACACACAAACACCACCCAGGGTGATTACACCCACACACAAACACTACCCAGGGTGATTACACCCACACACAAACACTACCCAGGGTGATTACACCCACACACAAACACTACCCAGGGTGATTACACCCACACACAAACACTACCCAAGGTGATTACACCCACACACAAACACCACCCAGGGTGATTACACCCACACACAAACACTACCCAGGGTGATTACACCCACACACAAATACCACCCAGGGTGATTACACCCACACACAAACACTACCCAGGGTGATTACACCCACACACAAACACTACCCAGGGTGATTACACCCACACACAAACACCACCCAGGGTGATTACACCCACACACAAACACCACCCAGGGTGATTACACCCACACACAAACACTACCCAGGGTGATTACACCCACACACAAACACCACCCAGGGTGATTACACCCACACACAAACACCACCCACGGTGATTACACCCACACACAAACACTACCCAGGGTGATTACACCCACACACAAACACCACCCAGGGTGATTACACCCACACACAAACACCACCCACGGTGATTACACCCACACACAAACACCACCCAGGATGATTACACCCACACACAAACACCACCCAGGGTGATTACACCCACACACAAACACCACCCAGGGTGATTACACCCACACACAAACACCACCCAGGGTGATTACACCCACACACAAACACCACCCAGGATGATTACACCCACACACAAACACCACCCACGGTGATTACACCCACACACAAACACCACCCACGGTGATTACACCCACACACAAACACCACCCAGGGTGATTACACCCACACACAAACACCACCCAGGGTGATTACACCCACACACAAACACCACCCAGGGTGATTACACCCACACACAAACACCACCCACGGTGATTACACCCACACACAAACACCACCCACGGTGATTACACCCACACACAAACACCACCCACGGTGATTACACCCACACACAAACACCACCCACGGTGATTACACCCACACACAAACACTACCCAGGGTGATTACACCCACACACAAACACCACCCACGGTGATTACACCCACACACAAACACCACCCACGGTGATTACACCCACACACAAACACCACCCACGGTGATTACACCCACACACAAACACCACCCACGGTGATTACACCCACACACAAACACTACCCAGGGTGATTACACCCACACACAAACACCACCCACGGTGATTACACCCACACACAAACACCACCCAGGGTGATTACACCCACACACAAACACCACCCAGGGTGATTACACCCACACACAAACACCACCCAGGGTGATTACACCCACACACAAACACCACCCAGGGTGATTACACCCACACACAAACACCACCCAGGGTGATTACACCCACACACAAACACCACCCAGGGTGATTACACCCACACACAAACACCACCCACGGGTGATTACACCCACACACAAACACCACCCAGGATGATTACACCCACACACAAACACCACCCACGGTGATTACACCCACACACAAACACCACCCACGGTGATTACACCCACACACAAACACCACCCAGGGTGATTACACCCACACACAAACACCACCCAGGGTGATTACACCCACACACAAACACCACCCAGGGTGATTACACCCACACACAAACACCACCCACGGTGATTACACCCACACACAAACACCACCCACGGTGATTACACCCACACACAAACACCACCCACGGTGATTACACCCACACACAAACACCACCCACGGTGATTACACCCACACACAAACACTACCCAGGGTGATTACACCCACACACAAACACCACCCACGGTGATTACACCCACACACAAACACCACCCACGGTGATTACACCCACACACAAACACCACCCACGGTGATTACACCCACACACAAACACCACCCACGGTGATTACACCCACACACAAACACTACCCAGGGTGATTACACCCACACACAAACACCACCCACGGTGATTACACCCACACACAAACACCACCCAGGGTGATTACACCCACACACAAACACCACCCAGGGTGATTACACCCACACACAAACACCACCCAGGGTGATTACACCCACACACAAACACCACCCAGGGTGATTACACCCACACACAAACACCACCCACGGTGATTACACCCACACACAAACACCACCCACGGTGATTACACCCACACACAAACACCACCCACGGTGATTACACCCACACACAAACACCACCCAGGGTGATTACACCCACACACAAACACCACCCAGGGTGATTACACCCACACACAAACACCACCCAGGGTGATTACACCCACACACAAAACACCACCCAGGGTGATTACACCCACACACAAACACCACCCACGGTGATTACACCCACACACAAACACCACCCACGGTGATTACACCCACACACAAACACCACCCACGGTGATTACACCCACACACAAACACCACCCACGGTGATTACACCCACACACAAACACTACCCAGGGTGATTACACCCAC